GCCCGAGAGCAGCTGCAGGGCGGCGTCAGGAGCCGTGCAGTTGACCCCCACCGCCAGCAGGGAGTTCAGGCCGGGCGCACAGACGGCGGCACGCGGCCTCGGAGAAACCCGAGCCGTCACAGGTGTGGCGGCTGTCCTGAGGATGGCAGGTGGAGGAAATGGAGGTCACAAGGGGATACACAGTTGGGGTTATGAAATAACTTGGTTATATGAGGCAACACGGAAGCTTCATTAGGGTCATGCGAGTAGGTGCAACTTACGTAAGATGCCCCACAGTCGGTGTAGAGAGGTCATATATAAACTGCGTCCACAGCACTCGACAATCAGCGAGACATTCTCTCTCCAAGACCGTCTGGAAATCATCAGCCACGACAAATCCGACCTTCCATCAGAGACCAGACCAGAGAAAGCACTATCGGAGACAACCAGAGACAAACATCACACCGGCACCCACCATTCCGCACCCCGAGGGCTTCTACAACCGACGTATCACCTACCTGACAGGAGAACGTGACCCAGGCTGGCGTGTTAGGGTATTCTCTGAGCAGATCCAGGACGGCCAGCGCCTCGGCGGGCCCGGGCAGAGTCTCCACGGCGAGGAGGTCGGCGCCGGCGGCCACCAGAGCCGACACGCGCGGACGGTGCCACTCCTGACGGCAGGGGCAGCGGGGAGGGGCGTGGATTACACTTACGTCGAGAGGGTGAAAATGAAATGGCTTTGATGAATGTTTGGCCAAGACTTTTAGCAAACATTAAGGGTTCTCATCTTCTGGTCAGTCATATTATATTGTGAATAGTGTATTGTATAATGGTAGTGCAATATTGTTGAGAACATTGATCATTGGCTAATCAGCATTTAACGAAAATAAAGACGCATCAGGTTTAGCCAAATTTTTAACGGCGTTGTAGATAACAACAAACGGCACTAAGAGTCATAAAACGAATATAGAGAACGTAACGAGCCGAACCTTGAGCGCGGTGCGATCCATGGTGGCCAGGTAGTTCCCGGTGTACTCTGAGCCGTCCCCCAGACAGGCACCGTACGGACCCACCGAGCCCGCCACACGCACCTCTGTCACGGAACAGGCACAGCGGCGTCACGACGGTGGCTGAAACCTTTGACGAATGACGATCGATCGAAACATTGAACTAGGCAAACCTACCCACTCTAGAGGAAAGAATGACAGAACCGCACGGATAAATCCCACATGTAACAGTGAGCCGTCAGAGTTCGAGTCAGAGTTATGGTCCTGACATGTCGACAACTCGACAGTCGACCGTTGACGGAATGACAAGTTGAAAGGCAAACTCACCTCTGCCAGAGGCCTGAGCGGCCTCCCTCGCCAGGGTGACGCTGTCCTTCATTAGCGAGATCGCCTCATCCACAGACAGTTGGAGATGCTGCTGCAGGTTCTGCACACTGGCCTGCGATGACGACAAAACGGTGTAAGTTGCTTGAGCGGCGTGGTGTTCGGCAGAGCGAAAAATACGCACGAAGGGCGTAAAAAAGAACTACTAGCTACTCATGTATAGTAGGATGTGTAGTACTTGTCGAAATCGTCGAAATTCATGAGAAATGATAGTGGCCGTCGTTACACCACACGACTCCGACTGTCCTCCCCCGAATGTGTGCGCGGCTCACCTGATAGCTGGCCGTGATGACCACATCGGCCCCCGCCTCGATGAACTGCGCATGCGCGTCCACGATGGCCCGCGGCTGTGTGCTGAGGAGGTGGGCGGACCACAGCGGGTGGCCTTCTACATCGTGGCCCGCCGCCTGCAGGGTGGTCGCCAGGCCGCCGTCCAAAATGGTTACCATGGTTACAGAGCTCAGCTGACGTCCGAGTCCTCAGCAGCTGGGTATCGACGTCGACACGAGATCACGGCACGGTAAATGATCGGATCTGATCGGGGTAAATGATCGGTATCGGCTCAATGCGAACGCAGGCACGCGATAGGCCGACACAATGATTTTGTAACCTTCAGTGCGTGCCCGTTATTCACACGTTGTCACATACATGCAGGTAGAAGCAAGCAACTTGTACAAAAGTTAAATAAATCAGTATCCAAACATCAGAGCTCAACTCTTGTGAGCAGTGCAATTATGGACGGATGACAGGCAATATCACATAATAATGCTTGGTTCGATCATACAGACATCAGAAACTTTCAGCTAATCCTTAATGCATTTAAGATTTCAGCATAGCTGCCATGCACCACCTAGCTTTTCTAAATAGCATCACGTCTGCGGGCATAAGCTCCGAGGCAAGCACAAAAGCCAACAAAGGCTATGAGAAACCCAATAACAAAGGCCAAGAAGTCAACAAATGTGAAATCATTCTCCAGGGCAGTCACACTGGGAATGAGGCAGACGATGCAGACAGCGATCAGCGGAAACACAAATGGTTTTCCACTCTCCATCTCATCAGTCTTAAACTACTGATGTGACAGTGAAATTGTGGCCTGTAGGACTGTCCACTCTTGGAACTTCAGTGCAGCTGCAGCTCATACCTGCAAATAAATCAAAAGTTAAAACAATGAATGTCATATCATACCAACCATAGTGATATGGAGCTGCAACTGCAGGTAGCTACAACAATAAATAATGCCAAAAATGTCTTGCTTCCAATAAATCTGTCATATTTCAATTAAGCAACGATTCATGACAGCTGGTAGGCGTTTCTCGAAATTTAAATCAAATGGAAGTGAGGTTTTGGTCCAGCATGGTGATGGGTGACTAGAGAAAATTTGGCATGCTATCCTGACTCCTGAGGGGCGAGGGCTCAAGCCCATTTGGCCCATATCAGCATTGGCAGTTGCAGTGTGAGATTATCAAAATATTGAGGAGTTCTGTAGTGAAACAGTTGTTCTATAATCTATAGTTATGGCTCTTATTGTAATGCCTTTGGAAAATATTTCAATCTGGCTATAATCACATGAAACACGATATAGCGGCGAATGCACAATAAACAAATGAAAAAAATGGAAACAACGTGTATAGCCTTTTCTAAGGCTTCGTCGAACATGCGACTTTAGCCGGATTTCACCATTCAACAATAAGAATCACAACTGCGCTAGCAGAAGTTGAGAGATAAAGATAAAAAAGAACATGTCTTGGAAGAAAAGGTTGTTTGGCGCAGAAGTGACAATAAATGGTTCGTGCTCTGCCGCACTCTGCTGCCACGCTGTGAGTGTGTGAGATCTTTATAATAAATTGCACAAATTGATTTTATTTCCGTTGGATATTGCACAATGTTCGGTTAATCACATAAAAAATAATAATCGATTTCAGTTTCATGTATCCGATTCCAGATCACCGCCATCGAGTTCTATCAACGAGGTGGTATCTGGCGGCGGGTTTCACCACGTGTCATATGCCTTGGCGAACGCCTTGGTGATAAAAAAGAATGGTATGAGTACGTCAACGTCGTGTAGTTTTGTGCCTTTGTCCAGTATGATTTACACTTGAATCCCCTTTAATTTATCGCCCAACCTGAACCCTCATGGCTAAGGTCAAAGGTGCAAAATGAGGCCAGAGAAGAGTTCATGAGTCTCCTCATTGGTCATCCTGCGACAGCCTGGCGCCTGCACCACCTTGACGTTAGCTCATGATATATTTGCACCAGGTCATCCGTCATGCTAAACAGGCAAACAATATGCACCACCTCCCACCAAATAAAACTACTAAATTTATTGCAAAGTTTAAAAACAGCAACTATCAGCATTGGTATGAAAACTGCCTTAAAAGAGCAATTATTCTTCAGCAGCTTTGTACCTATATGTGCAAGCACAACAGTTTGATAGAGTGAGGTGTCTGAAAAAAAATCACACTGACAACACACCATGCATCCATGTCATGTCATATGATGTTGAACTTGCCTAAACCTTGACCTTGCCAGCCAAATGACTATTTCTATTTCCATTGTGGCATGGCTGATGGCAAAGTATGATTCTATCAATCACATCAATCATTAATTGCACCTACCTATTCCCTAGGGGTATCAGCATGCTGGTATGGGGCCAATCTGCTCACATATTTAGCCAAAGCAGTGCAGCTAAGGTCTACATATATTCTCACTCAAGCCTCAGCTGTGTCCCTCCCAGTTTTTGATGGCTCTGCCCCTACTTCTGTAGTCTGCAGTGTCTGTAGTTGCCTTATGTGTGTGAAATGCATGCCCTGTAAGCTCTACAGCTAAGCTATTATGATCAATGATCACCATTTCATGTCCTCAGTGTTCTGCTTTTTATGCATGACTGCACAGTCAACAGTGAGCACTGGAAGCTTACGTACAATATCATGAAAGAGCTTGTGCTAAGACATAAAGTATAATTTATATTCAGGAAGAAAATGTGGTCTTTGCAGAACAGTAACCCTTGAATAGTTCAGTAGAACATGTTTCTGTATTGTGATAAAAGAAGCTAAATTTTGACCCTAGAGAGTAAGAAGGTATCAGGCTTCAAATGATGTATGGCACATTAGTACAGCATGATCATCATGAGCAGGGCTGCGGAGTCGGAGTCGGAGTCGGAGTCGGTCGGAGTCGACAGTTGTGACCGGAGTCGGAGTCTGAGTAGGAGTCGATTTTAGAAACCCGAGCCGGAGTCGGAGTCGGAGTCACCGAAAATCTGTTGACTCCGCAGCCCTGCTAGGTCTGCGGAGTCGGAGTCGGGAGTTGGAGTCGGTCGGAGTCGACAATTCTGCCCGGAGTCGGAGTCGGAGTCGGAGCTGGTTTTTGAAAGCCGGAGTCGGAGTCGGAGTCGCCGAAAATCCATCGACTCCGCAGCCCTGATCATGAGACATCCAGTGCTTTTCTTTAATTGACTGTGATGCTGTGACATTCCGTTCAATGTGTGAACTATAAGACTGAAATTTAATTGCTGTTTTCTCCTGTTGTTTAATTGCTGATTCCTCAATGCTTCTTTTTATATTTCAGGTACATAGAAGCTTCACCATTCCTCTGATCAGGCAGCTTGCTTATTCCACTAGCTTAGCCAACAGCAGAAGGTTGTTGAGCACATTCAGGTGTTCTTTTACCCTGTACAAATTTGGCAGAAGACTGGTGCATTCAGTGAAAGCCATGGAGTGTGCCCCAGAGCCAGTCATTGTGAACCATGTGGGCGACAGGGTGCAGCTCAAATTCACCTACTGTGAGCCACAGTTCAACTTTAGGCGTGTGTTCAACATGGACCGCTCTGAACAGGAACAAATGAGTGTGCTCACTGCTAGGATCTCGTCCAACATTGAAAAGTTCCTCGCCAAGAAGGCATCCAAGGTGAACAAGAAGAATAGATCGTCCGGCTCGCCGCCGGTGGACGCTGCCGTCACCCAGCCGGCGGTTTCGCTGCTGCTGGACGGTAAGCCGGCCGAGCCGCACCTCTCCTGCGCCGAGGCGCTGGTGGAGCAGGGAGCACGCGCCGCGCTGCACATCGGCCGCCTCCGCTACCGGCTCTCGGTGAACCCGCCGGCCGTGCTGTCGCTCAGCCTGCCCTCCTCGCTGATGGCCGGCTTCCCGGTGCACCCCGGCCGCCTGCAGCTGGCGTTCTCGGAGCACGCCGAGCTGTGCTGGCAGCGCGAGGACCCGTCGGCAGACGGCGGCTGGCGGGACGTCGGCAGCAGTCACAGTTACACGCCCTCAGCGGAGGATATCGGACACCGGCTGAGGCTCGTCTGTGTGCCGGTGAACGGGGAGAGGCGCGGAGAGACTGTGACGGTGGTCTCCGAACAGGACGTGCAGGCCGGCCCCGGGCCGTGTCCGTTCGACCAGAGGCACGCCTTCACGCGGACCGTCACTGACCAGGACAGGTGAGGACGACAATGTGTGTGTGTGGGGGGGGGGGGGGCTACGGTGATGATATCGGGTGGAGGACAACCACGGGTTTGTGACAGAACTCTCATAGTTGGGGACTCAAAAATCAAACGGAATGCCATTGACGTAAGTAAACCCGATGTAGTTTTTAGCATTTATCGTTCTGATTTCTCCCCAAGCTACCTCGTGATAAACAGTCTTTATTGAGTTACCCGTAATATAAAGCAATTCCCGATGGCCCGACGTCGCCATTCGTTACCGATTGACGTTCATCATCTTATGATGCAGTAGCTCTAGCTTCCTCCCATGGACTCAGCCTTCCCGCCGTAAGCTGACCCGTCTGACCCCTCCACTCCGGTAGTTTGACCCGCCTTGACCTCCGTGCTCCCTCCGTTCCAGCTACCGCGTGGTGAGTTACAACATCCTGGCGGACCTGTACGCCGACTCTGACTTCACCAGGACGGTGCTGCACCCATACTGTCCCCCGTACGCGCTGCACATCGACTACAGGAAGCAGCTCATTGTCAAAGAACTCATGGGTAAGTCGCCAGTGGATGGGCCTGAAGTGGTCAGAATCTGACATGGAAAATACAGGTTTCTATGGTTTTGAATTACAGCGCCTTGCCAGGAACATGCTGCTTTTTAATATGCTATGTAATGTGCCGATTAAACTCTCTCTGAAAATCCTCATTCTTAACAACCAGTGGGATGGTCCTCCCTTATTAGTTTTCATAGCTCAGTCTCCCATTGAGGAATACCCAAGAGCCCCGTCGCCCATAGTCTGCTAACACCCTGCACGCCGGTGCCGGACAGGGTACAACGGCGACATCGTGTGTCTGCAGGAGGTGGACAAGAAGGTGTACGAGGGGGACCTGGAGCCGATGTTTGAGACCGCCGGCCTGGAGGGTGTCTTCACGCCCAAGGGCGGCCAGGTCACCGAGGGCCTCGTCTGCTTCTACCGCTCTTCTAAACTTCGGTGAGCTGGACGTGCTCGGACGCAAAACAGAAACACAAAGCCGACTTTTCTTGGTAGCCTTGTGAACTTATTATGTTCAGCCGATATTCATTATATTCACATGTCCACCAGACTGACTGATATTCACATGGTAAGCTGATATTCATTATTGCCGCTGTGACCGTCCCTTCTCATAAAATGCTACTGGATTTGCTTTGGACGATATTCACTTATCCAGAGAATTATCATGTCTTGGTTGTCTTTTGGTGTCTAAGTCTCCAGTCTGGAGCAGTACCATGTCCGTTTTTATAGCTTACGTCGTTTTCGTTTTATTATTGTTTCTTATTATCTGCAACGATCCGGCTCCGATTTCCGAACGCGTTGCCCTTCACTTTCCTATTTGTTACTGTACTGTGCACCATCCGCGACTATGCGATGTCTCGCCAGTTTTCCGACACACCGCTCCCCCCCCCCCCCCAGTCTGGTGGACACGGAGCGGGTAGTGCTGGGGGAGATGGTCTCAGAGGACCCGCTGTATGCAGACGTAGAGAAGGCTTGTGCGCAGAATGATCAGCTGCGCGAACGGCTCACAAAACGGACGCAGACCCTGCAGGTAAGCGACATACGAGCGCAGAAACCCGAATGGTTGCGGTTCAACTTGCAGACTGCAGACCTTAGATGACTGGGTGGCAATATGTTTAGAGCTGTGGCCAGGGCAATGAAACGATCATCTGTGCAATATAGACCCTTCTGGAGAGCGGCTAAAAGTAAAAAATAGCAATTTCTTGATAGGATAATTCTGAGGTTCTAAGTCATCGGATAGCACTCAACTCAGACCGGCGTACGGTACACAAACGGGACAAACTCCTCACCAGCCATCGTCTTCCTAAACCTCGATCACATCGCCATCTTTCCCCAGGTGAACGTGTTGGACGTGGTGCCGGCCGCGGACTCGGACCGACCTCCGCGCTGTCTGGTGGTGGCCAACACGCACCTCTACTTCCACCCGAACGCCGATCACATCCGGGCCCTGCAGATCGGCATCTGTATGCGGCATTTGGAGAGGCTCATAGAGCGGCTGAGGGCAGAGGTGGGTGGCTGGATGTCGTGGATGAATGTACGGGGCGAAAGAGGGACACAGACGATATGATTTTCGTACTTCCGATGTAGGTGTCGTGTGGAGGATATGCGTTGATGGATGCTCATGTATGCGACGCGTTATGTTTACTGGCATAATGTCAGCCACAGGCAAAACCCATTGACGGCTGAGGTTACGTGGAGTACATGGCTCAGAACTCCTGTGTGCCCAATTTACAGGAATTGCCATGTGATAGTCTGTAGCTGGCCGAACTAATTGTTCACACGCTTGAATGCGCGAGGACCCCTGGTCCAATAGTTGCGAGTGTCCGTAGTGCCATGCCAACGCATATCCTTCTTCTGGCTCAATTCCCTTTGGCTGCTCCCACTCGGCTGCTTCGCAACTGGAGCACTTTTCACGTGTCTTACGCTAGGGTGAACACCGTCAAAAACAGCCTGTTCAATCGCATACCGATGCTCAGCAATATGTTTCTGGACGCAAACCGTGACGTCGATGTGTGGCAACATAGCCAGCTACAGTATAAGAAACGAGTAGCAGCGTATGTCCGCTCGAGGCAGCCCTGTGCACATTAGATAGAACGGGGAGATGTGAACTGCAGCTTTTTCTCATACTTTTAACGAACCTAGGTCTGCTTGATATTTTCCATCCGTGTATGTGTGTGTATGTGTGCGTGTGTGTGTGTAATATGTAGGTATATGGGACTACGTCCATCAATGGGTGCCCATGCCCGTGGATGTTTTGAAAAATAAATAAATTTAAAAAATAAATGTGACCGTGCCCTCTCGCACCCCAGGAGCCGGGTCGCGAGGTAGCTCTGCTGTTCTGCGGCGACTTCAACAGCTGTCCCGAGTTCTCTGTGCTACGACTGATGACCACACAGAGACTCGAGGAGGACCTACAGGACTTCAGCAGCGGTGAGTTCCGCTCACAATGTGGAGCTTAGGAGGGGTTACGAGTTAAGTTCAAGCTCTGTGGGAATCCATGGGCGCTAATCACGAAACAATCCTGAACATAAGATGGATGTGGAGATAAGGGAGGGGCGCTTTATCGCATGGATTACGACGAAGTAACGGTTCTGTTAAGCGGCGACATTCTGACAGCCAATAATTGCAATTTTTCCACCCACTACATTTTTCGTGCTGATGGTCGAGTTTGCTCCAACGCACCACACCCCTCTCCTTGACCTCGCTGTCTGACCCCGTCCGCCCACAGCTCTGACCCTGCCCCGTCCGTCCACAGCTCCCGGTGAGGAGGTGCACGGAGTTTCCTTCCAGCACCCGTACCGGATAGCCAGCGCGTGCGGCACACCAGAGTACACCAACTACGTGGACAAGTTCCGCGGCTGTCTCGACTATATCTTCTACATGACCGACTTCATGGATGTACAGCAGGTGAAATTACGAAATGCTCATAGATTGGTGGGGCTGAGAGATATAAGGGAAAGTTTGGGATTGTGGGATGTATAGGAGTGTCATCCTTGTGTACGGGCCGACTGGAAAAGATACGCTTGTGGCATAGGTCGCGTGCTTCCATTCAGTCATAGCCATTTTAGATGGCATGCTACATGGACGTTCTCAAGGATTAGAAGCATGCTCAAGGTTCTCAAGGACGATTGTATTAGCGATGTTCTTGATATTTGTTTGTTGTTATCGAACTTGCAGAATAATAGCTTCCCTCATAATTGCGCAGTTATTGTCTGTTGAGCTCGAGATTTAAGTACACGATGAACGACACGATGTATGACCCGTAGTTTGAGCCACCCCCATCTTCCGTATCACCCTATTCACGACACTCTCTCCCCTTCTCTCCGAACAGGTGGTGCCACTACCTTCCCACGAGGAGGTGACCCGGCACACGGCTCTACCCAGCGTGGTGATACCTTCCGACCACCTGGCCCTAGTGGCAGACCTCGGCTGGAAACCGGCGCCACCCAACTGACATACCTCACACCGGCGAGCGAGGGAGTTAATTATAAGGAGCGGGAGGCTGTTATTTGTTGTCAGCTTCACGGTGATACCTCTGGATTGCGGGGTCTATTTTCATGATGTGATATTGGCATATTATATTGCAATATGAATTGCAGTGGTTCGTGAGCGCGCAGTGTTTGTATGGTGGAAGAAACTGTAATATAATTGTTACAGTACTGTTTAAGTGTGTTATAGAGTAACTTATTCTAGTCAGCTGGCTACGTCACACTGAGGACGCACGATGACATGATATGTTGTATTGACAAAAACACGGTCGTTCATAGGCTGGCAGTGTCTCCTGAACCACCCTTTCCCATCAAACCCTGGACCTCTGTCACCCCATACGCTAGCACGCCGCCGTTTTCCTCTTTTTCGCCGGTGTCACTCCGGCACTCCCGGGCCGGGACTCTCCAGAGTCAGGCAACAGCTGGGCCATGCAGAACCCAGTCCGGTTCCTGCCCACTGAAACGGGAGAGGGAAGTTAATCAACTTTTGAGATTTATGGAGGCTAACTTGAGGTCACTGAATATGCGATTATTTTGGGCAAACGATAGTTGAAGGTCGGTTACTCCTGAATGGCCTGATTGTCCAGAGTGCCTCTACAGTAAATCCGTTTATCCTTCACGTCTTTCCAGGGAAATCGAGCACTCATCCGGACACTGAAAAGGAGAAACGTCCGCATCTCACTAGTATTGACTGTAAACACAGCATACCTCCCCATGCTTATCTGCCACACAAATAATGCACGATCGCGCAATTCCTGTCGCCATGTCCCACCCAACTCACCGGCGTGAATGACCGTACTCTTGGCCAGGGTGGAGACACTGGCCTTTGCTGCCGCCGGCGATAGACCCATCAGCTCGGCACTGAGCGGCGTGCGTACACCGTCAAGGAAATCACGGGGGTGGACGTGACATGAACACTTAACGACAGCATGGACTTTGATATTGAATTGTTGAATATTGCTGATCTTCCCTCGCTAAAAGGACAACAATAAGCGGCAAATGCATTATGCATTTTTGACTCATCTAACATTTTGAGAACTCATTACATGATGAAGTCTGATCGATTGAAATCAATAAAAAAGAGAAAAAAATGACAATGACGTCATGGACGTTAGTAACGACGAAACCGACGGCACATTAACATCAAAATAAAGCGTTTCAGCTCATTATCACAGCTGCAGTTCAGAAGCTGCTCATCGACTCCAACCGTCCCTCCTCAGTAGCTCTCCCGGCGCCTCCCTCTGGTAAAGGATACACATACGGCACGTCGTGCGGTCCGCGCAGCTGGTGCTCGTGGCAGGCGCCGCTCGAGATGATCATGTTCTGAAACATCCGACACGACACAGCCAGGTTAACAATGAACCGTGGTATACATACCTAATTTTCATCATTGAGGAGTACGGTGAACACATCACATTCCGTTCTCTGCCGTCCTGCCTCTTCCCTGCTCTTTTGGTGTCAGTCAGCGTGGTTGCTAACAATAACTGCTAGCTCCCCTCCTCAACCCTCCCATCGGTGATGCATGCCAGCGTGAACACCACTCATTCACGAACTCCCCTACCTTCTCATTGGTGATGCTTGTCAGTGTCAGCGCCGTCAGAAGCAGTTTCTGAACCCAACCCACCCCCTCATCTTTCCATTGGTGATGCCTGTCAATGTCAACTTCACGAACTATTCTACCTTCCAATTGGTGATCCCTGTCAGCGTGAAAACCATCAGCACCAGGTTATGAACCCCCTCACCTTTCCGTTGGTGATGTTTGTCAGTGTCAGCGCTGTCAGGAGCAGCTGCCGCCGAACGGAGCCCGCCGACAGCGCCGGGGCGTACACCAGCTCAACGACCACCCCGCGCCGCGCCGCCAGGCCGGCCAGCTTCCTGTTCAGCATGAAGCCGCGGAAAGAGGCCGGGTCCACGCAGATGATGTCCACCGAGAGAGTCTGACACGCTACCTGGGTGGAGGGGGGGGGGGGATCAGAGATGAGATGCCATAACACCAGACGGCTGAAGGGCAGGGCCAGTGTGGGAAGGTAGGTTCATTCAAAACAAGCATATGATGAAAACTCAAAATGTCTACTTTCTCTACTTACAACACTCACGGGATACGAGAGTACCGTGAGCCGGTAATCAACATGACAACGATTGGTGGCACCCGCTTATTTACTCACGTTGAAGGCGGCCTGGGTGGTCGGCTGGACGGCAAGCAGGTCGAACTTCTTCAGATTCGTCGACCGGCCCTGAAACGATTGTGGAGTCAAAAACGATAGCGTGAATGTAAGGCAGGGTAAACATTATCCGATAGTAATTTTGAAAAGAAGCATGAAAAAGACACTGTACGCATCCAACAAAACTACGGTTAAAACTACGGTTAAGTTCCATTAACTTCAAAATGAGGTTTCAACTTAAATGACTCAAAGACCATTATCAACTTTCGAGCATAGTAGGAACAAGGATATCGATTGGCGTCAAACACTGAAGCCCAGTCTACGTGTGCTCATGCGTTCGATTCCTCAGCCTAGTAACTCACGATTCGCGAAAGGTCTCCCTGTCCGGTGAACTCCAGGGTGACCCTCTTCAGCACGCGCATTCTGCGGCCCGTCCTCTGGAGCGGAAAGCGAAAAATGCGTCAGTTACACTTCAAAGTTCGACATATCAACACCAAAACAATTCTTATAATCTGATCCGATTGGTCGAATAGGCCTTTAACGGGCCCAGGTGCCCATGGCAATGCAAAAGCTAATGTGGAAAATTGCGCAATCACCACCTAGCCCCTATTAACCCATAACCGATTCACCAGCATGCTTTTTGGCCGCTATGTCCCTCCCCGTACCGGGCAGACCGGCGCGGTGAAGGTGATGGCTCCGGGGTCGGGGAACCCGTCCGTCAGTGCGGCCGCCTCCTCCGCAGACGGCGCCGCCTTCCGCATCTTCTTCTTCTTGGAGGTCACCGTCTCCAGTTTGTCAAGGTCAGCGGTCACGTTTACAGCGACAGTGGTGTATCCCACTGCACAGCAAAACGGGTAGGGGAGGAACGATCGTCAAATAGCAGCAGAGTGCGATGAATAGGGTACATCATGTTAACATATTTTGAGGAGTTAGAGATGTACAACGTGCATTGTGCAACAAATAAATAAAAAATAGAACTTTATCATAAAATGGCCAAAGCAAAGGAGTCTGATATTGGAATCCTCTTATAGTGAGATGCTTCTCTCAACTCACACACTTCTTAAGCTGTTAAGGAATATTAAAGCAGCAAGAAAGCCTGATATTGCCTCTAAAGTGCTCCTAATCTACAGCTGACATGCAGATGCCATTACTCACGCATGGCTGCCCTGTCCAGTACATTCTGCAGGGTTGTGTCCGACTGAGTGCTAGAACTGATGTTCAGGTCAAAAAATCCACTGATGTCTTCAGTTACCACATCCATCTCTAGCTGCTGCGGTTTGTTCTCAATCTGAAACTGAACAGAAGATAGTAGATAAGTACCTTGGTAAGGTAGTTGTTAACCGAGGTAACCAAGTACTAACTGAGTCTGAGTCTGGACTCAGCTTGGACTCAGCTAGGGGCATTGGAGCCCCTTGCACTTGTTGAGTTAGGCACAATTTTTCTTTTTTGCAACCAAGGAGAGGAACTACACCCAGAGATGCTTTCTAATCAAGCTTAACTAAACCAAATCAAACCTTTACCTAACCAAACCTGACCTAACCTTAGCTACAACCAAGGCTATATAAACCTACAACCTACAACCTAAGGCCTACAACCTAAAACCAACAACCTAAACCCTACCACCTAAAACCCACTGAACTTTAAAACCTACAGCCTACGATATATGTAGTTAGGATTTTAAATGACCTTTTCCTCGATAATTAATTGGAAATTCAATAAAAAGTAAATATTATATTGTTTGTCAATTGTTTCATGTGGCTTGAGAATGAACTGTTGTTCGAAAATTTGCCAAACAATATAATATTTACTTTTTATTGAATTTCCAATTAATTATCGAGGAAAAGGTCATTTAAAATCCTAACTACATATATCAAGATGTTCCTCGCTAGAGCACTGCATACTATTTCTTCCTACAGCCTACGAATTACAATCTAACCTACAACACTTCTCCTTGGTTGCCAAAAACACGTGTGATGCCTTTACTACTACCGTCTGGCCTAGATTTAGGTAGATACTTCAGGCTGCAATACAATAAAAATGGATGTGGTGCAATGATAACTTAAGTGGGCTCTGGCCAAATTGCATGCTGCTGATTTTATTTGTTTTGTTGCCAATAGAGAAACCTAACATAGCTTAGGCCTTAGGTCAGGTCAAGGCTGTGGTTAAAAACGACACGTTAACAAGAAATGTCATTGCGTGTTGATATGACAATTGACATCCCAGTACAAGTAACAGTACAAGTACCTAATGCTTATTGCTTTATGTTCATTTACTGACATAATGTCATTAAAATATTGATATCCTTGAAACCACTTTTAGCTAGTTTTCATTTTAGGATTATTTTACAGCAAAATCAACAATACATGAGACACAATTCAGTTCAATGAATTGACACATTTTACAGGCATAAAATCAAACTACAAGCTGTCACTATATTTTGCTATTTCTTCACAGTTCACTGCTACAGTAATATTTTTATTGTCACCTTAAAGACCCCCAAGTTGTCCAAAAATTAAAATTGCTTCACAAATAAATCAACATGTATAATAAATATAATAAATCAACATCAGCTCAGTGTTGACATTTATTTTGCCGCAAATGCCGCATTGACGAAATGGTTTTAACTTTTTGAGCGTTTGTCACGCCCCTAGCGGTCATTTGTGTCATACATTAATTTGTTTGCTTTTTAATTTAATAATTGGTTCACTTTTATAAACCGAAACATATTTTGTTTATAAGAAACCGTTAAATTCCACATAATGTCAAAAAATGCAAAAATTTGCAATTTTACCCGTGCTAATCATTTGTTTACTTCTTATCAAGGGCCCAAAAGCAAGCGGCCAAAGCACCATATACCGTCGACCACAAGTCTACCGCAAGGGCGGCTGCATTTCGTCGTTAGTTTACGGTCGTCAAGTCCACTGTTGCTGTGGTCAAGTCCTTTGGTCAGAGGTTGGGTCAGAGGCACTAATCTGTGATCTGTCAGAATCTGAACGCACAGTTCAAGCTCAATTTGAATCAGTAAGTCTTTGTTATTTCATTGGATCAGGATCATAAGTGGCGCTGGTTTAGTCATAACTCATACCAATGCCCAATTAACCATAGGTTGAGATCAAGGCTGAGTTGAGGTGTATATTTGATGTTACCTACAATCTCTGCATGCTTATATAATAAATAATCATAATGTTATGTGATTCTTATATCATGATATTGATATCAATATGATACCCTGATCTATGCTCTGACATTACAAAATACAAAATATTAAATAGCCATAGAAAATTGAAAATCATCACAAGCAGTTCATTTTAATTGTATGTTGATGTGTCATGAAAAGTTCCCCATTATTTTCATTCGTGTTCTAATAATTTGTGTTTCATTGTTTGTATGCTGATTTGTCTGTAAATGGAAAGCTGGTGAAGGCTGAGTAGATAAAAAGCAAATCTAACCTGACCTAATCTGACCTGACCTTCAACCTACCTACAACCTACCAACCTACAACCTACCAATCTACAACCTACCTACATACTAATTACCAACCTACAACCTACCACCCTACCAACACCAACCTCCAACCTTAAAACTACCAACCTACATGCCACTCAGCTCAGTCTGCATCTTCCATGTACCAGCTTGTCTCTGTTCAGCTCAGGCTATTTATTAGCATTTTATCTTGAATGTTTCCAATATCAATACAAATACAAATAAATATATTGCACTGGTAACTTCTCATCAATATATCAATATAAATCTTCACATATACCACCTTTTCTCCATAATTTTAGAATTGCTTGAGTTTTTGTGTCCTTTAACTTAGCAATACTTCATTCAAATAATGGATCTTGACTGCACCAAAAGGCAAAGGCAATGGGATCAAATACATCTTTTCTGCCTTTGGATTAGTAGAACTGATGAGCACATTTTGAACCAAATAAAACCATGTTTTACTGACAAAAGGAAAATTTTGTATCACTTTTTCATCCAATTCATATTTAAGGCACCCTAAATCAACAGCTATAGCACCAATGTTCCTTCATCTCTCTCCCTCTTTCATAGATTGCTTCTGTCCCTCTGATGCATCTTTGATTCTCCCTTTCTCTGTTTTCCTTCAAGTTAGTCCTCAGCCCTGCAAATCACATTCCACCAATTTAGTGTACACCTACTCATTCGCTTTTGTAGTGTACTCTTTCTTGCATTTTAGAATGGTGACATTAAAAACTCAATTCACACTTAAATTCACCACCCCTCAACTCCTGCAAAGTGGCAAGGCTTGTGGATGACTGAACCCCTATTTTCTCAGTTTCCTGCTGAGCTCTCCAGCAGCTGTGAGAGCCTCTGCGATGGAGGCGTCTGGCGAGCAGCAGCCGCCTCTGCTGCAGGATCCGCCGACCGGCGAGTCTCCGCCGCCCGCCGAGCCGGCCGTCCAGATGTCCGAGGAGGGACTCGGTAACTCGCGCACGGCGCATGAGCATGCGGGTGACCCTGGCGAGCCGGCTAACCACAGAGAGGCCGGGAACGAGGCCGGACCGGGCGCCGTCGACGAGGAGGGCACCGACGCGCTGACGGTGGTCGGTGCCGCCGCCGGTCCGCGCGCCGTCATCGGCGACCGCTCCGACCGTCTGTCTAAACAGTACCTGCAGCGCAGCACAGAGCTCAGAGGTCAGTTCACGGACCGAGGGGCAGGTCAGAGGTCAGTTCAGGGACCGAGGGGCGGGTATAAGGACACAGATGTCAGTTCAAGAACCGACTGGGCAGGTGTAGGGGCTCAGAGATGAGTTCAAGGACCGAAGGACAGGTGTAGGAGCTCAGAGGTCAGCTCGAGGACCTGAAGGACCGGTACAGGAGGTCAAGTTAGTCCAAGCACCGATAAATCGGCGAAGGATCGAGGTAAGCATCAGCAACAAGGCGTCAATTTACAGAGTCCAAGAATATGAGAGCGAGGCACTGGTGCGTAGAGGCTCGTGCCAGCCTTCAAAGGCGAGTGGAAGGTCTGCTAGTAGCGGGCCCGTCCTTAGAGATACTGTTTGCCAGGGGCTAGTGCAGGCAGGTCAGAGAACGTTATTGTTTTGGATGTCTCTAATTTTGCAGGGACATGGGGACCGTCATTGATTAGTTCATGTGGGAAGGTGATCAGTGACTATAACCGAATAGGCCTTCAGTCAGTTGGGCGTTTCAGGAATCAGTGTAGTAGGAAGTTCAGGTGTCGAAAGGACCGAAACAGCCCCACACTGAAAGGTAAGTAAAACTGTGAGGCTGGGTCGCTGGAATGTCCTTTTCAAAAGCGACGCAATGAACCTCGATATCAGCTTTACATCATGATGGAAGGTCAGTATGGCATGCGACGAGCAAGTGGGGCTGATGCGAAAGGTAAGGCCAATATGACAAGCTCCAGGATAATATGGGACACCTGTTAAATCCCGGGCTAGCACTGATAGTTCCTAGCATGGTAAACTGCCAGCCGATTGAGTATTACCGTGTGCCGTGATCCCTGCGTGCCAAACTAATCTGGGTTCGGAAGCTTCTGGCTACCGTAAAACTGTTTTGGCTCCTAGTGACGTTGTTTTGTGATTGTAATGAGTGTTTGTTGATGTTTATTAGTGTGTCCGACCCGACCTATGTCCAGGTAGCAAGCATACCGATTGCTGCTTTTCTTGAGCTAGTGATTGTTTGGTCCTTTTGATCGGTCTTTACCCAACTTAAATCACGTCGGCGAGCTTCCGCGTTTGATGCATCAAGCGATTTGGCCAACATAATGTGTTCAAATATCCGTGTCGAAATTCATTCAATGATTTGATTGTCATTCAATGACATTTTAGAAATGACCCGATCTATAGACCACATGCGTTGGCTGTCGGGTCGGCGGCCGCGCCTTATGGTGCGACTTTTGGTTAGATGATCCGGTCCATGTTCGTCCAAACATTGGCGTGAACAAGTGGTTCAGGGCCGCGCGGCGGGCCCGCCGGACCGTCTGGTGCCGGGTGTGCCCTCCGGCCGGCTCGGCCCGGTTCGTGCCGCCGGCACAGCGGGCGTCACCCCCCGTGTGACGGCGTGACGTGACGGCCGCTCCGTGACGCGTGACCACGTGACGCTGGGCGGAGGCAGAGTGGCACCAGACGGCGGCTGATTCGGCAGCTCGGCCGACCGCTCTGTGACCGGTTAGAACCAGCGGTCATGCATTGTGCATGTTCAGCGCTGCAGATCCGCTGAAGGACGTTATATTTATGGTTCTGGGTGAATGTCATCGTGTCATTTCGGTTTATTTTATTTTGCCTTATATGGAACCTATGTCAGGCTGACTGCAATGTCGGCACCTTTATGTTGTGTAAGAAGTAGACTTCAATTACATAGCTAGTTAAATGGGAGCCTAAAAAGGAATGTAACGTCCCAAATAGCTCGATATCAGCTGGGTGTCAGGGTCGTGACTTGCTTATAAATATTATATAATATTTGCCGCTTTGAAAGTCTGAACTGAACTGAACTGAACTGAACTGAACTGAACAAAATAAGTCTGAACTTTGATAAGTCTGAGTCTGAACTTTGAACACATGATAGATAACCAATATCGAGCTCCTCATGAATGACTCCAAGCATGGTTTGTGGTTATCTCTCATAAAGCAAGCGTCACCTCAACCACCCACCCGTCGGCGTACGCTAAGGCCGCCGGCGAAACGCAGCTCCCGGCTGTGCTTGTTTGAAATGGGTCTCTGTTTATATCTATCCGCGACCGCCCAGTCGTCCGGTTAGAGTCGGCTTCGGCCGGCTGAGAAAGAGGAAGGGATGGTGCAATGACCTGCAATGGTGTGGTCAGGGATAGCTGAATTGGTCGCCAGTCATTCTGTTGGGGCCTTAGTCGCTGGGTATTTAATTGGTGGAGTTTGTCGCATGTTTTCGATGTGCTCTCATCGGTTAATGGTTATCGTCATTTTTGTTGTCTTTGGCCAAGTTACCGAAGTCTGACCTGCCTATTGCAGTTTGGGAAGGCTGCTGATTTTTTCTCTTTCGCCTTTTACGAGGGGCTATGTCGTATTGAGGTTTTCATCGGTCAGACCGAAGGCGTCGTTCTCATTCGTTGTGAAAGTCTGCAATATTTTGTGTTACGTATACGTGTGCTTTCTGCCCAAGCCCTCAATCCAAACTTATGGATGAACTTCGTCTTGCCATTGAACATCGATTTGTGGCAGAATGGTTCATTTGATCGTCAGCATTCGCTCTTCACACTAAATGCAGGTGGCGAATCGTTTGTTATCGATTTCAGCCTTCAGGACATGTCAGGCTATCGGTTTCGTGAAAGTCATCCAAGCAGTGAGCCGTGTCCTCGGAGCATCGATTTATCGACACAGACTGCCTAACGCATATCTGAAACACTCGCTGAAACAGAACTTGTCCATGTGCTGACGATTTCAAGGCCAAACAAATCAGTGCACTCTGGTGGCTGCCTGTCTCGGGTCATTATTTGATTATGTTTAACGTTTGGTTTCGCGATTATTTGTTGAAACTGACACTCTTTTTAACACTTGGCATTACTTTGCAGTTTGCACCATTATCAAAGCAGCATGCATGTCTGATGTCATCATGTGATACCTTCAATCTGGGTAGTTTGATCGCTTCATAAAGGTTGCTCAGCTGTCCAAAAGTTTTTGAACGGCTGACGGGACAGTGGGTGACTCTTTCTTAGTATCCCTTTCCTTCAGTGGGACTGGAGCCCGTTTGTTTTGTTGGGTTTATTTTGCTTGGATGCCTATCACGAAACCGATAGCCTGTGTGTTCCGCATACCATTGGCAAATTTGATATTCTTAGGTCCAATACAAATGGATCGCTAATGGTTTTACATAAGAGAGAATGTAAAGAGAATGCATTCGCTCCCCTCGACCGTCCGTGCCATTCGCGTATAACACCATACGCTATTCGTTGGCCCGACGCGCCACTCTCAAGGACACCATATTGCTCTGTCTGAAGCTCTCTATGACATCTGCGCCCCCCCCCCCCCTCACGCATGGCTTCCCTCCCCGATTGTCGGCCGTCTCACTGTTTATGACAGGTCACCTGGGCGGGGGTCTGGTGCCACGCGCGCCCGTACTGTCCGCGTCTGACTTCGCGTCCAGTCGCCCCTCGGCCTGTCTACGCGGCTGGGCTGTTGGCCGCGCGGCTCATCTGTCAGTGTTCGTCGGAGGACCGCTGGAGTCGGTGTCTGTCTCGTTGGTTGTCGCTCGGTGGACTGTGGTGTCCACAGGCCGTGTCTACTCCCAGGGGACAGTGGTGTCGGTAGTGACAGGCCACTCGGCTGGTGCGGTGGTGCTTGGTGCCCTGCTGGTGAGGCTGGTGCTTGAGCTTGGTGCCCCGCTGGTGAGGCTGGTGCTTGAGCTTGGTGCCCCGCTGGTGCGGCTGTTGACTAGTGCCTCGGTGGTGTGAGTGGTGCTCCAGTGGTGCGCGTAGTTTTCCGGCTGTGGTGTGAGGAGTGCTCTGGTGGCGTGATCAGTCGCGTGCCACGTGACTCGGGAAGCCGGCGAACGGAGAGTGAGAGGTGGAGGTTCCGAGGATACCGTGCGACACTCCGATGGACCTGCCAGAACCAGATTCAGGTAGATGGACATGGGAGCTAGCTGAGCGAGGGCTGGGTGGATTTATCATACAGTCGGCCTGCTGCACTGTAGCGCATGATTCATGGCTAGCAAGTGGCAGCGGCGCAGCGCCGAGAAGCTGTTGATATTTCGACGGTGAAGTTTGACGAAACAGTGCCGGTGAACCTTATCGGGATATTTGCTCGCACGATTGTATCAATATCAGTGACATGGGTGGGATTCATTCAGTATCTAGTTGCATTTGCCGTTGGCTAACACGTGCTCACTGTTCAAGTTCATTTACTTGACGGAAGGTGAGCACATGGGAATTGGAAGTTCTTGAAAAGCACACACGAGCAATTTATTTAGACCAATCCAGATCATCTGGTTTCCTGCGAGACTCTTCTCTGTTCCTCAAATATCGTTCGTCATAGGCAGCATGATCGTCTTCGCTGTCTTACCTAGGGAGAGTTTTCTAAGCTTCTATGCCTTTACTATACCGTCGCGCTGGCACTGGCAGTATCGCGATGTAATCGAAACAACAGCCGATGCCTCCTCATCTAGTTCATCTGAGTTTTTAATTTGCCCTTAGGGACAGCAGGCTGCCCTTGCCATTGAGCACTGGAAGCCTTGTACTGCTAGCAACTATCTCACTCTAATTACTCTAACAATTCTCATATTCGCTGCAATGGGCTCTGATGGTCCACTGCACCGCAGCGGCTTCTTTGGTCTACACTGCGTCTCATCGCTACTGAACCGGCTCTAACCAGTTTTTCCCAATGTGGGTACCTGACCGGACTATCACGCCACGTTCCGCTGCCCGCGGCTCCGTCTGGCCCTGGTGGCTCTTGTCGTCCGCCCCTGGCTCGCTCCAACTGCAGCAGTTCAGCAGCAGTTCAGTGACGATAGCGCGGAGCTTTGTGCCAGCCGCACCGAGCGATAGGTGGCTTAGTGTGTGACTGTGATAGCAATGAGAAACGACATAGCGAGCGACGTTGTACGGCACAATCGGCGGCGGGGCTGGGAAGGGGCGGTGTGCCGCGTTTGTGGGCCGCTCCTGGTCGGCGGCGGGGGGGGGGGGGGGGGGCTCCATTTCATCGTCTGGTCTTACGTCACCCGTCTCTAATGTGTCGTCATCTGTCTCTTCTCCCGCCCGCGTCCTATACGGCTTCCCATTGTATCTTCTCGCTCCATTCCGTCGCTTTTTGAAGTTTTCTTCTCAATCCGCTGCGGCTGCTTTATTCGCAACATCCTGTCAAACTTACCGTCACTCTGTGCTGTCCTTTGCATATTTTTTGTCTCTCCTGTATCCTCTCACTGTCATGTATTATCTCGTCCCTTTAGTACTCCGCTCGTCCTGTGATATTATATCCACGCTGCGCCCACCGCCGCCCGTCCTGTCGTCCCCCGGTTCTGTTTCATCTGTCCTCAGTGACCTGTTCTCTGTCAGACCAAAGGCCACGGCTTGGACGTCTATTGTAAACGGTCCGGAGTAGGCGGGCCTGCGTGAGACGTTTCCGGGTATAATCTGGACAGAAATTATGGGTCACCAGGCATCGATGGTCATTGTCAGGGATGTCATGGTGAGATAAACGGAAGATTGAACACATTTTATCTTGGCTGTCCCCAAGCTTAGATTTTCTGTCCATTTTTGTAATTGTGATAAGTGATAACGAATAGGATAGCAGAAATTATTTGCATGTAGGTACTATGTCTATTGTCTATGTTATGTGTAGGGTTAATAAAGCAAGATCATTAAATTTACAGATGGATTGATTTATTGAAAAGTTAGCATTAAAGGTAGTGTGCCAGCTTTCTTGGACCGTATGGAGTTAATGGCCCAGATAAGGAGAACCGGATTTTTAGAACTTATCCACACCTTCAAAACTCATGGAAACGTCTTAAATTCTTCAAATTTTGAGTACCCCAGTGCGAAATTCGCCCCGACGGGTTGTCGGTCGTACCCCAACCACATTTCACACCACTATGAACAATAAATGCACACACTGAAATCGCTATTACCGATATGCTCATCCAATCAAGTTTCGATAAACCCGTTCATCATCATTTCCTGCGGTTTCGAACACGCCTGTTAGGTGGCTTCTGAATCTGATGCTCGTCGAGGTCGGAATTTCCAAATACGCGTGGTGCGTCGGGCCGCGCGCTCTGACTTCGGCCAAGAAAAATGCGTCAGCTGATCATTGTCATTTCTGCCCGTGTTTCTGCCACTTGCGTGTGGTGAAATGGGGTCATAACTTATAAGACGGCTTTTTCATATCAATTATTTTACATAAAATCATATTTCAAACCATAAATAATGTTCGACAGCCAAATAAAAGAAACAATACAATACGGGCTCACAGTTTAAGGCTCGACATTGTGTTGTCTACGATTAGACAGCTGATAACTCATTCCCGTACGTCGTTTGGTCGTAACACTATAATGACCTTTGCTTATTGTCACAAGTGCGCCGCATTCGCGATTGTTGCCCGACGCCTGTTTGCAGGTGAGCCCACTACAGTTGTTATACATATCTAAAAACCGAAAAACTTTTAGGCGAAAAAGGCACTATTCCAGGCCCATTTTTGATTTTTTTGCGATACTAGGTAAAAACAGAAGCTTCTTATCCTAGGAAAAATAAAATGGGAAATCTTTCAAAGGTGGCACACTACCTTTAAACCCAACTTTTACAAAAATGATCAATGTTCGGTGACGCATGGTTTCCTCCCCCTCCCCATTTTCCTCCCTCTGCCTACCTCAACTCGGTATCACATTTCTGTGCAACTATCAGTTTTCCACTCTGGAGGAAGAACGTATTAATTTACCTCGGTCATGTGGCCTCCGACTGACCAGCTGTCGCCCCCCCCCCCTACCGCTCCTCCCCGCCCCCTCCTGGCGGCTTTGCCACGTGTGTCAGCCGTCTACCCGGTGATTCAGGTGACACAGGTGGGCCGGAGTGCCGCCCCTGTGCCCCTATCGATCGATTTTGTATGTAGGTCCGGAGTCGGACCTGTGCGGCGGTTGGTTCGGTCGTCTCTGCTGTGTAGGTGGTTCTCAGGCGCGGACGGGTTGGCGAGCTGTGACGTGTGCTGCTGAGGCGTGTAGCTGTGAGTTTTTGTGAGTTGTAGCGGCGGTGGAGTTGTCTGCCTAGAGCGGCGTGATGGCAGATGCACCGTCGAACGTAACAGCGTTGGAGGCAGAGAAGGACTCTGAGAGGGGTGATGAGACTGAGAAGACTGAGTTAGTGGCAGACAGTGAGAAAGAGAGACCTGCGGGTGCTGAAGACAAGCAGACAGACGCTGGACCTGCCGCGGCGGTAAAGGAGAACGGGAAATCCACTGATAAGCAGTCTGAAAACGGCCGTGCAAGTCCAGAAGAAGACTCCAGCACTGAGCCCCCAGCTAAGAATGGCAGGCAGAGTCCGTCCTCTAATAAGAAGGTGGTGAAGGAAGCTGAGTCTGCGGAGCCTCAGAAGTCGCCAAAGTCCAGCCGGGGAGCGGTTGGCTCGACAACAGCGGCCGTTTCCACTCCAGTCAAAAAGAAACCAACGCAGAACGACATTGACCTCCTCCAGGGTAAAGTAACCTCGGGAATGTTTACTCTCGGTGTGATACTCCAGTACCAAGTTTTTTTTTTACAGCTTAGGTATACCTTACTGCTTGGTTGGTGGTGGGCTTTCCATTGAACTCGGATGTTTTCTTTCGTTTGCCTGCCAAAGACGGGCTTCGCGCTTGATGCTCGATCGTATCAATCAAACAATTTTAAGTTGATTAAGCTTTGCATCATCTCAATTCCTTCCTCTCTTGTCCTACGCTGATCTTTTGTGATGCCTTATGATCATGAACCCACGAAAACTGTGAAGGTGAGCCCAACAGTGACTTTCGACCTCTGGGGATAAGTCTTAAAGCTGGGTCATATCTGTTTTGAATGTTAGCATGAGTTGTGCCGCACGATTATGTGCACACTGAATGTTTAGCGTTTATGGGTCCTATAAGTATTCGCAATGTTTTGTGCCCAAACACTACCACTTTCACAACCCCTAAAGAACGGACCCATTAGCTGAGGTCTGATTAGAATAGAAGCCCACGTAATTCTAGCAGTGCAAAGTTTAAAAAAATTGAATTATTAGTGGAAAATGAGTAATGACATCCAAATGAAATTTTCGGACTGCTATGGCGACTGCAGGAGGTCAAACTTCATGATGCGGTTATAACCCATTGCCTGTCAATGTTATGAAATGTGTACTGGTGGTGGTTACGTAACAAGTGACGTAATTTGGTTCGTAACGCCTGAGTAAACACTAAACAGGTTATAGCCGGCTGTTTCTCAGGATGTCTACAAAAATAATCTCGCGCCATAAAACATAGTTACTGGTTATTTCCTGACTTGAGGACAGTGCATGATAGTGATAGCAAGTGATAGTGCTACCAGGTACCGGGCGAATGAACTTGTCAGGAATTTCGACCTCCCTGTCCTATCGGCTCACCCAACGGCGCGACTCACCGAATGTCTGACTGGTTCCCGGTTTGGCCGCTAGTCGGCGCTGGTGTGGCGCATGGTGTTGTGACCAGCTGTGGGGTGGGACATGCGGGACGTTCGTCTGTCTGGTCTCATCCCTTCCCCTCCCCACCAAACCCATTATCCGGTGCCCTAAACCTCTGGCTCCATGCATGTCAAGCACTGCGCGAGATCATTGAGCGCCTTTGCTTTGAACTTCCCACGAGTTCGAATGTAGCCGATGAACTTCGCGTCCCGAAGTCTTGAAAACAGGGCGCAGCTCGAAGCAGACTCATGCTCCACGTAGCTGCCCAGCCGTGTTGGCCTCACATACACCGGCGTTGGCTTCGGCAGCTTGATGATAACCACTGCGGAAACCAATAACAGCAATTTAACTTGACCGCTTGCCTACACGGGAATCGTTCGTACTCAGATTGTCATATGATTCAATAGTTGCGCGCTGCGATTGCAGTGTTCAGTGTTGATTGTCAAGTGAACGTTGCGCAATGCGACCGGTCCTCCAATGTTACACCAGACTTATCGGTATCATCGTTTGATGCTCGGTTGTTACTTGTGGTCGCGGCCTTCGACTGCTCCGCCATGGCAGTTTGGCCTTGTAAAGGGAAACAGGCGATCGTTCACAAAAACCGGCATAGCTGTGGGAAGCCAGTATTGGACATGCGAGCAGACGCTGGTTATTTACGTCGTGCTACTGTTCGCCTGATACTGAATGCCTGCTCTTGAAATACTTGGAAAACAGACCTATATCTAAAGGAAAAGTTCCTACCCGATGTGATTTTCTCTAAGCAGTTAATCCACTACCTTTGCATTTTTTACCGGCTCGTTCGTCATCAATTGTGTTGGTGGGTGTGGCTGAAGACATCCTGTGACGCATCTCGTTCTCAATTCTCAACCCGTGACAATCTCAGGCCTGCTGGCGTCTCTGTTGCCTATCAGTTAGCCGTACTGATTTTCTATTCTCCACTGACGTCCCCGGGTCTCCAGTGTGTTTATTGAGGTGGCCGGTGACATGTGCTGACTTCCCACCCTCCGACGTTCCCAGGTCTGCTGACGTCGCTACTAGACGCGGCCGGTGATGTGTACTGACGTTCCACCCTCTGCTGCCCCCAGGTCTGCTGACGTCTCTACTAGACGCGGCCAGTGATGTTCAGGACGAGGTGCGGGCCTCAGTCAGCACTGCAATATTCACATTGGGACGGAGTAAGCCGTACGATGTGCTGCTCACGGTCTTCAACTACCTCACTGCCGACCGGCCCAAGGTAATTCGCGTGGGGGTCGCTGGTGTATGGCGCTGTCACTCGCGTTCAATGAACCGCGAAAGTAGTATAAGGGAGTTCCTGTACAGCACTTGCATGATGATGTGGAGGGGTATCCAATGTGATGTAGGCAGTAACGACGGCGTTATATTGGTTTGATGAGAGGTCTGCATCCTGCAGGCTATGGAGTCTGGAGATATACCGCTAACCCCGCCCTTTCCCTATGCAAAGCTTTCGTGGGATCTGCTTCTAGCCACCTTCTACCCATTCCCCCTTTGTGTCCAGCAGGGGCTTGGGCCGTGGAGAGCTGTCGCTAACCTATCCATTCTCTCTTGTTATTCTGACCGGCAGGGCTTCATGCAGCGGATCTGCATCCTGCAGGCTGTGTACTGTGTAGATTTGTCTCTAACCTGCCCTTTCCCTCGGCAGGGCTTTATGCAGCGGATCTGCATCCTGCAGGCCGTCGAGGAGATATGCCGTGATGTGGGCGCCGAACTGGATGACCACGAGGTCATGGAAATCGCGCCCCTCATCGTTAATGAGATGGTCAGCAGCAAGTGAGTTCTGGATGGAAAGCTACCGTCATGTGATCTTGGTGGGACACGATTTCTGAGGATTTGCTGGTGACGCCAAGATTCCTTAACTACTCGTGACGCGGAATCCCTGAAGGTTTTCCTGGTGAACCGGGAGGTTTCGTTCACTGTCCATCAAATAAAAGTGTCGCGAGTTATCCAGCTTGCAAATAGCTTTTGCACTTAATCTCCTGAGCGAGCTTAGCGTGTTCTGATTAGCTACGCAGCGTGTTTTGTCAGTATCTTTATCTCCCGTCTGCTATGGTGGTGCCCGCTGACTGCAGCACTCCCCACCCCATCTCTCCTGTTCTCAGAGAGGTGATACCACAGATCCAGCAGCCGTGCTCCGAGGCGCTGGTCGGTCTCGGACAGAACCACTGTTTCCAGGTGAGGTGCACGGAACCTGCGGCGCGGCAGGGACATGGAGGATTGACTCGCGAAATTGGCTTGGGAAAGGGAATGGGCCTGCAAGCCGGCGCAATCGGTCTTGTTTGGATAACTTAGTAATGAAAGATTAGTTGCGTTTTTACGAACTTCTGCATACCTAGTACCTACTAACAAAACAGGCTGATTTTGTTAGCTGACAGCTCACGTAATAATTCTGGCTCGCGGCTCATCCTGCCTTTCTGGCTAATGTCACTTAGTTTGTTACTAATTTTTGTAGTGCCTCTCACTGCCCTGACCCGCCCGCTCCTGACCTAACCTATGTGACCTATGTGCGCCGCCAGGTGATGGAGATTCTTACCACCAAACTGGAGACGTCTCAGCTGCCGCACTTTTACACGCTGCAGACCATGGGCTCCCTGGCCACCTCCAACGTCTACACCATGGTGCCCTTCCTCAAGGGCATCCTGGGACCCATGCAGCCCATGCTCAACATGGTCAAACAGGACAACCTCAAATGGGCATTCGCCTTCGGTGAGTGTCGCTGAAATCAGATCCTTCTCTCGTGTTTCGATTTTGTCCGTAGATCTTCAAGTATTGGGTTGAATTATAGTGACGCGAGGCCGCGGTAGCCGTCCTGCTTTTCGCTAACTTTCGATCAGTGCTGATTTCGACAGGGCAAAAACAATAAAAAATCGAGGTACGTGAAATATCCGAGCAAGGCCCATAACGTTGTTTCTTGTTTCTTTCTTGTTTTCTTACCACTTCCTCGGCCGGCAGTGATTGCGCGATTCTGCGAGTGTATCACTGAGTACCTGGCCAACATCGATAAGGCGCCCGACCCGCTGGTCAAAAAGGAGTTCTACTCCACAGAGATCAACTCAGCGTTCGACATTCTCTTCAACTCCTGGCTCACCTCCAAAGACTCCAAGGTAAGGTTTTGGAGAATATATTTGTCCTAGCGTAGGCTTAGACACTAAATTGCCCTGAATATGTCATTCCATTTGTAATACCATTTTCACTGATTATTTACATGTGAATCACAAAAGGTGGTCGCCTATTTTCCAGACATCTTTTGTTTGCGTTGCTTCCAATTTACGGTAATGTTTTGAGACTGGCGGTGATCACTCTTTACCAGTCTTCTCTATCCCGCTTTCAACAGGTGCGACTTCAGGTGGCGGAGTCGATTGGCCAGATGGCACACATCATGGACACGGACAAGCTGTCCGAGTCGCTGACCAAGCTGCTGCCGGCGCTGCTGCAGCTCTACAAGCGCCACTCGGAGCCCTACCCGGTCACCTGCGCGCTGGCCATGGTCCTGGACGCCTCGCTCATCACCGGGAAGCACGTGCTGGAGCTGCACATGGAGGCCATGCTGACGGCGCTGTTCCAGCAGGTGTGCGCCGTTCCCGACTACACGCTGCCGCTGACGGTGAAGAATCATTACGAGGTGCTGCGCTGTTGCGACACACTCGCCAAGTGCAGCCCCGATCCGGTAGTGAGCTTCTACCTGAACCGGCTGGGACACAGCTCGGATCGGGTGCGGACCGGGTCGCTGACCGTGCTCAAACATCTCATCAACGCCTCCGAGTTTGAGCTGGCCCAGAAGGTGCCCGATATCGAAGGAGGGTTACGCCTGCTGCTCATGGACCCGTCGAACAAGGTGAAGAAGGCGCTGACGCAGGTGATCATGGCGCTGGCGCACCGCGGCTTTCTGACACAGCAGGACGGCGCCGTGTTCGTCGAGTTCATCGTGCGCCAGTGCTGCCTGCCCGACGAGCCGCCGGCGCGCCGACCGGCAGAGGCTGACGTGACGGCAGAGTCCCTCCGCTCCATGTGTGAGAATGTGCTCCACCTGCTCAGTACGACCGTGGACCAGATGCTGCCGCTGCTGTGGCCCCACCTTCTCGAGTACCTGACGCCAGAGTATGCCGGCGCGCTACCCACGGTTATTAAATGCGCGGCGCAGCTGGCCGGCCGGGCGCGGAAGATGGACCCCGAGCCGGACATCTACGCCAACAACCGTGAGTGGAGGGCGTGGACGGGGAGGGTGCTGATAGGAGTTTAAGGAGATTGCCTGCTGCCCCAGGACCGAATGGGATAATTACGTAGTTTTGCGATGTCCTGCGTTGTACTGAATCGTGCCGGTTACTAGTTAACTATTGATCGTCTACCTACTTCAGATTGTCCGGATAAATGATTATCCCTTTTCTACGACATCATCTCGCATTCCTGTCATTGCCGTCCCTGTGGAAAATCGCCGTCGATGTGTCGTGTTCTCCGTCGCTCTGACCGCCCTCTGCTCTCGCTCCCGGCAGCGAACCTGCACCAGCCGGCCACTCTGCTGTCCTACCTAATGGTTTGGCTCGGCTGCCCGGAGCCGGGCAGTCGCGGACACCACACACTGCAGCTGATGGAAGGCGTGGTGAACCAGATCAACACCGGACTGGCTGAACTCTGGGACCTGCGGCTGCCAGAGCTCACCGATAAACTCAACGGTCAGTGGTGAAACCTTGCTGTATTATCGGCGGTAAGCGTTGAAAGTACGGTGACAATTTTTTTAAAGCTTGTGGTGCGTAACGCATTTTAACTTGTTGGAGTTTTAGTATGCTGCCGGGCATCCGACAATCAATTACGCTTGCCATTCCCCAATTTCTTGGGGTGCTTGATAACGCCCTGAATAGACATACACCCGTGTGGATTATAATTCAAATTTCATTATGCAATGCTAGCGGAAATATACGGCTTTCCTTTTGCCTTTTGGCATTTCCATTTCAATGTTTTTTTCCCTGAAACGAAACTGTTTTTCCTTTGCCGCCAGTATCCACTGCGCTGCTCTGATGCTCTGACTATCTAGTTCCTTCTCCCAAATATGCACCGAAAAAGTTTTAGTTGATCGTCTCTCTCCCAAAAAATAATCAAATCACTCCCAGCGGTCTCTCGCTCTCAATGTACGCAGAAGTCACCCTCTGACTCTCCCTCTCTCCCATCCCGATTTTCAGAGAACTACGACGGCCGGCAGCGCCGCGAGTGGGAGCAGTCTGTTCTCTCCTTCCTGCGCGAGTCGCTAGTGGCTGTCGACAATCAGGAGTGGGTCGACCAAGTCGGTGAGTCCGCACTCAGCCCGAGTTAACCGCTCAGCCTCGGTCTGGGCGGCCGTGGCGGAGGGAGGAGGTGGTAGTGGTGGTGGGTGGGGTAGAGTAGACTGTCGTAGATTGACGCTTCTTCGTTTTGTTTTATTTTATTTGAGGGACATTTATAGTATGTATCCTGTAGTGACTGCTGTTTTGTACTTCATTGCGGCTCGGCGTTAGTATGTGTCTCGGCGCACTGTAAAGTATCAGCGCGTTTTTAGGCTATGTCGCGGGCGGGCTGAGAATATTATGTCCGCGGCGCTCTGACGCGGGCCGAGTCAGTATGTCCACGGCGCTCTGACCGTCGCCGGTCGACGGCTGGCTAGGCGCGCTCGGCAGGTTCTCGCCGCTGCGGACGGCGGCCACCTCAGCACTGGTCATCAGCCCCCCTCCCCCACTGGCCACCCCAGTGGCGGCCGCGCGCAAACAGATGGACTCGGCAGACGTCGGTCAGTAGTCGGTCCCGCGCGCAGTGGTCCCGCTGCTCTTCTAATCGAGCTCGTGCGGCCGTGGAGACGCCGCTCCGCTCGCTGTGGTTAACTGGGCGTCGCGGGGGTTCGGTCGGCCGGAGGAACGACTGAGAAGGTTTCGTGGTAGTTTCGGTTTGACAGGCGGTGGTAGAAGATGCAGAATAACAACAACACCCTCCGGCATGGCATGATTCCTATGTGTGGTGTAATACGTGGGTTACCCTCGGTTTGCTGCCGGGCTCGCGGGGGCGTGCGGGTGGCAGGACTGACTGACTGACTACTCGGGGGCTGCTGAAGCTCTGAAGTGCGGGTCGCGGGACCACTGCGTCGCGGCTGATCCGGGCAGGCCGGACAGCGTGTGTGGAGTGTGACTCCGGATGCGGGGCTGAGAGCGGCTCCTGGTGTAGGGCTGAGTGCTGGAACTCTGGTGCCGGAGAGATACTCAAATTCTTCTTCTTCGGTGGTACTCGTAATGCCTGCTGCAGTGCCGGGTTTTGAGGGTATGCGGGTTAACGGATCTCTAAAGTTTGTTGAACCTGAATTGAAATACTCAACAACGTGGAGGTGAAGGGCTTTCAGTTTTGCATGTGAAAACGACGGGATGGTGGCTGATCTGAACTGGATCCTGACTACTGTTGGCCGACCTTTACGGCTTTGCGTTAATTTGTGTCTTAGATAAGGGTCGAAATAGGTTGTGGTGATAATATGCATGGTGACTCATTCTTCAAAATCTGTTGCATGTGTAAATTGAGTCAAAACTCCTATGGCCCATATAATGCAAATTTGTTCTTGTTTTATCTGTAGGGTAAGCTGTGCACATGCAATTTGAACAACTATTTTATTGCTTAAATGCTTACGTGTTAACTACAGCTGATACCCTCGCATATTCTTTTCAGATACAACCCATGCTTTGAGAGTGCTGCTAGATATGCTTCCTTGCTTTGCTTCTCTGTCATGCTTTTATCAATTGCTGGTTGTCTTCTTACCCAAAGTTCTATCAATGTTGCGGGGTAGCTCACTCCGGAATATGTTATGTTTTGGCGCATCTTCGTACATTAGGATGCACTGTTGTATAGCAGCACCTGCGCACATCATTGCCTGTAACTCTCGGTGTCATCAACGTCTCCCCACGGCAGCTGTATGATAGCACTTGTTATTAATCATCAGCTCATGAGATGTTAACTTGCGATAACCTTCGCTCCTTTACGCTAATCCGCCTGCGACCCGCCCTCTTTGTTCTTCGGGACTTCTTGCTTCTTCTAGTTCTTCTGTATCTTTGTGCCCATTGATGACATAGTTAGTCCCAAAATAACCGTCGTCCGTCCCTCCGCTGAATCTCTGTTGACCCACTGAGCCTTCAGGTGACAGTTGTGGGCCTTTGGCCTCTTCTGACCACCGTTAACCCCCTGCTTACCCGGTATGCCCTCAGGCGCCGCGATGGCCGGTCACCTGAGCTCGACGCTGTACGCGGAGCGGCCACGCGAGCGGGCCTTTCTGATGCGCTGTATGGCCGCGTGCGTGTGCCGCCAGCAGCACAAGAAACTGGTCTGCGCGCATATCGACTCAATATTCGCGTCCGTGAGACACGCCGAGCCGTGCGAGCGACAGGTAGGTGTGGGTCAGCAGCAAAGCTAGGGTAAATGCTGATCCTGGGAAAACTATAGATATCAGAATTATATTTACAGCTCTCGCCCGGCCAACAGACTTGGGTGCGATGTACTTTTATCAAAGAAAGCCCAGGCTTTGTACTTACCTGTCTGGCGTGACAATGATATATTCGCCTGCATTGCAGCGGCGTGTAAGTCAAACGGCTTTCCGGGCCTGTGGGCTTGGTGGTTGTCTTTCTCTCCTTCTGTGTTAACGATGACTAACTGGCGTTTTATTGTTCCTGCAGGGCTGCGCACAAGCACTGGGTCTGATCTCGTCCGTCCACCTGGACCCGGTGCTGGCCAAACTGGACCAGGTGGCGCGCGCAGAGCTCTCCAAGAAACCCACCGGCCTGCTCGGCTTCATGAAGGACACCAAGGTAGGACTATTCGGGCGCTGCTAAGTAGTCTGGTTGTCGGGCTAGTATCATGGCGCTATGCCGTGTTTTATTGTGGAACGTATTGTTAAACAAGGCCACTGTTTGTCTGATGAGCGAAGTAACATCGTGTTCAACAGTCATATTGACACAATGTCCCAAAATTTGTCGATTTGGGTGGGAAATGACATCCAAAGGAAATCCATTTTCCACTCTCACCACCAATTTTTAAGAACAATTTTCCACTCCCAACCAAGAAAACCTAGATTTTTTTTACCTCTAGAAAGAGCGGTTGTGTGACTGCCCGGTTTAGCATCAAACATTCTACATCCTAGAATAAAATCCATGTTTTATGGCGTTTCTCACTCTTTTTGGATCTAATCGAATCAGCAGTTTTCCACTCTCTCCCCTCTTTTTGGTGGGTAATTTTCCCCTCTGGCACCCCAGACAAAACTCAATTTTGGGACACTGTATTGACACGTGTTCAATTGCCCGTGACATCGTGTTCACTGTCGCTCTCGCTTCAATAAATATCTCAATCAACAATAGTTCCGCAGTCTGATGGAATACATATGTCATCGAACCTGGTAGTTTTACCCGCCTCTAACCGGCACCGTGTCTCCCCACACAGGGTGAGGCGGCCCAGGAGCGGATGCGCGCCACGGTGATCCTGTGCTACGGCCAGGTGGCCCTGATGGCGCCCCAACACCTGCTGCTTGAGCGCTTCGAGGTGCCCGTGTTCCGAGACCTGCAGACCTTCCTGCCCAACTGCAAGGTACAGTGATTTATGCGCTTGTTCTCCTTTCAGTGTCTTTGAATCGCAAGGAAGGCCTGATGGGATGGACGGACAGATTTCCATGACCAACTACCGTTTATGGATAGGGGTAGCGTACCTAAGTTTCCTGACGATCCAAAAGGGAGCGACGGCGTCGGTGTGTAATGCCTTGATGGTGTCCTGCGATGCAACAGTGCATTGCGACTTGCGCAGGCGGTACATAGAGCTCGTTTTGCTGAATACATTGTCGAAACCTCTTGCGAGTTTCCCAGTGCAGCATTGACTCTCCTTTCCACTCCTCTGGCACTTGAAGTTCGTAGCGCCGTAAGTTGTGGAGACTGGCAAGCTAGTAGGCATTGGTATAACATTCCTCTCCCCCTCAGACAGCCGAGGTGCGTCGGGCCATCGTGGAGACCTCTGGTGAGCTGGCTCGGGCACTCCACCCGGACCGTCTGAAGGAGCGATACCGGTTCAGAGGCCGTGACCAGCTGCTGCAGTTCATACTGACGGCACTGAGGACCGAACACGAGCTGGAGGTGGTGCACCAGATACTGGCCTCGGCCAGGGCGCTCGTGTGAGTGATGGATGCGAGAGACGGGATGATGGGCGGGAGATTAGACGGATGGGAGGGGGGAATTTAGAGCGATACGTTGGGAAGGCAGACTGCTGGAATGGCAGGGACAGCGAAAACTGGACTCCGGGAGTGTAATTAATGAGTGAGTGGATTATCCGCTGTATTTTTGTGATTTTTAACTTACTAAACCTCGTAGTGATCTTGTCTGTCTATCACTGGGCGTCACTGGATCCCGCCCTGACCGTATGTTACGCATGTACCTATGTGTGTGACAGTTGGCAAACCTCTCTTACCTTAATTGTATGTGACAGGTCTCTGGACCCCGCGCTGACCACCGAGGACCGGACCGGTCTAATGAAGACAGTGTTTGAGGCCGTCTACCCCGTCCGTCGCGAACTTCCTCAGGACCACGAGTCCACGGCCCAGTACCAGATTCACAGGAAGGTGAGACGCGTACGACTATTGCATTGCACCACTCGGTACCAAATAAACAGGAAGGTATGCGCCAGTCAGCTACTGTAACACAGTTGCTTGAGATTATCTGCGTTTTTTTTTTTTTTGCAACGTTCCGATGAACTTTCTACAACAGCTGCCCGCTCTGGAACATGTAAAAACGTATACAATAATGGGACGTTAGTGTTAATGAGAATGTGACTCAGTGCTAAACAGAACTGGGGTGACTGACCCTGATTAAAATACTCCAAACGTTGCCACATTTGACGCTACAACCACGGACGTGCTTACCTCTAACTCAAGACCAGCGACCCCCCCCCCCCCTCTCAGATTGTCTCCGAGCTGGACCGCCTGGTGTGCACGTGACCTCTAACCCCTCCCCCTCCCACCCTGTCCCCAGATTATCTCTGAGCTGGACCGCCTGGTGTGCACGTGACCTCTACCCCCTCCCCCTCGTCCACTGCACACTCCTGCTGCGCGACGTCTTACCCCTCCCCCCATTCTCAGATTGTCTCCGAGCTGGACCGCCTGGTGTGCACGCTCCTGCTGCGCGACGTCTAACCCCTCCCCCATTATCAGATTGTCTCCGAGCTGGACCGCCTGGTGTACACGTGACATCTAACCCCTCCCCCCCCCGTCCCCAGATTGTCTCCGAGCTGGACCGCCTGGTGTGCACGCTCCTGCTGCGCGACGTCTCGCCGGCCGTGCTGGACGACCTGGTGACGTCACTGGTACCCTGGGTGACGTCACAGGCGGCGCACGAGCGGGCGCACAGCATGTCCACGCTGGGAATGGTTCTGCAGACCTACCTGGACAACGTGCACGTCGGAGAGGGGGTGAGTCAGACGGCAGGTTGAGGAGGAGGGCCAGTCCAGAGGAGGTGTGAATATAAGTGAGAAAAGAGAGGTGACCAGATCGACATTTCGTTTCGATTTTTGTGAGTCATTGCAGCACATAATCGATTGAGGCTCAATAATCAATAAGTTTCCCCGAGGACTGCGTTTGCAAGGTAACGATAATCGAAAAACATCCGGCAGCATATACTGAATTTCAAAGGAGCAGTTGTTCATGTTGTATGTGTAAAAGGTCACTCGAAATTGATGCTGAAATGCTGTTTCCTCGTAATATGTGCATTCCCTTGTCCAGTTTTCCTTGGATAAGTGTGGGTGTTGCACAGAAGCCAGCGAGTCAATTAGCTCCACTCCAGTGTCCAATGACTTGTGTAAAGGACATCGGCATCCTGCACACTCTAAGCAGGCTGATATATTCGCTCTGAGATAAATGAAATTGATTTGAAAGGGCACACTTACACCCGGTCTAAGGAACGTTCATGTGCGCAGTGCGCTGTATGTTTTGATGTCATTGAAGGCTACTTGCCATCCACGCGTTCGTTCCCTTCCATCGCCCGAGGTACGCCGCACGTGCCGCACCATGTTTGCCCTGACAAATATTTTTCAGCGCCTCAATGCTAGCTGACGCAGTTTTCCGACAGCCAATGGGCGCCGACTTTGGTGATGTCATGACGAGGCATGGCGGCGCTGTTTGAAGGAGTTTGGGCAACGCCCTCATTGATGTATGGAGTCACGGACAACAGCTGCTGATGGTCAATTGGTGGGCTGAAAATTGAAATTTGGACATTACGATTTTAAAAGCGATTTGGATGATAAAAATCATACCGTTTGCGTTGCGTCTCACATGAGACAATTTAAAAGGACGCGGTGTCCTAGTTGGTTTCAGCGAAAACACGGTATTAATCATAACAAAATGATGGCGAAGGAGCACATTGTGTGCAAATTATTATCAAATCTATCTGATTTTGTGACTGTCATGTTGAAGGAATTCAAAATCATTAATTTTTTAGAGAAATTTGCTTTATAACTGGTTTTGAGGCTTGAGCCCTTCCTATCAACTCACAGTTTACTTTTATTGACACAGTTTCCCGACCCGCATTTGTTATTAATGACGCAAATTTGCGCAAATTTAGGAGAACCCACTTCAAAATGGAAAGCTGCCTCCCATTAACGGGCTCATTGTTGCGGTATCAATGAAAATGCAGCATGACTTGTTAATTTGACATTGAGTTGGACCGTCCTACACGACAAAGCCGAATTAAATAGCCATGCGAAACATACGTATCGGTCTCAATCAATATGTCGTTGTACTCCGCGCCACCAGTCTTCCATTGGGGCATCTGCGGCCCCACCTATCGTCAAACACTCATTCCATTAGCAGGCGGGCCTCCCATACGGTATTGAACTGACCAAAACACATTGCCGTGCCGTTCGGTCTGGTTGGTGAGGCAGCGTTTGCTCTCCTGTATTATGTTTTCTCGGTGTTTTTATGATAACGACACGTGACGGCGTTGTCACGTGCTGGACAAATAGCCGCTGTAAAACTATGTACTGTGGCGGAATGTGGCTGCTTGACTGGCTGGGTAGGTGGTTGAAAGACTGGTGAGGGTAGCTACTTGCACACTAGAGATGCCCTTTTTGAACCCGCAAACCCGCTTTCTGCGGGTTTTCAAAACCCGCAGGGTTTTTGGCGGGTTCGAGAAGCAAAACTTGTCGTGTGGCGGGTATTTGGCGGTCAGACTTTATAACCTATAATTTTTTATTTATTTTTTAGATGCAAAACACAATGCCAAGTGCATTTGCTCAGGTTAACAATACAATATTCATCAAAACAACTTTTAAAACAGAAACAAATATAAAAATATATCAAGGAAGCACCTTTCAAATGCAAAACTGAAAACAACCAGCAATAGCATCCACACTCCACAGTCTAGCAATGACCAAACCAGGTTACAAACACTACAAACTACAAACTACAAAGCATAACTAAATGCTGATGAAAGCATTCCATAAAACATAAAAGAACCTGAAAGCAAACTTATAGGAAGCTGAACTGAAGTCTATGTGCAGTGTGCACTAGATATACATTATGGAAGAACCCAGACTAAAATGAGATGTTGATGTTGAAAATCAGAGCATATGCCACATGTTACTTTATTTGTGTCTGGTCGGCATAAAAAAGAGCTAAACAAAATTTGATGCAAATTCATTGTTTACCTATCCTACTCTTTGTTCTGTCCCACCCTATATTACGAAAATAACACACCAATTACCTGCAATTACCCTTAAAAAAAATCAAAATATTGACTGGCATGCGGCCCAAACATAACGCAATACAATACTGGCGCACTTTCCACATTCTGACAAGGATTGGCATTTGACTGCGACAATTTTGGTCTCTGAGGCGAAGGAAACCTGTCATTGATGACGCAATAATAATTTTACAATCAATTTTTGTCTTGGTTATTGAATACCTCAAAATAGCAATTATACATGTTACAAAACCACGTAGCTGGTCGCATTTATTTCTTTTGTCTTTTTACGTCCTTATCATTTGTATGCCGATTGCCGAGAAAGGACCAGCCGGAGAGCATTACCAAGACCAACTATAAAATTATTACATTTTATTTAGTATTTACTGTCTCTTTATTTCCTAACCGGTGATTAACCTCTGAATTGTAAAACTTTAGCTGTTGTGTAAAATAATATTATCAGAATGGCACATTAATATGCATTATACAACGGTGTTTTCGCAACAAGTTCGCACTAACTACGGCTGCAATAATTTAGTCGCTGTAACATTCCTTGCAATCAGCTGTTGGTGACGCTTCTGACGCATGTTTCCAAAAATGCGTGGTTCATTGGGGACATGCCTAAGAGCTGGACTTTTTGCACGCGTTCCCCGCCAGGGGGCGCCACTGAGGAAGCACCCTCTGACGTCACGATAAAACTGCGCGCACTGTGCGCACGGTTCTGTAAGCAAGTAATATAGTGGTGGTTTAATGGTGGAAATTGGAATAAGTATTTGAACGTTGTAAATTTTCAAGCCGTTTTTGTGAAAGTAAGTAGCAAATGCATTTCAAAAGTATTTATTTAAAGTGTGAAATGAGAATAATTAGAAGGACATGGATATTTTTGTTCCAATAGCCTATTATGTGAGAAATGATCGGTACTAACGGGTACTTCTAAGAAGTAGTGAAGAAGTACCAAACAGCCTGCTCGGCTACGATCGTCAGCTGTCCTTTGGAGCTGGACTTCAACGCTGTAAAACAAAATATGTGCTGAATTAATTTTTAGTTTCACCAAAATATAAGCAATTTATCATTTCTTTTTCACTTTTGTAATTATTGTTGAGTGAAGAGACATGTTGCTAGTTCTGACAATATAAATTATTAATAAAAAAAACGAAATGCGACGGTAAGTATCTGCTACTAAATTATCACTGTAACCAAATACATGGAGAATCTTGCTACCATTGCTTATAAAACGTGCTTATCAATACACAAATGTTTTATTTTAGACAAGAAGGATTTATTTGCCTGAAGTCTTGCGTCATGTGCTACTGCTTTGATTCCAAAGACGCTCTCCGGGTCGGGGTAATTTAGTTCTTCATCGATCGATAAGAGATTTTGATTCCATTGATATCCAAATTGATAAGCTCGGCACCATGGAGTAAGGGCGTCCCCACAGGGGTGACGCAGGAAATATGAATGGCGTTTACACCGACAGTAGTTTCCCACAGCCGGCAATGGGAATCTCCTGTCGGTGTAAACGCCACTATAGTCCCATCCAACTCAAACACTGGGGAATATCCCCGCACTTTTGAGGACGGAAATCTATGGACCTGCTCGAAAAATAGTGGATAAGATACGGCGAGCTTTCAGTTTTATGGTTGGGTCTCCCTTCCGAGGCACATATTTACGGGGGATATTGGGTCATATTCCCCCGGCGTCCTGATGATCGGCGCCCAGCTCAACGTCGAAGGCGCACTGATACGCGGCACTGCTATGAGCTATCTGTGAAGGTGCCCAGGTTGCTGCCGCTCGAATTTTGGTCGCCTACTTAACAAAACCTCCGTTGGTGCCATCTCAGTTTCCTCGAGATCAGGCAACCTTCACACGCCGTTGGCTACCTTGGCTGGCCGGCGACTCGTTCCCCTCGTGGCGACGCTCTTGACATCCAGTCAAAAGTTGGAGTGGCTGGCGCCCCCAGTGGGGGCCGGGGAAGGGGCAGTGGGCCTCCACGTTGCTCTCTTCCCGAGCCTATGGTGACTTGGCTCAACTCTCCTCAATAGAATCTGGATTCTGCACGCTGTATTAACATGGGCGTAGACACCACTACGGACAATACGGGCAGTGGGTGTGACAATCAGTAGTGCCATTCATATAGAGGGTGTCATATATGAGCGGAGAGGCAACAGTACAGCTGAGCGGAGAGACAACATTAAAACAACAGTACAGCTGGCGTTGCATGGAGCTGCAGGCAACCGGACAGCGGAGGCTTGCGAAAAATAAACAATTCGTCACTTCAACGTATAAACAATAGTATAAAAAGCAACATAAACACATATTCTCATGGTCGAACCCATGCACTAGCGGCTCACGGCGGGCACAGGCACGCAGTGCGGTAGCGGTACCGGATCACACGTCATGGGCGTTGTCTCAGCATAGGTTGTTATGAGCGGAGAGGCAACAGTACAGCTGAGCGGAGAGACAACATTAAAACAACAGTACAGCTGGCGTTGCATGGAGCTGCAGGCAACCGGACAGCGGAGGCTTGCGAAAAATAAACAATTCGTCACTTCAACGTATAAACAATAGTAAAAGCAACATAAACACATATTCTCATGGTCGAACCCATGCACTAGCGGCTCACGGCGGGCACAGGCACGCAGTGCGGTAGCGGTACCGGATCACACGTCATGGGCGTTGTCTCAGCAATCAGCATAAGTTGCTATGAGCGGAGAGGCAACAGTACAGCTGAGCGGAGAGACAACATTAAAACAACAGTACAGCTGGCGTTGCATGGAGCTGCAGGCAACCGGACAGCGGAAGCTTGCGAAAAATAAACAATTCGTCACTTCAACGTACAAACAATAGTAAAAGCAACATAAACACATATTCTCATGGTCGAACCCATGCACTAGCGGCTCACGGCGGGCACAGGCACGCAGTGCGGTAGCGGTACCGGATCACACGTCATGGGCGTTGTCTCAGCATAGGTTGTTCGCAATCTAGTTGAAGCCTAAGAAGACGGCCAGTGGGGTCTCACTGCTGCTGAGGCGACCTCGGAGACGATGCGTCGCCCCTCCTGTCGGCGACCTGCGGTGAGCAGGACTCCAGATAGCTGTCTGGCACGTTGCCGACACTGCCAGACGCTGTCAGCAGGCCTCACTGCTGCAAGTGATGTGCAGATGGATGCCAGGTGACTTCGTCTGCAGGCGATTCCGGAGACTGCGGCCTCACCAGGCAGTACCACCTGCATCGCCATGTCGGTGTTTCTAGAAATGGAAAAATAACAGCATCGGTGAAGGACAAGCAATACAATGCATTCTGTTTTCCTCTCTTGCAGGTATACGTAATCCACAATTATCATTGTTCCTATTTCATTCAACTGAACCTGAAAATTCCATATTGGCACATTGTTTGAATAAATTTGTGTAGTTGGGAACAGGGGCGACGCCACGGTGCGACGACTGGAGGGGACATTGACCAATTTGGAGGGGACGAGGACCATTTCAAGTCGATTCTTTCCATGCAACGCCATAGGCGTAATGTTGAAATTTTAAAAAGTGGAGGGGACGAGATCCCCTCCGTCCCCCCCCCCCTGTTGCGACGCCCTTGGTTGGGAGGCAGATTGTTTGAAATACATGTTTGGTTGAACAGTGCGGAAAATATTTCATTGATCACTATAGCTGCAACAAAAATACTGAGACAGAAAACATTTGCGCTTACCTGGCTCCTTAGTCAGTCCCGCACAATGGAAGTGGTACCATTTATCGCAGCCGTCGCATCCGACCATTGGTGCTGCACTGATGCTGCTGCACTCCCCACATTCCCAGTACCTTAGGAGCGTCTTGGCTGTGAAAAGATTACATGAGTCATGGCGCATACATGAATAGTAAGATGTTTTATATGTTTAACATCGCATAGCAAAGACACAACAGCTGGGAGTCAAGTGTAAGCCAAAGTGTAAGCCCTGCCATGTTTTGCAGACTAGATTTTAAGCAAGAAAAGCTTTGCTAAAAATGACGCTTGACGAAGCCTCATCCTACTGGGCTGTCTGACATGTCTCCCTGTAAAAAGCATGTGGCCCTTATATTGTATATATGATGAATATGTGAATAATGCAGAGAAAACACAGCATAAATTATACCCAACGTTTCATCTTAATCGACTTTGTCAAGGGTGTTTGAACAGCTTGAGATGAGTAAAGTGTAAGGGTACCTAGGTACATCTGAAAATAAACTGAATCTGCGTTCAATAAACATTGATTTTGATAATACATTTCACGAATCAACTGCTAATAACAATCATACTAAAATAGCACGACAGATAACTAACAATCGCATGAAGAACTTCTTGATATTCGCCTTGACATTGTCGTCCGAACGAATGTTGTCTTAAGTTACACATTTGTCTTTTCTGCGCAGCATTTGTGTTTGCCATTTACCGCACCAATGTTCGCCAGCGGTGGTGACTTTTCCTTACCTGCTCACGAAACGTCACACAGGACATGACGTCACCCGAAGACGTCATCAAAAAGTCCAGCTCTTAGGCGTGTCCTTCATTGGTTAGTTGGTTTTTGCTGGGCTTTTGCTTGATTTGTTTTATGTGTAGATCGACTGGATACGCATTATTCACCGTGTCACTATTTATTTTTAACTGGAAATCGCATATCTTTTTATATCAACATTCATTTTGATAACAGTATCATTCCAGAAGCCTAACGTTGAGAGGAACCAGAGTGAAATTTTGATCCTCAGCCAATGCTGAAGGGTAAGGTGAGAGAAAGATTTTACTGAATTCTTTTCAGAAAGGAATTTCAAATGTATTGATGCATTATTCGTTTTCCATTATCCAGTGTGCACTTCCTGAGGACTTAGCATAGCAATTTCAAGTCCTTACTATTTGTTTGGCTGTCTTTTTCTGCACAACAATGAAGCAAGTAAGGTTTATATAGCTCTGGCATTGACCCAGCTGTATTTTTTCCTTGCAAAGGCAGGTTTTTAAAATTGCGTTTTTTTTGCGGGTTCGGCTCAGCCAAAATCAGCTTGCGGGTAGTTGTGGTTGGGCAAGGGGTAGCTGCGTGGCGGGGCGGGTAATGAAATTGCAAATTTGGTGCATCTCTATTGCACACCAATCTCTCATTTATGAGAAGTTAGGTGTGTAACGCCGGGATATTTAGGCTAGTATGGTTAGTTTAGTCTGAGCCGGTATTATGATAATGAGGTGTCATTCACTATATGTCTTACTTCTGACGTTTCGCCTAGCCCTCGCTGCCACCGCGGTTGTCTTACCTTGTCTGTGGCAACCCACCTTTCCGGGCCTGCCCGTAATGTCAGCTAAATCGCACGTCCCCTACTTACCCTCGTTCCCCTGCGTCCCCAGTTGGGCCCGGTGAGTTTCTGCGTGGGTGGACAGCTGCTCGCCACTCTCGTCCCGCGCTGCGTCGACCCCGAGCTCACCATACGGCCCATCGCCTTCGACGCCGTGCACACCGTGCTCAAGTAAGTCGCCGTGGATTTTGATGAGCTGAGAGCCGCCTAAGTCGGGTCCGAGTCACCTTAGTTGGTCATAAGTCGTCGGGGTCGTGGGTCACTAGGTAGACTGCCGTGTATGTTCAGTGAAGTATTACTTATTGATTTAGAATGATGTTTAAAGTTGTATGTTTGGAAAAAGTACAGCTTTCGGCGCAAAGTTTTGTGTGACATAAAGTGAGCAAAGGGCAAACAGCACATGTTGATGTCAAGTCTGTATGATTTTTTTTTTAAATCTTTGCTCATTTATTCCTCTGCCACGTATCCCACACCTCGTGCTCAGCCATGTCATGTGGGGCGTTTGTCCGTCTGGCTGTGCTGCCTCTCACGCAATCACCCGTCTCCAGCTATGTAATACCTACGGTGACAGTCTACGACTCCGTTTTCCAGTCAGGATCCTCTCGCTGATTCAATGTCGTATGTATGTACGACTCTCCGTGACAGTGTACCGCTCAATTTTCCCGTCAGGATCCTCTCGCTGATTCTATGCCGTGTATATAACTCTCCGTAACAGTCTACCACTCCATTTTCCCATAAGGAATCCCAGGATCCTCTCGCTGATTCTATGCCGTATATAATATACATATAATTATCCGTAACAGTCTGCCACTCCGTTTCCCCGTCTGCAGGATCCTCTCGCTGTACGAGGGCAGTCAGTGGGACATGGAGGCTATGGCAGAGCTGCGAGAGAAGATACTGAACGCCGAGGAGGCCAACATCAAGGAAGACATGGCCACACTCTCCCAGGTGAGGGTGGCTTCTGGGGAGGGGTGTGGAACAGCGATGATAGGGATTTGACAGCATGTTGTTTGTTGGCGTGGTATGCGTTTGAAGGTTAGGGATAGGGGGTGTCGCCGATGGTGAGAAACAAATGTGTATTGAGGGTGAGCAATGAGCATTGAACAAACTTGTTTATATCGCAGCGAAAATTTGTTGTGTTTGGCATACTTCTCACCATCTAATAATTTACTACTTATTTCGAGTGCCTTTTTCGAGGCGTCGTGGTCAAGATTCCGACGTTATGTCTTGTGTCGCTGCGCTTACTTATTGGTTGTTGTTGAGTGTTTACTAGTAAGCCAAAACGAATCCTGTCGGAGGGCTGAATAGTTCTTCCACTTTCAAGGAGTTAGCTTTTATTTCCAGCTTGATACTCCCCATGAACTTACACATATAGTTACATGATATACGAATGCATAGATGGACATAGACTTCCACCGAGGTCTATCGCTATGACGACTTCCATGACTGATATACTTAGGTCTGGTATAGATAGAGGCCCTTTGCAAGCTCCGAGCACATCTTCGAATGCTATTATGATAACACTTTTAGTCTCGATGCATAAGATGCACATACTTATTAACTACACGGAACATATTCGTATCCCACCATTTACCACATCAACAGAATTAAATAGGGGCAGTATCATTCCGCCATTTGTCACTAAGAGTATGCAATCTGCTGAGGGCATCTACGAGTTGTCTTGATCCACAATGGACGCAAACAAGCTTCACCAAAGGGTCCGCACTATTTCACGGTAGAACGAGCTCTATGACAGACTAAGACGCCATTCGCGTTTAGGCAACCGCGTCTCTGGTTGCCTATTCACGGTCCGGAACCCATAACTCCCAGTTTGTCCGGGGCCTCAAGCTCTCAACTCCCTTATCAGGAGTCCCTGACTCCCTTATACTGACTTTCGGAATCTCCTATCCGGAGCCCCTCACTCCCATAGCTGCAGCCTCAACTTCCGGCCTGGCCGCAGCCACAGACACGGAATACAAAGGGTTGGATTCTCCCCATCTTAGCCACCAGGCTTGTCCTCTATCCGTCCCTTTAATCCCCTTACCATGCCCCAGCTCTCACTTCACTGCCAATATATTGTCTAGCCAGGCTTTTCATACTTTCCTGTAAGGGTCGCCCAGAGTTCTCTGTCAGGGTCACGCGACTTCACTGTCCGTGCCGCCAGCGCAGAGTGCCATCCTGTCTTGCCCGTGGACTTCTCGTCGCCCTGCCGAATGGTTGAGTCTAGCACAGGCTACACTCAACCCGACACTCCTTTGTGTGTCTCACTGACCGACGGTGACGGTGGCTGGCGTGGGTGTGGCCGCCGCGCCGTCCTCAGTCAGCAGGAACTGCATCAGCACGATGATGTAGGTGACGATGGTGGAGCTGATGGCCACCATGGTGGGTCGCTGCAGTCGGTAGAACGCCAGGTCGCCGATCCCGTCCAGGTCGCGGCGCGTGGCCTCCAGCAGCAGAAGGAGCTCCTGGTTGGTGGCTACGTCGTCCGAGTGCAGCCGCAGCAGGTCGTCCCGCAGCTGGGCCGAGCGGTCGAGGAGGCGCTGAGCCGACTCACAGGGCATGGTTAGGCTGAATGTGGCGCGGTACATGCTGAGGACGAAGGACGTCAGGTGGTGGTGGGCCTGCTGTGAGCGCACAGTGAGAACCAGCAGGAGGTAGGTGTATATCTTGGAGAGGATGCCGTAGAACATGGAGGACACCAGCTCCATGCGCATGCCGTCCATGAGCCGCCGGGAGGCAGTGCTGAGCGCGTCGTGGCGGCGCCGGAGGAGAGTCAGCCGCCGCCGGCAGACGGAGCCCTCCTCGACCAGGGCGCGCACCTCGTCGTTGAGCGCCGTGGCGCCGCAGCTGATCAGTGCCACCGCCAGGCTCAGCTTCACCGGAATGAAGAACACGCAGATGTCGAGCAGCATCTGCAGCAGAGCGTAGAACACGGCCCCGGCGCAGGCGTCGGCGCCCTCCTGACACTGTCGACGGATGCCCAGGTGTAGGAGGTGGTTGACCAGCACAAACCCGGCCACGGCGACTGTAAACGCGAGCAGTCGGTGAGTGAAGCGGCGCATGTTGGCGCAGGTGGTCGCGCGCCGGCGGACGTCCACAGCGTCGAAGGTGCGCCGCGCCTCGGCGAGCAGTGCCGGGTAGTGGCGCCGGCCGAACAGGAATGTACACGTGATGGGCAGCCAGGTGACCACGTCCATCACCCCGAAGAAGGACGTGTCGAAGGCGGTGGTGAAGAAGGCGCCGGTGGTGTTCAGTTCGCGCAGACCCGATTGCAGGTCCTTCAGCGCGAGTGCCAGCGACGCGTAGGTGAGCGGCGCGTACAGCAGGAGTGCGTAGGCGGTGGGGAGCAGGCCGCGGCCGCTGCTGTGACCGGTGGCGCGCAGCAGCCAGACGATGACCCGCGCCGACCAGGGCTCGCGGCACGGCGCCGCGCCCACCATCCCCTGCTTGGCACCGGAGCGGCGGCCGCTGACCGGGGGACTGTCCCGCGGCCCGGAGATCATAGAGGGAACGTACACAGGGTGGGGCGGGAACTCGGGGCTGACCTGTTGTAGCATCGCTGGTGTCTGTCGATCAATGCGCTGGGTGCTCGATTGCTGGGCAGTTCTGAGCTGGAAAATCGGTCCGTCTTGTCTGGTATGGTGACGAAGAGATCCTTCGACTGCCTGTGTGCCTCAGATCAGCTTCTCTGCCTTTTCTTTTCACAACGATCCTGAATGAATTTTCAACACCGTCTAGGACAAACTCTTCGTTACCGAACAAGAGCCATGATTGGCTGCTTCACTCACCAGCTGTGGAGGGCCCTCAGCCTTTACTCATACCGACATCAGCTGTCTGGGCTCATTTATACCACCTCCCATCGACCGCGTCCTCCTAACCCCTCGGACGTCCGCGCTCTGTCTTTTTCAGGGGACTCTACTAGTCTTTTGCCTCAGTTAATGGGTGACATTTGACGTCCCAAACGCCCGCAAACACGAGCCTCAAAGGTTCTCTTTGCTCGGGTAGTTTGCTACGGATGGTCGGTGCATTGTGGGCGAGGAAGTGCTACATGTCATCCCGCGGTACCGCTGCCTGCGATCGCCAATGTTTGGGAAGTTGGTCGTAGTGTCAACACGGGCCTGCTGTGTGTTTGATGGCTACAGCAGCGCCTGACCGCGAATGGGAATGGCAGTGGGCGGGTGGCCAGGCACTCACTGTTTGTCATCGTGTGTAATCAGTGACGTTTGGCTGCCTGCGCTGCCCGTCGGTTTTGGTCGATGATCATATGGTCTTCCGTGGGGCGTTTGTTTTTGTTGCTGTATTGTGTTTTGTTGCCGTATTGTGTTAATGTTGCCGTATTGTGTACTTTCTGGAGAGCGGGTGTCCGGGTGTATGCCGCAAATTGAACGGTCATTCCCACATTTGTCGGTGAAATCTCTAGTAATTTTATTTGTTGTGAAGCCCGTGTCGCCTCCTTCAGAATGTCGCCTCCTTCAGAATTTGAAGCTTGTTCAATGCGTTCTTCAGTAAAACTCGTATGTTCGTAATGTGAAACAGTTAAGGACTCATATTGACGACGCTAGTCGGTGCCGGTTAGTGGCGTCAGTTTCAGAAAATGTAGGTATGTCCAATGTCCGTGCAGAGTCCACTGTCGACTGTCCGTCCAAAAATGTCCAAAACAGCCATTTTTCGAAAGATGTCCGAAACCTACGCAATAGTTAACACTTAACAATTTTATCTTATTTCCTTTTAATGTGCTATTACCAGCTCAAAAGTGTTTCGGTACTATAACCATTGAACTACGCAGCCCGGCATTTTGACCCTGTTTCGACATCTCTCCTTCTTCAGGTACCTCCTTCGTAACCCTATCTCCTCATTCCTCCTGCGGACTTCTCTGACATCTTCGACTCTCTGGACAGATTCTGAGTGAGCGGGTCAGCTCGACGCAGATCCGCTCGTTCTTCGAGACCCTGCTGCCGGGTCTGTTGGACGTCCACCCGACCAGCTCGCTCGGCGGAGCCGTCACCGTCACCGTCCTACTGCGCATGCGCGGCGCAGAGTTCTACGAACACGTGCCGGAGGTGCTCCGTGAGTTATGAGGGGAGGGTGGAGTCGACGTGGAATGTGCAGGCTGGAAAGGATGTTAATCAGTGTTGATGGTGAACGCATTATCGTCAATTGGTCTTGGATGAGAGCATTCAGAGTTAGGGACTCCTGATGCCTTGTTATCAAATGTCTCATTGCAAGGATATCAACTACATAGTACCTACTTGTTGTTGTTTCCGAACATCTTATGGTCCTCGGAAGTTTAAATGCAATGATTCAGTATACGCGATCACACACGTTGGCAGCCACAGCCGAACTTGTAATCGTGTCTCCTCCCATTTACACTGCTTTCTCCGCTGTGTTTCAGGCGGTCTACACACCAAACTATCCGAGATAACGCACCCAGAGACGCGCCAGGAGGTACTAAATGCCGTTCAGACGCTCTCATCTCATCACATCGTGGCCGTGACGCAGGCCCTGCTCGCCTACCCGTTGCCTTATGACGAGTGAGTGCTGGGGAGGGACTGGACCCGCTGTATCTTGATGCATTGGCGTTGCTCCCTCCCATCAGCTGCCCTATGACGAGTGAGTGCGGGGGACAAAGAAAGGGGCAGGATCTGTTGTGTTGTGCACTGCAGCTCACTGTAATCCACAGGCGCCCCTCGCCTATCCCCTGTCCTACGACTAGTGAGTGCCTGGAGGGCTGCGCTTTTGTTATGTTATGACAGTGCCGAGTGCGTGAGGAAGAACAAAAGGCTCGGAGGACTTCGCATTTTCTCTCATTAATATACTTAGATGTAAAATTAATTGTTGACGCTTTGTCTTCCACCGAATAGCTTGCACGTATTCTATCATGTCAACGCCCATTATAAAAACGACTGTAAGCCATCCGTGCTGACCGCTACCGTCTTCCCGTTCAGTCACGTGGCTGAACTCGTGGGTGCCCAACAGGTTAGCGACAAGTCAGCGCAGCTGCCGCAGGTCGTCACTCATTGTGTTCGTCAGTCACGTGACCGTATTCCCTTAGTCAAGTGACACCGTCCCCTGTGCGCCCGCCAGTCACGTGACCGACTGCTGGCGTGTGATCGGCCGCGACTCCCGGCTCTCGAGTAACATCCTGCAGCAGTTTATGGAGCTGGTCAGCTCGTCTGCGCCCTATGAGGAGCAGCGGGATCCCGGCCGTGAACAGCCCGTCCGTATCGCCATGCTGCAACCGCTCTGTGTAAGTGAGGGGCGCGTTGGCAGGGGAGGGGGGGTGGTCTTGGTCGGTCTGGTGATGGAGCGAGGAATGATGGTGGTGGTGGTGGTGAATGGTTGGTGGTGGTGGGGACTAAGAGAGCTTCTTATCTTCAGAGATTTTTTTTTGTAAACGGTTGATATTGAGTACTGGGTTGAACTTCATTTTAGTTCGATTGATGTGATTTATGGAGGATGCTGCGTGAGCTTTACCAAAGAAGATGGGTTTTTACAAGTTGGTACTTCACGTCTCGTTTGTGCTCAAGTTCTGAATTCTAAACTTGATATTGCCATGAAAGGAATGAACAAAATGAAAATGGAAAACTAATTTCCCGATATTTGAGCTTGTTATTCTCCGACCGAAATGAAACAATCGGCATGAACAGACTATTATTGATATCGATGAAGAGATATTTTAGAGAACTAACACCAAGCAAAGGTTGATCGCGGGGGTTACTTAGAAGCGAGTAACTGCAAATCAAGTTTTTTTCTTTTTTTCCTACCTCCCTAGATGTACATTGTACAATACATAATGCATGAATGTTTTTGTACGTACCTTGCTCTGTCGCTTGCATGACGTCTTTGCTTTATGTTTGCCTGAATTATTCTTATATCAATGAAAAAATACCATCGATGAAAGTTATTTAATCTCTTCAACATTCTCTATTCTCTGTTTCTTTCTAACATTATTTCGCGTCTATTGCGCGCCTGTCTGTGTGTCCTGTTTGCCTGGTTGTGGGTGTCTGTGTCCCGCCGGGCCGGTGGTGGGTCTGGGTCTGGCTCTGGGTCTGGCGCTGGTGGTGGCCGCTCTCTGGCACGCTGTCCCTGCTGCGCGCAGCTGCTGCACCCGGCGCTCTGGCTGCCGCTGATGGTGGTGGCCCTGCTGGTCTGCGGCGCGCCGCTCGCCCTGCTGCTGGCCACTGTCGTCTACCCGGCGTGCCGCACGGTGGCCGCCCTGGCGGCGCCCAGCCGGCAGCCGGCGCGCCGCTGGCTCACCTACTGGTGCCTGCACGCGCTGCTGGCCGTACCGGGTCCGCTGTGGGTGGACGCGCCGGCCGCGCTCCGACTCAGCCGCACGGCCGTGCTGCTCTGGCTGGTGGCGCCCACACGGCTCGGCGGCGGCTGGCGCTGGGCGTATGGCCGTGTGTTCCGCCGCGCTGTGCTGCGACGACACTCACTGCACACGGAGGCCACGTGGAGGCTGCGTGAGCTGCTCGATGTGGCCGCGGAGAAGTCGGCCCAGCTCACAGTGGAGGATATGGTGGCGCAGATGGAGACCGAGACTGCCGAGCCGGGCGCCGGCCTCGACTCGGACTCCGACCTCTCCGACATGGAGTTGGAGCGGGCGCTCCAGGAGGCCGCCGGCTGGCTGCCGCACGGAGAGCTCTTCGCTGACGACGAGGCGTCACCCACACCTCCCTCGGTGCTCTCTCGGCCGCCGACCCCGGCCAACTCCTCTCGTCCGCTGACGCCGGTGGGCGCGCCGCCGACAGCGATGCCGCCGCCGCCCCTCCCGGCGTCACTGCCGGAGAGGAAGCGCTGTCTGACGGAGCGGCCAGCTCGCCGGCGGATGCCGTCGGGCCGTCCGCCGCTGCCGGCGCGCGTGGCGGAGCTGGCGGGCCGCTCAGGCGCGTCGGACGCGGCCGGTGACGGCGACTCGATGCGGCGCAGGAGTTCGTCCTGGTTCGGCCGTCTGGTGGGCGGCGACCAGCCGGAGGCCCGACCGCAGCATCGCAGGAACCGCTCCGTCTCCGGCCGGCGCACCTAGCGCGGCTGGCAGGCGCGTAGTGTGACCGGCGGGCGTCGGCAGTCAGCATAATACATCGGCAGACAGGCAGTAGACAGCTGCAGCCACTACCACAGTGGAAGACGTATCAGACGCCGCCTGCGCCGGACACGCCAGCTGGGAAAATAACAGTACATCGAAGACATCCGCTGACGCCTCGAAATCCGGAAACATTCCGACCTGCCGCACCGAGCGCCATCGGACTTCTTTAGGAGCGGTTAACATCAGGCGACGCTCCGCCACGCGTCGTCTCAAATGTGGTCATTCGTCATGTCTATGGCTGGGCGGGGGGGGGGGGGAGCGGGAGAGGGGGCGCATTTCAGGGATCGGGTCGGGTCGGGCGGGGGATGGAACAGAAGCCTATGACCGGGAAGTAAATGTGGGGATAGGGAAGTGAGTTTGGACAGGGAGAAGTAAGGAACCGGATTGGGCGAGGAGTTGAGTTGCGTTTATGGGTCTTTGTAGCATGTTTTATGTGTGCAGCTGTGAATGAGGAGCTATACAATGGAGCCATCGTGAGGGAAATGGCAAAGCGAAAAGTGTCAAGATTCTCAAAATATTATCAAAATAGCATGTTGTTTAGACGTGAAGTGCAATATAGACAAAGATAGTTTAGCAGTGAAATGATTGTGAATGGTGAATGGTTACCATCGTTCGCCGGACCTCCTGGAAGTGCTTGTACTGGGCTGGGCACGGTTGTTTGTAGGGGTGTAAAGTGCCTGTGCGCATTGTCGCTCGACAGGCTGTGACGTGGCTGGGCTCTTCATATGACAACTGGTTTGGATCAGGTCGGCTGTGACTTTCGGCAAGCCTTTTTCGGTGTTTGGCCTGTAAGCGGCGCATGGATAGCCGCCTTGGGCATTCAGTGCTTGTCACTTAAGGCTGAAACAGACTCTTTCCGCGTTCAGGAAATCGCATGCGAGAGCCTATTCAAATGCATTATATAATTTTCCCGCATCAATCGCATCCGGGAGGTGCGTGCGATTGATGCGAGCGTGCTTCCATGCATTTGAATAGGCTCTCGCATGCGATTTCCTGACTGCGGAAAGAGTCTGTTTCAGGCATAAGGCATGCTCGATAAGATCTGATATTATATGTAAATGTTTCAGAAGAGGGAGTGATAATACACGATTTGTATTTTACTTTGTGTTCAAAATGATGATAAAGCTGATAATTTTCGGAGCTCGGGCATATTATTCTATTTGTTTGTTTTGTTGGGTTAGGCCCTTTCGGTCGACAAGACCATTGCAGAGCCGGAAGGATGATAGGATTTAGGAGGAGACATTGGTCTGGGCAGGCACCCTAGTGAGTCGCCGGGGCTGAGCCCGTCCAGAGGACAGGCCACCCAGCCCCAAGGCGCTCACTGCACCCGGCTACGGGGTGCGCTCCCTCGGGAGCTGCGGTGCCGCTCCAAGGGAGCAGCCCGCATGAGATAAAGTTGCCTGTCCAACCCGGAAGGGGGTTGTTGCGTGGAGGAGAAGGATTTCAGTTTCCTGAGGATAGAAGCATGGATAGGTGTATTATGGATATTTTTTCTTCAAAATCTGCCTTGATAAATGATCTTCGCTGCATCACACGGACGTCTAAAAATTGAAACAACGCACTCTGCCTGTCCCATGTTGCTGAACCGTGCCGTTACCAAGTAAAGCCAGTCACCGCCACACTGTATACACTTCTCGCTCGTCCAGCACTGAATCTACCGCGAAACATAAACACAGGCGCGACAAGTGCCGACGCCAAACGGCTGGAGATTTGACGGTCCCTGGGGACCCGCCGCGCCCGGTCCAAAGAACGTGGAGTCCAAATGGTACAGCTAGGGACATCTGGCGGTGACTGAATGAAGCTGAACTTGGGGCTGCGCCGACAGGGCGCGCGACTGAACGGTGACCTGTGTTCGATCGGGGTCGAGGACCTGATGATTGGGGGTAATGGATCGTGTTAGTGATGATTATGTGAATGCTGCTTCGACACCACGCGGGTTTTGGAGCTGTCTGACTAATCCCCTGACTTGTCCCACCGACTTGGCCTGACTTGACCTGACCCGACTTAACCTGACCCGGCTTGACCTGACCTGACCTCACCTTACCTGATTTAACTCGACCTGACATGACTTGACCTGATCTTGGCAGATTGATATTGACCCTGGTAAGTTAATAATTCCGTTTTGTTTCCAACGTAATCCTTACTTTTTGTCGACGTTCAGACAAATCCTTACCAGTCCCAGCCTTACCAGCCCCAACTTCTTACATCTGTTTCATTCTATATCATTTATCTTTCGGACCAATTCAAAAAGATATGGGAACTTTACCCCTGACCATTGCGCCTGACCGGTGATTCATACCCCTGACCATTTACTCCCCTGGCCTTATCCCCCCACAGTCAAGTTACGTAGCGTAACTTTTCAGCTCTAACCCTCCCGCTACCCTCTCTAACCACCCCACTTACCCCCCCCCCCCTCCAGGCCATCAGCGTGATGACAGAGCTGTTCAGTTATAACCCTCTCCTTACCCTTTCTGACCTTTCCGCTACCCCCTCTAACCACCTCCCTTTACCCCCTCCAGGCCATCAGCGTGATGACGGAGCTGTTCAGTTATGACCCTCTCCTTACCCCCTCTCACCCTCCCGTTACCCCTCTGACCACCCCATTTACCCTCCGCCAGGCCATCAGCGCGATGACGGAGCTGTTTAGTCTGCCGGAGCTGGCGGACGCGTGCGGCCCGGACGTGCCGCAGCTGCTCTCTCGGCTGCTGCTCGCCCAGGCCGCCTACGTGGGCGTCTTCCCTCCGGTCTCCGGCGCCATCAACAAGAACCAGCCGGCCCACTCGTTCGTGCCCAACCGCAGCGCCTACAAACTCAGCCCGTTCAGGTACGGAGATTTGAGGAAGTGTGGAGACTGATTAGGTGCACTCGTTCGTGCCGAATCGTAGCGCCTTCAAACTCAGTCTCAGGTATGGAGATTTGAGGAAGTGTGGAGACTGATTTATGGGCACTCATTCGTGCCGAATCGCAGCGCCTACAAACTCAGTCCGTTCAGGTATGGAGATTTGAGGAAGTGTGGGGACTGATTAGGGGGACTCGTTCGTGCCCAACCGCAGCGCGTACAAACTCAGTCCGTTCAGGTATGGAGATTTGAGGAAGTGTGGGGACTGATTAGTGGCACTCGTTCGTGCCCAACCGCAGCGCGTACAAACTCAGTCCGTTCAGGTATGGAGATTTGAGGAAGTGTGAGGTCTGATAAGGCGCACTCTTTCGTGCCCAACCGCAGCGGCTACAAACTCAGTCCGTTCAGGTATTGAGATATGAGTGGCAGGGGCAGGAACAGAGTGACAGGGAGACTGGGGACAAGGAGAATGCTGCTCTCAAGGGGAGAGCGGAGCTTAATGTAGGGTCGGTTTGGTGTGTTTCATTGAACGGTTCAAGATATTTGTCGGGATTGAAGTTCGCGGCTGCGAGCTGTCTTCCTTGATTTATTTGGTCGGTACTCGGTAACTTGTTAATTGGATCATGTTCATTCACTCGTTAGTGAACGCATTTCTTCAGCATGAAACAATAGATATCGTTTTTGGATGTCATTTGTCGTCCAACGGATTCACTGTTCCTTTCCACTGTTTATCTCCCAGCCCAAAATTGTGGCCGTTGACGACCATGCACTAACCGTATTTCGTTTTTGGTTCACCAGGATCGCCAGTGAGGCTCTGCTCTCGTTCCTCCGCTGTGTGAAGCTCACGGAGCTCGCAGAGGTGCTGACGTCACACTGCGAACAGCCACACGAAGATCTCAACCGCTACTCGGACTTTGTCATCGACTTGTCCAGGTAAGACGCACTGCTTATGAGCGTCTTATGAGGCAAGTAACTGTCATTTTTGTGATGTAATTGTCAAGCCACGCAGTTACTGAATAAGTACAGTGAATTAGTTCAATGATCCGACACATGTCGTTTGCATATTTTATATGTCGATAATTTTATTTGTATTGAATCCATGTTATGGAAACTCGACTATTGGAAACAACTTTTTTTTATTGTACAAATGGAGTTTATTATATTATTCGTAGTGTGATGGCCTCAACTGTCCTTTGCTCCTGCCCTATTTGCCTTCACGTCATAGGCGTCTGGAGCTGCTGACATTTACCCTTCCCCATCCCTCTTGCAGCGCTCTGGTGACCCACAGTGCACACCTGATGGCGCCCATGGTGAAGTGCCTGGCACCCGACCTATCCAGCATGTACGAGGCACAGCGGATCGCGGCTGTGGCCTTCTACGGAGAGGTGAGTCGAACGGTAGGGACAATGGTCGTCGTGTGGTGTAGGAAGAGTGCTGTTATGATAAGCTGTCTTAGTTTGACCGTGGCGACAGGATAGGTCTTGCGCTGTAACGCGACACTGTGACCAGGAGTGAACATGTGACCTGACCTTGTACCCTGATTGTGACTGACCCCGTGGGCTGACCCCTGTGACCTTACATCGTCACCTGACCCCTGTGCGTCTACCGTCAGCTGGTGCACCACCGGTGCGCGGGTAACTTGTCTCTGATTGAGACCGTGCTGACCAGCCTGTCGTCCCGTCTGATCGACTCGTCACCCGTGGTGCGGCGGCTCTGTCTGCTCGGACTGGGCCACATCAGTCACCTGGATCATCCGGGGGTAAGTGACGTCATATATTACACGTCACTCACCTGGATCATCGGGGGAGGGGGAGTGACGTATTATATCTCACATCAGCCACCTCGACCACCCGGGTATGAGTGTTGTCACATCATACGTTTCAGTCGCTTCTTAGACCGCTAGAAGAATAATTATCTCGGTTCTTGCGTATAGTTATAATTCCTTGAAACATTTTTCCATGGATGATACATATTTGCTTATTTCTCGTATAAGCGTAGCATAGCTCTCCGCCCGCTGGGATCTTGGAGTGACTGATATATCATTCTTTTTCAGGGATTCGGTGTCGACTACACACACTTGGTAAGTTAGCAGTTAGCATGCTTACGGAAATTATGCAAGTGTCTTCAAATTGTTGTTTTTTCGGGATTATTACATAATAATTTAAAGCACACAAAAGATTGTGACATAATTTATCGGTTCCACGTTTCCGCATTCGCTCAAGCATCCTGTCGCCTTTCTTTCTAAACACTTGTGACGCTCTTCCTGATACCCACTGGCCTCATGCTCCTTGCCATAGGTCGGACAAATCGCTCAGCCGGTAATGTCTGCCCTCTCTAACCCCTTGTCTTCCCACTGTCTCCCTATAGATCGGCCAGTTCGCCCAGCCGGTGATGTCCGCGCTACTAACCCCCTGTTCCCCCTGTCCCCTCCCTAGATCGGCCAGTACGCCCATCCTGTGATGTCTACCCTGCTAACTTATCTCCCCCATATTCTCCCCTAGATCGGCCAGTTCGCCCAGCCGGTGATGTCGGCTCTGCTAAGTGCTACCCCCCCCCCGTTTCTTTTGTTATGTCTGTCTTTTCATGTCAGTCTAACCCATATTCTCCCCCTAGATCGGCCAGTTCGCCCAGACGGTGATGTCAGCGCTGCTAACTCTATTCCCCCGTTTTCTCCCCAGATCGGCCAGTTCGCCCAGCCGGTGATGTCGGCTCTGTTAACCCCTTGTCTCCCATTGTCTCCCTATAGATCGGCCAGTTCGCCCAGCCGGTGATGTCTGCCCTGCTGACTCTATACCCCCGTTTCCCCTAGATCGGCCAGTTCGCCCAGCCGGTGATGTTGGCCCTGCTGACTGTTCCCCCTGTCCTCTCCCTAGATCGGCCAGTTCGCCCAGCCGGTGATGTCTGCACTGCTCGGCGGACTGGATGACCGCGAGGAGGCGGGTGACGGTATCCCTCTGCAGGCCATGACCGCCCTGTCCGGCGTGCTGAAGGTCGTCTCTAGCGAGCAGGTTCAGCACACGCTCATACCAATCACCATACGGATACGAGTCTACTTCGAGAGCGTGAGTACTGTGTGTGTGTGTGTGGGAGTGTGGGGGGGGGGGGGTAATGTGAGAGAAACTGGATAATATACTGTGTGCCTTTGATGGTTGTCTCGTCGACTTTGATAGCTGGATCACATTTACCGGTATAAGCGGTTGCCCAAGAAACGACGAAAAATACAGCTTTTCACCTGAATGGCCTCTGTCGTGTTTACGTGCATAAGCGAAATCAATTCAACTTCATCTCTCAGAACTTGAGCATTTCCTCCCCTCCTGAAGGGAGGGCGGAAATGCCTTCCTCCCTCGTTTGGAGCCCCCCCCCCCCCCTCCAGCCGCCTCTTTGCGTTGCTGACATTCTGTTTCCTCTGCCCGCCGCAGGAGTCTGTGGCGCTGCGCTCGACCTCGCTGGGCCTGTTTGGCGCGTGCTCGGCGTTCTGCCAGGGCGGCCTGCACGACCAGTACATGGAGCAGGCGCACAACAACCTGGTCTCGCTGCTGATCCACCTCAACGACCCCGAGCCCAGCGTCGTGCTGGTGAGAACATCGGGGTCAGGGTGAAAGGGGGGGGGGCGGGGAAGCAGGGAAGGAGCAGGGAAGGGTCGGGACAGGGCAGGAGTTATGGGGACGCGGGACCGTGATCGGGCGATAGAAACGCAGTGCTGTTAAAAATGGCTGTAAAATGTTGTGATTCTGTTACTCAACGTTGACCGATGGGACCCGGAGAGACCTTGTGGAACTTTGTCTAATCCAATTTAGCCCCAAGAGTCCCGCCGTAGCACAATGCGATATCGTCGGATCCTGTGACCTCTTTTGACAGATAACCCCTGTCTGACCATATGCTAACCCGTCAGGGTCTTATAACTTCATTGAACTCTGTGGCCACCTTCTCACTCTGTGACCCCTTCTGGCCTCCACTAGGCGTGCAAGTCGAGTCTGCGCCAGGTGGGTCCTCTGCTGGACGCCAAGGGCATCAACGCGATGCTGCAGAAACACCTCATCGACGAGGGGAAGCTGCAGTACGCCAACTTCGTCAGCGACCTCTCCAAACTCATGGTGAGGAATGTTGTTGTTGTTGTTGTTGTTTCTCCCTCTGCTCCTCACGGGAGCATAGCCAGGCGGCTCTGGAAGCGTCTGGCGGCGGCCGCCAGGGCCGCCACCACTGAGGTCTCCCGGACCTCCTCCAGCCTGGGATGGATGTGACCCAGGGTGGAATGTCTCAGTCGCATCAGCGCCGGACATCTCAGCAGCACGTGTGCCGGCGTGTCAGGCTCCTCATTGCACAGGGGGCAGCGGGCCGCCACACAGCCCTCGTCGCGGCAGCCCTCACATCCCACAGAGGGAACGGCCCCGATCCTGTGCAGGTAGGCCCTGGAGCCCGACCAGTGCCCGGCTCGCAGCTGGTGGACGTCCACCGCGCGCTCCCGGTCCAGCCCCGCCACCGGTGGGGGGAATCGGCCCCCCATCAGCGACCGGAACCAGCCGGGGGGCCAGGCCCGGACCGTGTCGTCGCGGGCGGCCCTAGCCACCGCTCGGGTGATTGTCCTGATGTCTGCAGGCACGCTGTCTTGTGGTAGTTCCGCGGCCTCTCGGGCCACTCTGTCGGCTCGCTCATTACCCTCCACACCACAGTGCGAGGGGACCCACTGGACGTGGATCTTCCGGCCATTATCCGAGAGGGCGAACATGGCTCTCCAAGCCGCTACCCCCAGCGGGGAGGTCTGGGCGGCCGGGCCGTTGCGCAGGGTCGCCACTGCTGAGAGGCTATCCGTGCAGACCACGATAGGCAGGTCCTGGTCTCTGTCTCTTTGGGTTAGGGTCTCCAGGCCGGTCACCAGCGCCACCATCTCTGCGCGGTAACTGGAACATAGCTGTCCGGCCGGGACCCGCAACTCCTCGGTCTCTTCATCCGGCCAGACCAGCACGGCCCCAGCTCCGCCCCTCGAGACTCCGCCCGCCGCGGACCCGTCCGTCCACAGCCAGACGGCGCACTGCGGCAGGGACGCGAGGTGCAGGGCGGCCGCGCGCTCTCTTTCCGCCGCCGCGGCGCCGGCCCGGAGGGGGCCCACGTCCATCCGGAAGGTGACGGGTGGTGACGACGCACTCCAGGAAGCCGGGAAGAGACACATCCCCCGAGGTGCTCGCCGAGACGCAAAGCCATGGGCCCTGCATCCGGATGTGTTGAGAGCGGCAGAGGAGCGACAAGCGGCGAGACGGGCTGTGACAGCCGAAGATCCCTCATCCAAGACGCGCTGGATCAATGCCAAGAAGCGTGCAGCAGAGGTGGAGGCACGAGTCTCTCGAGAGTCCTTCCGAGAATTCGTCACCACTGAACTGAACCGCCCGTCCAGCGTCGGTCGAGTCTCCCGAATGCTCAAGAAGTGGGAGGGAGGAGGAGATGACGAACACCGGGACGGCGAAGCGATGAAGGCCGGTGACCGACTTCTCGTCTCCGCCGAGGCAAAGGCGAACGCCTTTGCACATCAATATGCCACTGTCTCGAGGCAAGTGAGGAGTCCCAAGATAGACCGAGCGGCGCGGGAGCGGCTGAACCGGATAGACCGACACACATGCTCCGAGTGTCAGAACGACCGCACCGGGTGCTGCTCGGCCTTCACTGAAGAGGAACTCGCTCAAGCCATCCAGAAGACACAACTGCGCAAGTCCCCCGGCCCCGATGGCATCACACCTGAAATGCTGCGGCACCTTGGTCCGGTGGCCCGGAGCGCACTGCTCCACCTCATCAACCAGTCATGGAAGACAGGAGCGGTCCCCCAAGAGTGGCGCTCGGCAACCGTGGTACCGATACCGAAAGCATCGAAGGATAAGAGGCTCCTGTCAAGTTACCGGCCAATTGCCCTCACCAGTTGTGTAGGGAAACTCGCCGAGCGGATGCTACTCCCCCGGCTGGAGTTTCTGGCCGAAGAGCGCCGACTCATCCCCCCCGAACAAGTGGGGTTCAGAGCAGGAAGATCGGCGGAGGACAGTATCGGGAGACTTGTGCAAGACGTGCAAGACGGATGGCAGAAGCCAAAGAGAGACAAACGGTCAAAACGCCAGGACGGAGAGTCAGCACAGAAATTCCTCCTGACAGCCTTCGACTTCAGTAGAGCGTATGACGTCGTAGACCACAAGTTACTGCGTCTGAAACTCCTCGAGAGCGGCCTCCCCCTCTGCCTTGTCCGGTGGGTATGGGGATGGTTACGCGACAGAAGAGCGAGGGTCGAAGTTCAAGGAGCCCTCTCCAAGTCGAGGATGTTCCGCGCCGGGCTGCCCCAGGGCAGTGTTCTGTCGCCCTACTTGTTCCTGTTGTGGGCGGCAGACCTGGCCGAGGCCCTCCGAGCGCCGGGCACCTCCCCCTACATATACGCCGACGACACGGCAGTTCTATGCTCGGGCAACACCATTGAGGTGGCGAGAGGTCGAGCGCAGACAGCGGCAGACGCCCTCGTCGCGTGGGCTCACCACAACAAGATGCTGGTCGCCGGGGAGAAAACCCAACTACTGGTGCTCTCCCAGAACGCCCGAGACGCCGTCCGAGGCACCATCAAGGTGGCAGGAAAGACGGTGCAGGCGAAAGACACCCTAGTCCTCCTCGGCATAGAGCTCGACCGCCGCCTCCAGTTCGGTGCCCACTGTCGTCGTCTCCGGAAACGAGTTCGCCCCCGGCTGGCTCACCTGCGCCGCCTCGGCGGACGCAGCTGGGGCCTGGACGAGGATGCCCTGAGGACGGTGGCCAACGGCTACGTCCGCGGGGCGCTCGAGCACGCCGCCGCCGCGTGGAATGTATGTGAGGAATGGTGAGGAATGTAGTGAAGACCCGCGACGGAACGAACGGATGGTGTCTGGCTGAGGGGACCGAGACTTGACCGGTGGAAACTTATCATAGATTATTACACCAACCGCGGTGGGCGGTGGATCGGTGATATTTCGACTGCTCATCTTCTCAATGATCTGGCAATGTTTTCGAGTCAGAGATATTATCACTTGTAATTGTCTGGTATCATGTTCAGGACTCCTACTCTTTGTAGTTTTCCGAGTTATCGAGGTCGTTTCCTACGGACTCGATTATACGTGCGAAGTGCGAACCCAGTTTGTCCATCTTGAGCACTCTGCTGTTCCGTCATTACATCTAACCCTACCCGTCTACGTCTCCTCAGGTGGAGGAGCTGGAGCCGAAGCTGCACATGTACATCATGAGTCTGCTGGCCCATTTCCGCTCCGGATGGACGGAGCTAAAAGGAACTGCCGCACTGCTCGTCGGTAAGGCTCGGGAAGGGAGATATGTCGAAGAGGAAAGGAATGAATAGGCTCGAAAACTTAGAGATTGAATCAGAGGCTCACCAGAGATGAAAGGGATGATATAGGAGAATTTGACAAAGCGCTCTTTCATATGATTCTGCCAAACAAAGTCTTGCCAAACTTGATGGTCTCGGTGTCGTGCTGACTTTTAACCTTCAGTCCACCTGAGACATCACGTTAAGTTCATTGCCTTTTTAAAAGTGTCCAGAGTTCCTGCCTTCATGGCAGCGTTTTTACTGAGTAAAACATATCTCGTGATACTGTAAGGCTTATGTCGAGTGTTGATTGCAACTAGTGATGTCAATTACAGAAAATCGGAATACCGATACCAAACCAAATACCAACCAAAACCGTGGGGAAATACCGAAACCGAACCAACTTTGAAAGATAAGGGAAATGCCAACTTTTTACCAATTTCTTAGCCTCTTATACATAAGAAAGGGTTTATAATACCAACAAAATACCAAACACATTAGGATTGAAATACCAAATACCGAGTTGGTATCGGTTTGGTATCGGTATACCAAAAAGTTGGTATCCGATTGACATCTCTAATTGCAACCATTGGTCAGTACTGATCATCTTTCGTCTCTGCCTTATAACATGTGCCTCTTTCCCCGCGGGCCGCGGCGTTCCGATCCGTGCTGCCATTCCCCCAGTTTCTTGCTCTGCTGTCTGTGCGTCTCGTCCTTGGACCTTCCGTCTGCCCATTCGCTCTAACACATACTGCACATCCCCGCAGCGTTCCTGTTGTGTAACCTGCCGGCTGAGCATCGCTCCAACGTGAAAGTACAGCCGGTCTGCTCGGGCCTGAAGAAGCTGCTCCAGGACTCTGATTGGCACGTACGATCACAGGCCGCCAAGGCCATCTCCCTTCTGCACGACTACTGAGCCGGCGTTTCTCGGGTGAGACCTAGGAGACTTCAGGACTTGTTAGTGATGACCTGAGATGGCCTTACCTGAGCCGGTATTGTGTGACCTTGGGTGAGACCTGAGGTGACCTCATGACTACTGAGTGATAACCGGAGGTGACCTTACCTGAACTTGACGGCCCCGTTGTGAGGAGTCGCTCATGACCGGGTCAAAGCTAATGACTTCTCACAGGGAAGGTCGCGTTGTGCGCGTGTGCGTGTGTGTGATAATCTGAAGCCCTTCCGGACGCCTCCATATAATTGTGAGCTCTATGGCTGGAACATCTATTGAGCTGCAGAGTTTTGGTCCGGACTGGGGACTGTTGCGCTGGGAACTTTGTGTCTGGACCAAGCCGGGGGTGACTTATCTGGTTCCCGACTATCACACGCAGGCTTAGGGCCTGTCTGTCAGACTTGCCATGGTCGGGCCCTCTAAGAGCTGGTGGCAGTGGGTTGCTCTTTGAGGCCTTGCCACAGTCTCCCGCACGAAACTCTAGTCGCACAATGTCTTGAAGACAAGCTCTAGACTTTCACGGTTGCATTTTCCCTTGCCTCAGTGTGTACATACGTTTATGGTAGGGGCATTCACCAGAAACTGTATCGTTTGCTTATCGAGTCAGAACCTTGACTGAAGACTGCGATATTTTGTCTTGTTTATTGGTTATATGAATCGTTGGGTAGTCGACAACGCATGATAGTTAAGTATAATCATAATTATGGCTAGTCGCGCTGTCTGCACTATCGGCTGTTGCCTGATCGACAGTGAATCATTGGCAGCCCTCCATCGTAATTACTGAAAGTGACTGTGAAGGCCGCCCACGACTGCTCTGAGTCGCCTTTTGCCGCGGCCGGAGCGCCCTAGCCAGTCTGTGGTCGCGCAGGATCAGGCAGTGGCTCGGATGGCAATGTGCGGCAGTGCAGTGGCCGCCTACAGAACACTCCCACACGGCTGTGAGGATGAGACAGTCGCTTCTGAGTTGTGAGTCCGTGGCCGGCGCTACTGGTGCCGTGGATCGCGGCTGGAATTCGTACCTCGGGGGCTCCGCCGGAGTGCTTATCCGTGTTTCCGTTCATTGTATTCGCCTCGCTGTGTATCGGTAAACTGGGGTTTCCGCTAGTTGTTGTACGCATTCCGCGCTGCTCGCCGCTGTATATTATGTTCTGTGCGGCCCGTGTAGGTGATATTTATGCCGATAGATGGCAGCAGCTGCGCCAGTGCCTTGCGCCGGACGCGCCGCCGCGTCACCAGTTATCTCGTGCAATGTTTGTCCCTCTCGCCGTACACCGGCGGAGTTGCGGTGTCCGAGGCCGGCGCTAGTACGAGGCTTCGGTAGGGATCTCGGCTTGGGGGTGTTCTGCGCCGGCGCGTGTGATACTTTATATCAAACGGCGCATCAGGTATATTCGTTTGCGCCGTGTGTTATTCGGTTCGCCTCTGTAACTGGCGACCTCCGAGGCATTATATTATTATCGCCGAATGGTTGTTGATGAGTGGTGAAGTTGAAATAAAGAGCTATAGTTGGAATAACTGGTTGTTTGCTAGAAGTACAACTGACACAAATTAATAAGCTCGCAAGAAGATGAAACTTGCAGGACATCGTTAGCTCCCGGGACCACACTAATTATATTATATCAAATTTTGCTTAACCCTCGCCCCACTGAGGCCCCCGGTCTCCCGGATTTTCATGTCCTGCTGGGGGGTGTTTGACCCCCTCCCCCCTTCTAGCACGGCTTCTGGGTCACGTAACCAGTAGCCAGGCGGGGCAGGCGGCGTTCGAAAGTACTATACCGTAAACCGGGGTGAGTTGATATGGGGTGGTGAGTTGATATAAATTGCTCCAAAAATGTTAAAATGTGTGCTGCTCATCCATTTGTAAACCAATTTTCAGTTTTATTTTTCTGTGAAGTGAGGCAACCAATAAGTGATGCATATAGCTGAGAAAGGCCTGCATGTGGTGCAGTGCCTTCTTAACACATTACTTTTTTCGAAGTCCTTTTTTTCTTCTGATTTTGAAACTAAGGAAAAGTCCCCACCCTACAGCAAAGACGGTGGATATTCATGGAACAACATGCACTGGGAAAGAAACTACCATCAATTTACTGTTGATCCCAGGTAGTTCGAGTTATTTGAAGTTCGTAAAGCGAGGTTATTATTTTTTGGCGGTTGCTGATCACGAATGTCATGTTAGTTTTGATCACAGATGTCTTCGTACATTTAGGCCAGGTCAGGTCAGGTCAGGTCAACCAGTAGGTGTCCTGCCGGCTATCCATAGGGAGTGTCAAGTGTCAACTACCACTGACGGTGTCGTAACATGTTACGAAGGCACTAAAACTACTTCGTAAATGATCAAATGCATGTTAAATTCGAAATCGGCCCGAAAAAAAACTACCCTAGAAACATGTAAAACTCCAAAAAGTGAACCGAGGTCACCAAAGGTCAATGACCTGACCTGACCTTCATGTGACCTTGACAGTTGACACCCACAATACTGCATGGGACCAACATCATTTACATGTTTCGACGTTACAATCACAAAAAGACTGGAAATGCGCGGATAATGTGAGCCGACTACGCCAAATCGCGATTCCGGCCAAGCATGGTCTCGAGAATCAGGTCACAAGTCAAAAACCATTTGAGTCAGGGTCATGAAATTTTTAGAACATGTGTAAATTGATAAACTCGAGAGGTACTGAAAGTTTCGTCGCGATCGGCCGCTTTTTGCGCGAGTTATGTGCGAAAAGCCGAGGTGGTCCGTTCGCCCGCCTATAAGTGCGAGGGTTAATTTTGGCTTTTGATGCCGAATTCTGTTTTATGTCGCTTATTTCACCTGATAGAATACAGTCCGAATTAGATTCGCTTCACTTCACTCCATTAATATTTTGTTGACTACCAGTCAACAAAAGCTCAGAAGTATCAGTATTCTTTCATTTCAATGCATTATCTCTGTCAGAGGCATATCAACCTTGACCCGCAACTGACAATGTGTTTTTATTACAAGAAAATACACTTATAATTCCAAAATATATTGCCAGTTTTGATGCCGTTGGCTTGAGGACACGTGACTAGCCAAGTTCAGAATGTTCTAAGTAAAACTAAGTATCATAAAGCGAAAAAATGATGCTGCTAAAATCAAGCCATTTTGATAGCGCTGTGTTGGACATGATTGCATTTTCATGAATATGAGGTCTGCTGCCAAACTACTACCATTTTTCTGATGGTTTCTTTCAGGATGTGTTCTCTCATCCTTTTTTTAAACACTGGCATTTTACCAACTCACCTCTGAGCTTCTTTAGCCGAGAAATTTTGAAAAATCCAAAACCATATCAACTCACCACCCCCAAGGGGTGAGTTGATATGAACTTTGGCGTTTTAAAAAAGGGGCTTAATATAACTACATTTTTTATTCATTTTTGCTGATTGCCTCCCCAAGGTATGTGTCATGAAACTGGCACAAAAAGAATTCCGTAAATGAATGTGGCTTTTAAAGAAATCTAGAAAAACCTCAAAATCCATATCAACTCACCCCGGTTTACGGTACGTCAAAAGAAACGAGAAATTACGAAGGTCATTTTTAGGTGAGGTTAAAGGGACTATCCCACCTTTAACATGGGGTTTGAGTTGAGATAGCCAAGTTTGCGGCGAGGTTCAGAAAACACTATCTATCTAGGTTGCAACCCCCGCGGCCTCTTGGTGTTGATGAAATTCGTTCCCTTCATTTGAAAATGGGCCATGCGCAAGGCCCTATCTTCAACAGGAGCGACCGTTAGTGTGACGTCACCTCGTTTTGGGCTGTGACGTCACATATTTGAAAGTTTGTGTTTGGAATATGGGAAGCCTAAGATGTTTAATGAAAAATAAATGCCAGAACCGTGTTCCTGGTCATCCAATCTATAAAGTCGGGCACAATTTAACTGGTTTTAACAACATTTTAGAAGGTGGGATAGTCCCTTTAAAGGTCAGGGCACGAGAAGTCATCGAAGGTTAACCCTCGCCCGCACATGGGGGGTGGTTGCCACACCCCCCCCAGGCAGTCTTTCTGCTCTGCACTCCACATTTTTAGAGCTAGAAGGCTGATTTTTCGTATAGCTGCTCGTCTATCCTTTCTTGATGTCCACTGAAAATTTCAAGTTTCTGTGATTTTTCGTTTCGGAGATATGACCTTGTTTTTCAGGTCATGTCATGACCCAAATGGCCAATTCTCAACATCTTGCGTTTGCCATGGGCCTTGTGAGCTTTTGACACCCTGATTTCGGCCTTTTTTGCCAGTCTTACCTCCCACCTATCATGGAACATGTTGTTCGACGATGTAGGTACAGGGGTCAAGGTCAGGGTCAAGGTCAACCTAGGTCATCTAAGATAATTGCGTTTTAGGCAAGCTGAATTTACTTTTTGTGAAGTTTTTTGACTGCATTTTTGGTAAAAGCTTCTCAGATCATGATTTCATGTGATATGGACCCAAAAACAATCGGTGCACACATCAGTATACACACAGACACACACAGACATACAAACACATATAATTGACCTTGACCTAACTTGACCTGAAATGACCTCAGCAGCAAAATTCTGGTCGGATAGTGTGACAAAGAGGTTCTAGCTGGCTTGGCACCAGAAAACAGCATCGTCATCGGTATTTGATAAGCAGCGCACTTGATATCCAACGGTGACCCAAAACAGCAACATTTTTTAGTTTGACCTGACCTGGAAGGTCAATGACTGACCTGAGAAGGTAAAACTGGGTATCATTGGATTCGTCTCTTCCCAAAGAATCTTTTTGGTCTTTACTGCTAAGCTCTATCTCCAACAGGAACGAAATGGCGCGGGGGGGGGTGGCAACCCCCCCCCCCCCCCCCATGTGCGTTCTAGGATGGGAAAATGGCATGTGCGGGCGAGGGTTAAAGGGACCCTCCCACCTTAACATTAGTTTTGAGTTGAGATAGCCAAGTTTGCGGCCAGGCTCAGAAACCACCATTTATCCTGGTCGCAACCCCCGCAGCTTTATGGTGTTCAAGAAATTTCTTCCCTTTACTTGCAGGGTGGGACCAGCGTGGTCCCTATCTCTTAACCATTACGGGAATCTGATGACGTGATCAGGCTTTCGAACGTCCGTTAAATGTTTGACTAAAACGTTTTGTAGCATGCGGTGGTATATGCTGCTTTGCGCGCAACAAATGCCGCACTTTCAAATAAAGTCGCTAGGAACAGCGGAGATCCCAAAAAGTAAACAAGAGTAAAAGTCTAATAGCTTGAAAACCGGTGAATATTTTTCGATGAAATTTGGTAGATATTCGTTTTTGCTCTTTCTGAACCGAGCGACATCACTTTCATGCCAATTCATTAACTTTTTTGAAGGAGGGAGGGTCCCTTTAAATTTCGCTTATTCAGACAATTTTCGACTAACCGGCGCATAACTCGAAATGAATAGAGCTGCAGCACCGCAGTAAGGCGCATTTGATAGCCCTTTTAACCCGCGCCCCGTAGGGCTGTCGGTGGACCCTACCACCCGTAGGGGGGGGGGCGTTTCGCCCCCCCCCCCTAAGATCTCGGAAATTTATCGGCCGATTTCCAAAATTCAAACGGCGTTCGATAGTTCCATCAGGGAACTACCTTTTGCCCAAATTTCATTGACCTAGGTCAAACCGATGACGTCACATGTCAGGTCAAAGGTCGGATTTTCACCGTTCACAGGCATTTCAAGAAATGTGTTGTGAAATCGAGTAAATTGGTAAGTTATTGAAACCATCGATGGTACATTGTTCGCCAAACACATTCTTTGCTATCTGAGGTAACTGATACCAGGTCAGGTCACAAAGGGGGTCACAATATGAAAATGTCGTGTGATACATGTTAATGGTCCATTTTACATGACAAATGCGATTATGTGGGTAAGGCAGCTTTTGGGGCCAGCCTAGGTCACGTTCTGGTGAAGTTCAGGTGAAGGTCAGGTCAAATTAGGTCAAATTTCAAAGTTGATATTTTTGCATAAAATGGGTATCGATTCGATGCAGCTCGTCACGGGGAGTCTAATGGTGGTCTTTGTTTGGCCCTACGTGGTCTAGAATTGCCCGAAATTGAGTTTGAAAATTTGACGTCATTTATGAAGTTTTTTCGCTATAACTTGGTAAAAAAGAGATATCGATCTGAAATTTGGTATGTGGATAGAAGACGGCAGGTAATATCATATATGTATATTCCGTTTTTCAAAACTCAAAAAACTTTTTGGATTTTTTGGCTAATATATAAAAAACTTTTTTGATTTTTCGGGCTCAAAATTCAAAAACTTCAAAAATTCGAGATGGCAGTTTTTGTAGCCCTGTCAATTCTACACCTTTTATGTCTCGATCATTTTTCTCTATCTTCAAAGCTGTAGGCCTGACAGCGCTTATCGCGAAGCTCTTTTTTCGGTCGAAAATGGTAGAACATGACGTCATTCTGACGTCATTTGCGGCAAACCTATCATAGCCTCTGGAGACGTTTTTGGTCACAATGTGTAAAATTGATGCCCAGAGGGGTCCTGAAAGTTTGGCGGCGATATCTGCAGCCGTTTAGGAGATATCGACGGAAAAGGACAGGGGGTCGTTTCGCCCCCACCCCTCACCCCCTACGGGGCGCGGCGCGCTTTCTTGTCAATCTTCTCATGTTTGAATGAAGGTGAACGGCTTAGCCTGCAAGTGCAGAGGGCAAAACTGCCAAAAATAGATGTGTAAGGAAACGTTTTTCTCAAAAACCTTTCACTCGAACCTTGCATGAGCCTAATTTTACGGGCATCGTGTTCCTCTCGTCGAGACGCGTCGAATGAACTAAAATTTGAGCTTGAAAGGTCAACTTGAATATTTGACCTAAGATCAAGTTCATGACCTGAGCGGAAAGGTCGTGATGCATACCAGTCGATCCGATATCGTCGAGCTGAACTCATTAAAGGTGTTTTCATCGCTCTAGCGTGCGTCTATCAAAAGCTATTGGCGAAAAATGTTGGATAACTTTCGTGGCCTGAGATGACCTCAGGGACATTAGGAGGGGTCACGAGTGCAATCATTTGATTCAATATCTTATATTTACCTGTAACCAAATGTTAGAGAGTGTTCTGTATGACGTTCCTCCAAAAGTGATGCATTCCAATTTTCTCCCATTGACATGGAGACGTCACAAAATTGACCTGACCTTAGGTCACCGACTTCAACATTCCAAAATATACGTTTAGATTGTTGCCCTTATTAACCCGCGCCGTGCTGGTGGTCTAACTTTTCCGTGTCGTGCTGGGGGGGGGGGTCGCCCCCTCCCCGTCTAACTCGGTCTGGGCCACTTAGCGACACACGGTAAGCGGCATTCGAAAAAAACGTCAAATATAATGCAGGAAACACTTCGGTCATTTTTAGGTCAGGTCAAAGGTCAGGTCGCCAGAACTCATCAATGGTCAAGTCTTGCATATTTCAACAATTTTCGAAAACTCGGCACATAACTCGGGGACCAAAAAGCGCATTCGATAGGTCTTTCAGCGATATTTTGCTAACATGGCCTTAGATTTGACTTCAGGTCAACGGTTTAGCTTCAGTGGGCAAAAACTCTAAAACTGTCCGTTTTTACTATTGTTTATCTAATAACTTATGACTTTAGATATTCACAGCCATTCTTTTGCCAGTATTACGTTTCTCTCGTCGGGACGCGTCGAATGAACTATAATTTGACCTTGAAAGGTCATTTTGAAAATTTGACCTCAGGTCAAGGTCATGACCTGATCAGAAAAGGTCATGTTGCATATCAATCGATCCGTATCGTTGAGGTGAACACATCTGACGTGTTTTCACCGCTCTAGCATGTCCCTATCAAAAGTTACTTTCAAAAAATTGTTGGGGAGATTCCATGACCTGAGGTGACCTTAGGGGCACAAAGAGAGGTCACGGGTGCAATTTTCCTATTTAGTGTGTTATGCTTAGATATAAACTGATGTTTTAGAGTTTTTAGAACGACATTCATCATAATTGCATTTCAATTTTCTCCCATACCTCCGTCCTCCCCCCCCCCCCCCCCAGCAGGACGCGGATTGATTTATCAAAAAGGGCGGCGATACGAGAAGTTGCAGTTTGAAGCTTCTTGCGAAACCATCATTGGGTGTTTATTTCTGTATCCCATTTGTTCCTAATAGAATATCACCGTTCACATGCGATCAAGTTCAAGGCTTTAAAGCGAGACCGGGATTCCATATTTATAGTCCTTTTTGCCCAGCTGTCATTTTATCATTTTGAGTTCAGCTTTGATAACAACGTTATCTTCCGTTAACTATAGCGCCGCACAGACTCTGCTCGAACGTTACATTGGCTGATGATCGGCCGGCCGTCCCTCTCACGTTATGTCCATTCCTCCATTCCTTACGCAATGTGAGAGGGACGGTCGACGAGCTGAAAAAAGAAAAAAATCGAACCCGACGAACGCTCCTCTCAGCGCGGGAACGCACCTCCGCTGCGCGCGCCGCGCGCCCACGCACTCCAGTGCGTCGCCCGTCCCTTCCAGTCCCGGCCGAGAGGGCCGCGCCGCCGACGGGGCCGCCCCGGGCGGTGGCGCGGCTATTCGGAGGACCGTTTCGCAGCTGTCCAGCGCTAGCCCGTTAACGAACATTTATCTGCAAGTTGCTGGTGGCGTCACTCTCGCGTTCGTTGCCTTCGTGGAGAATGTTCAGGCGCCGTGTAATGCGGTACAGCATACGTAGCAGGCGTTCGCTACCGCTGCCATCTAGTGGCCGAGATGTAACAAGTTGAACACTGTATTCATTGTTTATCATTCTCTCGCATTTTCTCACGCTTATTGTGAGTTGATCCTGCAATCTAAAGTATGCTTGTCCAGAAAGAAAAGACACGACATCGATAAATGATTTATTAAATCAAAATTTTACTAAAAATTGACTTTCCCAAGACAATGACAGACAAAAGAACTTGTTTCATTACACGCCACGATGTTGGAGTTCAGACACTATAGTCAGAAGCAACAGTGTTGTTTGCATTCACGGTATTTTCAGCACGCAAAGGTTGAAGCCAGAGACGTGAAGCATGAGCCTGACGAAGAGGATGGCGGCCATTGCGGTCAGGATCGGATGCTGCGCCAGGCCGTACTGCAGCTGAGAGAGGCCCTGCCAGACCTTGGTCATCAGCGACGGTCCGCGGTACTCCTGGTTATCCGAGTCGTCACCCATGAACGGCCACTGCCGGCTGGATATCTGAAGACGGGATAAAGCATAGCGTTAGGTTCGCTTTATGCGAGGTTGACATGTAACATTGAGGAGTGCGCCACATACTATCGTTATGTGTCACAATGTGACCGATTCAATGTCATAATTTGGTCAAAATTATCATATGCAAAGTGATATACTTTAATTGACTATGCAAGCATGTTTCTTCAATAAATGAGTAAAGAAAAAGACAACAGCCGAGGTAGGGTGCAAACTGCAGAGGCATTTAAAAAAGAAAGTGCAGGACGCACACTTACCCAGCTTTTATTCTTCTGCGTTGACTGTTTTAGTGGTTCCTCGACTATTCCAGCCTGCATGCAGTCCTCACAGTCACATGGCGGAGCACCCTGGTTCGCCACGTCATCGACGACTGCATCTCCAGCTGGGTCGGGTGCTGGCCGAACTCTGGGAGAACGGTTTCGTCGTCTCGGCATTTTGGATTTTTATAACCACGCAAATAAGCCTTTACTACCTAGCCTACAAAACTTGAACTTCACCGAAGACTTAGAAAAAGAAATAAGCTACGCCAAATTTAGCTGAAGTTGATACCAATCTTTAAAATTCGCAAATAGTTTCTCTTTTCGATAAATACCCTATCGCAAAAACTGCATTCAACGTCAAATGAGATGCTGAATAAAATGCAGCACGAGCTTCACATGAGCTTTCCTGAAAAGGCATCTTCCTTTTGTGTTAGTATAAACTGGCATATAGGAGCCTCCAATGTTCCAACAAATAAAAAAGTGTTGACCGTGTTTTACGGTCGAAGCAACTATATGAAGTGTTGGATGTATAATCACTGAAAATGTACTGTCATTAATGGGGGTTTTGAAAGGGCAGATGAATAAATCAAAAAGGGCGTTTCCGTGACTTTTTATATATACCTAATATTGTTTTCAATATAAGTAGGTAGACAACACATAAGTGTGATTGGCTGGTCATGCTCGCCTCATTTTACAGCCCACACTAAGTCATGAAGTTTCCTGTGAACCGGTACTAATACATGGTGCAGATTGCAATTTTATGTAATGTTAAAGCATCGTTCCCCCCCCCCCCAAAAAAAATACCTTCCACCACGCATTAAAGTAATGAAGTGCATAATTTTACAACTTCCTATTGTTTCACTAGTATTTCTCTTCAATGAACAACATATTGAACGGGATAATATGTATTTCACTATCAATTCCTGATGGGCGATAACATCTGCGACGACACTTTGCCACATCATGGTACTTCAATAGCATAATTCTCATCCGGTGAGCACTGGAAACTGGTAACATTTGTTAACCACCAGTGCCATGATGACTCAGAAGTGCACTTGAAATTGACACTCAAAAACTAATACAACGCTCGTCCGGAACATGTTGCCAGTTTGAGTTATGCATCATTATAAGTTACTAGGTACACATATGCAATATACCTGCCAGTAATAAGGTATGCCACTTTAAGCTCGTCTCTCTCTTGGTTTTAATCTATTCAGAAAAACGCGCCACCATTTCACCGCAAGTGGATGACAGACATATGCTGAATGCTGAGTATGAACGCCATTGGCTGCGCGTATTCCGAACAAAGCAAGACATGTGGAGAACCGTATCACATTTTCGAGTTCGCATTCCACCCTTATGCTGAGTGAGCATCGAAGAAAATAGTACCTCCCGGTTTGGAGACACGAGTTCGAATAAGTGAACACCCGTCCATGAGGCATTCGTAATAGACAACCATATCTACGCCAATTCAGAACCGAAGCCACGATTTATATCATCCTATGAAGACATGCGAGATGTATACCAGCAACCAGCCTGAGCCTGTAATGAATGGCTGCCGTGCTTGCCTGGAAGAAGGCACCCGCCTTCACATTGATGATGAGCGTATAGCACGGACGTTTCCGTGGAAGTCGCGCAGTCCGTACACGATAATGAGCAGTATTCCTTCACCAGCACTATATGTGGCTGGCGAAATACGAGAGGCAAGGCTGCAGAGCCAGGAGCTGCTCACTGAAAACTGGTCCTCGTTGGAAGACAGGTCTGGTTGACAATGCGCTGCCTGTATCGGCATTTACTTTTATGGAATAATTGATCAAATAATTTGGGTTGATTTCTTCAATGACTCAAGAGATAAGCTGTGCTTGTAATATTCTCTTGTCAGTTAGATGAATCCCATAACGTTTAACAGTAAAATGACCTGTTATATATGGCCAGGAGGATTCAAGTATACCTATCATAAATGAAAACTTCCACAATGAAACGGCTTGCACATTGGCTTAATGCCAAACAATGAAGGCATGACTACCAACAGGCCACAAGCGATCACTTTTCCATATAACCGCGATAATTACGGTCAACGAACAATATCAATATATCCACAGACAGTTCTCGCTTTAACAACAACTCCAAACGGCCCGTGCGGCGGCTAGTTCCCGTTCGGCTGGGTTTTCTCAGCTGCTGGATGGCTCATGTGCTCCTGATGTGCCCTCTGGCGACGGAGATCCGACTTGATCATGGCAGTCATCACTGAACCAAGCAGGAGCATCCCTGCCAGAGCCAGATTCGCCGCCCGGTCTCCGTGGCTGCCGGGAAAGGGGTCACGCTGGGGTCAGATGATGGGGTCGGGAGCGGGAGGTGTCCGAAACTGGTTTTGAGCTGCAAAGATGATGAAGCGGACACACTCCATAGATGATTTGAGAAATGTGCTTCTTTTAAAACTTCAGCAAACAATTTTCCATCTGATGGTATGCCAGCTCATGCTCAACGCAAAGTAGCACGTTTGATACCAAAAGTGAAAAGCGATCCCCTTCAAATCACAACAGCGTCTTACGCCTTGAGCAGCTTCCCGTCGGCGATGGTGAAGATGATGCCGAAGAACTGTGCGGAGGCGTTCAGCAGACCGGACGAGGTGCCCTCCGACTCGGGGTAGGTAATCTCCGCCGCGAACTCGAACCCGACTGGCAGGTAGCCGGTCATGAAGAAGCCCAGGAGGCCGGCGGTGACGTACACCACGCTGATGTAGCCCACCGGTAGGGTGAACGTGTAGGCGATCATGCCGCCCACGCTGAGCACGTAGACGGCCAGCGTGGTGCCCCTACAGGTCGGCAACGGTCGGAGGTCAGAGTCCCGCGGGAGGAACGGGTGCCAGAGCCGCCAGATACGGGCTTATTAGGACACTGATGGTCGGCAACGAAAACACGAGCGGACGCGACGAGAGAGATATACCGGGTAAATGGGCCGAGAGGAAAAACAATGGCGTGGCAAGTGCTCTCTGTGGTCGATGTCGACGCAATAACATCCAGACCACTGCGAGAAGTGCCGATAAGAGCCCTCATTACCCGACCGTGTGTTATCGGCCCGCATTTCCTCCGCTCTTTATGAAGCTCTGTTGATTTCCTAAAGGACGGTAAATGTTGACCACATTGAAGGAGTGCGCATCGTAAAAATAGTCAGTCCTACCATTCGTACTCTTCTAGCTTGGATTGCTCAAGGACGGTCTTATATCTGAGCAGTAAATCTGCGCCAATGTCGGAGGCTGCTTCCGAAGGAAATCCGGTCCTCCACTGGGCCAGGCCGGAAGAACGGGAAAAACAACCTTTGGGATAAAGCTCGGTTTAGTGCGGCGTCCACACAGATGTCGAGCAAAAGTCACAAACAACTTATATTGGAGGTTCGGAGAGGAAATGAGGGGCTCAATTTAAAAGGCGAAGTGGAGAAAAAGAACCCAGGAGAAAGGGCTTGTGTGGTACTGACATCCCAATTCCTATAAATTGGCCCTCGATGCATAAACGACCTTAGTAGCGAAAGTATCTTGCATGTCTTTGGTTTTATACCGTGAGGGAGCGTACTCACTTGAAGCGATGCGTTTTGTCCAGTATAATTCCGCAGACGACCGACCCCAGCATGCCGGCCAGCACAATCACCAGACCTATCCTGCCAGCGTCCTTCTCTGCCGACTGAAAACGACACAAATCAGCGTCACGTGGTCTGTAAAGTGTAAGACAAACAATTACATCAAGATAAACAACAACCATGAAAGGCATTAGCTACTGCTTTTTGTCCAATCGCGTGACATTCAACATCATTCTCTATAAAGCCCCTGTTTAACGCTAGGCTGCAAAGAAAGGCAATGTGTCACCAAATGGTTACGAAACAACGTTGCCAAAATAAACATGAGGATGTTTATGCCTACGGTGAACGCAAACAATATGGTCGAGAAGTGGCCTGTCCGCTTTGTTAATGGCAGTGCAATGCCCAGAGGCACCCCGTGCAAAGTACGGCGTGATCACTGACGGCAGGCATGTTCTGATGTTTCGTAGAAAGGACTTTTGTTCGTGGGAACAGGAAAATATTAACTGAATGCTGCTTACTGTTTTATATTATTTACTCATCATCGTGGCAATTTGGCCTTTACATGGTAAATCAAATAAAGGCTCGATTTATTACACAAATGCACGGGTCAATTGCACAAAAAGTGCTGTTTCGCTTCGCGTGCCTTAGCGTGAGGGATGACACTATAGACATGGAAAGATCTATGTCGGTCAGACGGGGAAACGTGAACTCAACTCCTTCGTAGCAAAGTCGCTTGACTTGCTGAAGTCCATGTGCCTCGTGTTGGGCGGAAGACGGAGGAGTAACGCAACGGTGGTCAATCAAACAGTTGGTTCGTCTAGGAACAAGGGCGTTGATAAACACTATGTGATGAACACTAACACCATGGACCCCCCCCCCCCCTCTTCGAACGGCACTCACCGGGTAATAGATGAGGACCACCTGGTTCAACAGCGTCGACAGTGCGTAGAACACGCCGACGTTCATGCCGTAGGTAACGAGCAGCAGGACGTAGTGACGGTTCTTCAGCAGCCGGACGATGCTCCTCAGGTAGTGTTCCTCTTCAGCCTCGCGCAGTGCCGCCTGCGCCGGGGACGGAGGCAGCGGGGGCTTGTCTTGGAAAACTGCCGCGTGTTGGGAGGAAGTTACGACGCTGCCTAGGCATGTGGTGAGATGACAGGCCTTGGAAGGTCTTTACACGTTAGGGTAATGCTCACATAGTTTACAAACAGGCGCCAATGCATGACACGGATACTGATTCTGCTAGTGCCGGCGTCCCTTTGACTGGCGATAAGTGAGCATTCGTGATCGTACACACCAGGGACCCTGAGAAGCCATATCCGAACTGTCGCCGGCGCCACCTCCTCCCATCCCCTGCCCTTCCGTCCGAAACCGATCAACCTGCCGTACGTCGCGTCGGCACAGTCACCGATGCTCTCAATGCCATCGTCTCACCACTGCAAGGCTCATCGTCCAGCCATGACCAGTCTCAGTCGGTCCCTATGACCGGCACCCTTTGCACTTTGGCTGGACCTGTGCCGGTCCGGCCCGGTCCGCCCGCTACCGTCACCCCAGGAGAGCTGCAGTAACGGGAAGGAAAGGGACAGGACAGCGGGGCAGGACGGTGGTAGTTGATGACAGATGTGGTGTCAGCGCAGGCACGGCGGGGTAATGTTGTTAGAGATGTCTGAATAACGGAACGATAATGGGTTGGACAGACACTACATCCGTTGTAGCGAACAATGAATGGACGTAGTTCAATATGTTCCTTTTGGGCATTGTCATTGAACCTTAAAAAAATGTAACACCTATTTCGCAGAAAACATGATACGGTAATCTGTAAAAATACGTTAATCACTCCAGTTTTCCGAACGTTAATACGCTTACGGGTCTTGACCAATTTAAATAATCACTGATGCGTGATAAACGACCAATATTTTTTTTCATATCGGCGGAAACCTTTTTTTTCTGTATGCGCAAAACGTGTCTAGCCGATTAATATCACTGGCGCATCACACACACCTCACTAAAATTGATGCAGATTGCCTGACCAACAGGGTGTCTCGTAAGACCACATACGCTTGCTATTTTGCAATTACTTTATGGCGAGTGACTACACTGACCGTTACACGGCGCGGTCACTTAGCGCGATCCACTCTTGACACGCCTGCCGTCTTAGAGCTTCATCGCTCATCTTTGACCGGCAATATGTCACACTGTCCCTGCCTGCCGTGTGTGTATAGAACCGCGTATGAACCGCGCTTTCAACACGCTTGTCGCCGAAGAGTTATGACCCTGCCGGGTGTGATACACACTCAGGAGCCGCTCTGTCGCGGGACAGGTCGGCGGGGTGCCGATGACAGGTCACTGGGGGCAGGAGATGGACGAGGGTATACGTCCGATCCATTGGCACTGAGCTGATTTAGCGGAGAGGTGCAGTCTGGCTTGGACCATGAAAATGTAAGACGACATTTTAAAAGCATTGACTCGTTGCTGTTGTTCTTGAAAATGCTCTTTTTATACGGAGATATAGACCACTTTTGACCTATAGGTGCAGTTGATAGAGACCATCAACAGCGGGCTGATCCGCGGCATAGATTCGTGGGACATCTCCAGTATTTCCGCGCCAAAGCGGTAATTGACGTATTTCGCCCCCGACTCATGAAACACAAGGTATTGTCGACAAGTCCAGTCATGGTAAATTGAAAACGTCTTCTTCAGTCAGTCCATATAGGCTAAAAAATGAGTTGTACCTCTTTCAACATTTAACTGCTGATAGAAAGTGTATAAAATCCTAGAAGTAGATAACAAGAGACGATAAATAATACACATGTGAAACGGCACTGACATTTTGACAGGGATGGACAGCTTACTCTAATTCAAATAAAGACAGAAGATGGTGAGAACAGTGGAAATGGTGCATATAATTAAAAATGTGCAATGTGCAGGTACTGCAGCTAAATGCCAAACAAAAATGCACTTATTCGTGAAAATGGTGCTGCTGCTGTGCAGTTTCTAAGGAAATAGGTAATGTGCGGTGCCAACAATAGGTGCTCTGAAAAAGGAACATCCCATTTGTGCTGATACACTTACCGTTATAAGTCCCAGCTGGGAAATGCGTGTCACACACATACACTAAACGTTCAGAACGAAATGCGGAAATTGTGCGCGCGGAGTGAAACACTTACGGCAGGACTACGTTACTGCACCTACGGAAGATACACGTAAGGGCGTTACAAATATGGCTCAAAGTATGAATGTTCAACCTTGCATAGATATCTATTTACATTTCGAGGTTACTGCTCAAGAAGTGCTGGATCTATTTCATAAAACTGTAATATAAGAACATGATTCGAAAATATATGTCACAAGTAGACCAATTATTTATTATTTCATTTGATTTGACTGAGCCTCCAGGGAGCCTGAAGCGCTTTTCTTTGAGTCACTTTATCGTTGACAGAAAATGTTTCTTGAGTCGCTTCATCGACAGCAGAAAATGTAGTTAACTATCAATATCAAAGACCCGGGGGCACTGATAATTCATTGAAGCCCCGAAATGTCAGCTGTAAAGAAAAAAAAAAATACAAGACCCCAGCTTACCGAAGACGATTGTGATGAAGAGAATCGTGGTGATGGCCGCCTGGCCGTAGAACATGATGGAGAGGTCGCGGGTGTTGTCTGCCAGGTTAATCGAGTTCCGCACAATCCACGGAGGGATCAGGAAGCCCAGAGCGCAGCCCAGCTGTGACCGAGACATAAAGGCACGGCTCAGTTGGGTGGTATGATTCGTAATAGATACGTATTATCAATTATTTCAATATTGTACGTGAATAAGCAGCTGGCAAGTGCTTTACTGGACGAGCTGTCTTGAAATATTTATACAAAAGAAAGGCCGTCTAAATCCACTATTTCACTATCAATGGCGTTATTTCACGGTCGGAAATTGCTGGCTTAGCCACACAAAACCGCTCTCCACTCACCTGATTGCCAAAAACTCCGATGGCGCAGGCCGAGGAGACCTGGTTGGGGCCAAACCACACCGCCGCCAGTTTCGGCGGGATGCCCAGGATAAAGATCTGCGAGGCGGCCGTGATCGTCTGTCCGGCGAACGTGACGAGGAAGCGGTCCGGGTCGGGCGCCAGACTGCCCACTTTGACCCAGGAGCCGACCATGGTACCGAACGAGCCGAGCAGCACCGCCCACCGCAGGCCCTGGCGGCATGGAGGTGGCCGTCTTACTGGTGGTGCCACCGCTTGGCATCGGAAAATGGTCACGCCAGCGATACTGTGCAAGCAAGAGGCTGAAGAACTCACGCAAGAAAAGTTTTGATAAATAAAGAAAAGAGCGTTTTAGTAGAGGTAAAAGAGAAGCGAAATGGGAAAAGTTATTTTATTCCAGGGGCGGATCCAAGGGGGGGGGTCACATGGGTCATGGCCCCCCCCCCTTGAGGCCCGGGGGCCCAAAGACCTTCCAGGGGCACCACCGGCCTATCAGGGGTATCACAGTCCTGACAGGGGCACCACAGGACCGCCAGGGGCACCACAGGCCTAGCAGGGACACCACGGGCCTCGTGCCCCTGGGCCCTGACAGGACTGTAACGCCACTGACAAGCCTGAAGTGTCCCCGGCAGGCACGTGGTGCCCCTGACAGGCCTGAGGCGCCCCTGCAAGGCCGGTGGTGCCCCTGGCAGGCCTGTGGTGTCCATGGCAGGCCTGTGGTGCCCTTGCTAGGCCTCTGGTGCCCCTGACAGGCTTGTAATGCCCCTGGAAGGACTGTGGTGCCCCTGGGCCCTGACAAGCCTGAGGTGCCCCTGACAGGCCAGAGGTGCCCTTGCTAGGCCTGTGGTGCCCCTGGCAGGCCTCTGGTGCCCCTGACAGGCTTGCGGTGCCCTTGGAAGGACTGTGGTGTCCCTGGGCCCTGACAAGCCTGAGGTGCCCCTGACAGGCCCGTGGTGCCCTTGTTAGGCCTGTGGTGCCCCTGGCAGGCCTCTGGTGCCCTTGCTAGGCCGCTGGTGCCCCTGGCAGGCCTCTGGTGCCCTTGCTAGGCCGCTGGTGCCCCTGGCAGGCCTCTGGTGCCCCTGCGCCCGGAGAGGACTGGTGCCCCTGAAAAGTCTGAAGTGCCCCTCGGCAGGCCCGTCGTGCCCCTGACAGGCCCAAGGTGCCCCTGCGAGGCCGGTGGTGCCCCTGGCAGGCCTCTGGTGCCCCTGGCAGGTCTGTGGTGCCCCTGGCAGGTCTGTGGCGCCCCTGGCAGACCTGTGTTGACTGGTGCCCCTGCTAGGTCGCTGGTGCCCCTCACAGACCTGTGGTGCCCCTGCTTCCTGGCAGGCCTGTGGTGCCCCTGGCGGGCCTGTGGCGCCCCTACAAGGCCGTAGGTGCCCCTGACAGGTTTGTGGTGTCCCTGGAAGGACTTTGGTGCCCCTGACAAGCCTGAAGTGTCAAGGACAGACCCTTTAGACACCAGGGTCAAGTTCGTCGGACTGACAACGATTTGCTTACCTGATAACGTTCCTGGTAAGTACTCATTACTCAGCGTCCACAACATATATACACATAGCACATTCATATATACTTGCTTACAATTGGTAAATGTGGTTGTGGCTAAGAGGTAAGATACTGACTAAAAATAAAAAATAAAAATAAAAAACTGAAAATGGGGGCACCACCAAAATGAAGTGGACGAAATCCGTTGAGTTTTTAATTTTGGGTATAGGTAGGGGCACCACTTCGATTCATGACCCTCCCCTTGGAGTTTTCCTGGATCCGCCCCTGTTTTATTCAAACAATGGTCTTACAAATGGTTGTGGGTTTCATTGGAGATCGTCAATGTGCAAGTAAAAAAGTGAAAATGCTCTACTGCACAAGGAGTGCCTACATTGCTCTCCGGTGATAATTAGAAACAAAAACCCTTACTTCAACAGTTTCACTCAGGGACAATTTTGCACCAACGTATGATGTCTTCCTCACCTTTTTGTCCAGAATCCAGGCAGCTGGGAAGATGAGCGGTATGTAGAGCACCATGTATATCATGGACGTCCAGTCGACGGAGAACGCCGTCACATTGTAGTAGCGTACGATGATGTTGTTGATGATGCTGTACTGGATCCACTGGAAGGCGTTGGAAGTGGAGTAGAGAACAAACAGAGCCAGGATCGGCCAGCGGCGCTTGTAGATTTTGCACTCGTAGTTCCGCTTTAGCAGGGCACTGTCCGCGGTCAGAGATTCATTGGTTTCCACCGTGGGCATGAAGACCGGCACGGGCTCTGATCCCGCCGCCGAGGTCATGGTGAGGTCAAGGTCAGCGCGGTCAGGAGGTCAAGGTCAGCACGATCAGGACCGGCAGCTGCCCTCTTCTTGCTTCTGCAGTGTAGCTGGTGGCCGAAACTCTGGAACAACGTAGACGGCTCGAGATAAGTGAGGGAGTTTTAGTGGGAAGCCAGTAATCTTTTTAAAGATTTAAAATGCATTGCATGCGTGAATATCTATTCGAGTGCCCCACTACGTAGTTTAGTGATAAGAAAAGCATGTGGTAAAAAATAAACGAAATATGAGGATGATTGGAATAAAAATTGAAGATGGAATATGCGGATAGCGACAGCAACAACATCATAAAAGTGCAAGCGAGATGGTTGTAAGCTGGCAAAACACTATGCTGCATAGCTTAGAGGACTTACAAAGAAGGTAGTTTTGGTCTGTAGCACGTGATACGTAGGAATAATTTCTAAAAAAAAGACTGATAGACGGAAAGCATGCAGCTCAAGGCCATATAAAGTGCAGCTATATAATATATATATATATATATATATATATATATATATATATATATATATATATATATATATATATATATATATATATATATATATATATATAGATGCAGCTTCACTCTATACAGGATTCCCGATCAGTCTAATCAAAGCTCACCGCAGATTAAAATTGAATCGGTGCAATGTCCTTCAATAGGACAATCATGTCGACCTGTTTGATGCAACTGTTAAAGGGACCCTCCCACCTTCAAAAAAGTTAATGAATTGGCATGAAAGTGATGTCGCTCGGTTCAGAAAGAGCAAAAACGAATATCTACCAAATTTCATCGAAAAATATTCACCGGTTTTCAAGATATTAGACTTTTATTTTTCTTTACTTTTTGGGATCTCCGCTGTTCCTAGCGACTTTATTTGAAAGTGCGGCATTTGTTGCGCGCAAAGCAGCATATACCACCGCGTGCTACCAAACGTTTTAGTAAAAGATTTAAAATCGTTAGATCTCCGCTGACGTCACAAATTCTAAGGGGGCATACCAATGCATTAGCCCCGTAGAATCCGAAAACTGCAAGTTTGAAATTCGATATCTCCGAATTAAAGTATTTTTCGATGTTGTGAGTGCCCAAACCGGTATTTTCAGGCCATGGCCACCAATTTGGCTATCTCAACTCAAATCTAATGTTAAGGTGGGAGGGTCCCTTTAAAGGGACTATCCCACCTTTAACATGGGGTTTGAATTGAGATAGCCAAGTTTGCGGCGAGGTTCAGAAACCACTATCTATCTAGGTTGCAACCCCCGCGGCCTCTTGGTGTTGAAGAAATTCGTTCCCTTCATTTGAAAATGGGCCTTGCACAAGGCCCTATCTTCAACATGGAGCGACCGTTAGTGTGACGTCACCTCGTTTAGTCATTCTGATTTAAATGGGTTTGTTCGTTGAAAAATCGCTTAAAACTTGGTCTGAACTTTGTTGTGGTGCCTACAGAGTAAAAAGAATCAGCTTTATGACAGTAATGTGGCCTGGGGAAGGAGGTAATTTTGGGCTATGACGTCACATATCTGAATGTTTGTGTTTGGAATATGGGGAGCCTAAGATGTTTAATGAAAAATAAATGCCAGAACCGTGTTCCTGGTCATCCAATCTATAAAGTCGGGCACAATTTAACTGGTTTTAACAACATTTTAGAAGGTGGGATAGTCCCTTTAATGGTGCTTCTCTCTCTCTCTCTCTCTCTCTCTCTCTCTCTCTCTCTCTCTCTCTCTCTCTCTCTCTCTCTCTCTCTCTCTCTCTCTCTCTCTCTCTCTCTCTCTCTCTCTCTCTCTTTCTCTCTCTCTCTCTCTCTCTCTCTCTCTCTCTCTCTCTCTCTCTCTCTCTCTCTCTCTCTCTCTCTCTCTCTGTCTCTCTCTCTCTCTTCCTCTGCCTCTCTGCCTCTATTTTTTTGTCCCTCTTTCTCTTTTCTTTTTGACGGTTGTAGCAGGATGTACAGTCTTTTTACACCAATTTTTCCGCCAGTTTGAATTTGCCCCTTATAATACAACCGAAGAGATGTTCAGGGTGGGTCAGCTATGACGTTTATGAACTTCGGTTACTTATTCAATATTCATCTTAGTCTTAGAATTTGATTATATCTCGCTAGTACCTATTGTTGTAAAGGTCCATCATCGCCGAATTATTCGATGTATGTATACTGAAAAACAACGTTCAAATCACGTTGAGTTGGCACACGTTGTCCGCCGTGCACAGCTCGTCTGGGCTGCCGACACTTGACTAGGCTAGCGCTAGGAAGGCCAATTACATCACAGCTTAGTTCGCGGTTCGGCCGCTACGGAAGTGCATCGTAAACCGATCTGCTTCAATGTGACGACCGGAATTGGATGAACTAGCCGCAAACGACCTCTTCAACCCCCGCTCTGAACTCTCAGTTGCGTCGCTTCTGACAATAATACACGTTTGCCCTTGCAAAGGATGCAAACTGCAATCATAGGCCTTCGGACAGCTCAGGTCGGGCAGAGTCAGTCGGATGCCGTGGGTGTGTAGTCGAGTGTAATACTGACAGCACCGACATGACTGGTGCTACTGACGATCGCCCGGACCCTCTCCATTTGTTCTCATTTCCTGAGCTGGCTGTCAGGCTGTCAGGGCCTTCGTCAGAGTAATGGTGAAAGACGGCCGCTCCAGTGGGTGCTGAGACAATAGTTAGTCATCCACTCCAGTACCTAACAACAAGCAACATGTGTTCAAATGCTGATTCGCGGTAAAAACTGCATTACACTTAGAAAACATTGGATGAGAAGGCGTTTAATTTTGAACGGATTTTGGCTAGAATCGAGGACTTTGCTTTGAAAAAATTGGCCAAAGGGTGTGAGTTTCGATTGACTTTCAAGACGTTATGGGTTGTAATCGCGTGTAACTCTTCCTAAGGAAACTTACGCTTGGCCCTAGGCCCTAGTCGTCTATGACAGATCGGCTATGAAATAGCAATTAATAATTCCACTGTGAAAAGGCAGCTGAAAAAAGATACAAATAAATGGTCGATGTCGTCTTCCTTAACCCGAAGACGCGACCTCCCGCGCCAAGCGAACAGCTTCTCACGCCATATGGATGATATCTGCACTATTGAGGGTTTGTTCCAAGCTGACTGTCTGCCACAACTGATAGGTCTGTGGTTTGAGCGATGCGTCGCTCCATGCAATTAGCGCTTATTGAATTGTAGCTACGAACTAAGCGAGAGTTTTGGTAATCTAGCCAGCAATATGAGCTGATAATCTTGCAAGAAATCTGAAACTTGATAACGTTTCCGTAATGTAATTCATTGCAACTGATACAGGCACCGCGCAGCAGCACACATGTTGCATTGGAACGGTAAGACCGGGCAGCGGGGCTATGCTTTGACATCTCCTGTCGTTGAGCGTCGCCCAGTGTCTCAGCTGTCACTGAGAAGCCCCCTGTTGCACGCGGACTGAGTCAGCCCGATCCTCTGGCTCGGTGACGCTGGCTGCCTCCTCGGTGTTTACTCAGCAGCGGGCGTCACCGCGTTAACCGACCTTAGCATGAAACATGAGCGTCCCGGCCGGTCGCACGCCGTCCAGCCGGGCACAGGGGCCGGTATGAGGGCGTGACACCCATTACTGAGAAGCTACTTAGCGACCACCGACGGAAGAGAACTGTAGCGCTGAAGGCTATTTTGTCAAATTTTCTAAGCTACAGCCAAAAATGTAATGTTATAATTTGAGAACGTGAGATTTTTGTGCTTCTGTAGCGCACGTGATGCAACCTGTTGCATGTGTAGATTGCCATTCACATTGGAACCACTCTGACGTAGATACATACGCGTCCCGTCGCACAGTTCAGCGACACCGACCATTCCCACTCTGCTGAATGCTCCCGTAACGTTTCGAGCGGTGCCTGACCGGACACTTGGACGTTGGACCCCGCGTGGGTCAGGCACCGGAGACGTCCTCATGTGAATGGCTGCCGACGGCCTCACCGCCTCTTCACACTTCACGTGCAGCGTAACGTGATAAGAAATGAGGAATGTCGATTGTTATCGGCATTACCGAAAATAGTTTTCATTCCTCCTCCCTATACCTAGCTCGTTGATTCCATTTTCTTTTCATATCCCATGGCAGGCGTTTATGAACAGATGACGAACAAGGCGACAAACACTTGCGCTGCTATACTTACGACACTATAAATATTAGCTCACATGAAAAACGTTCAATCAAAGCCGGAAACAACAATCACATCACATTTGATGCCACTCCAAGCTCTGGCCAGGTCAAGTCAGGTCAGGTCACCCCCAGCACGTGTTTCACGGTCACCTCACCTGTTCGTCGACACCCGGGTGTTCACGTGCCCCTCGGCGGTTCTGGCAGCCCGTCGCGCTCGGCACCAACTATATAAATACCGCCTCTGGCGCAGGCCGCGCCGGCGGACGGTGACGTCAGCCATCGATCGTGCTACCACAGCGCCACCTGTGCTCGTCGTCCCAGCGTCGGTATCGTTGGCTGCGCGCCTTCGGGCGCCGGCGGCGACGGGCAGCGGCGATTGGGCATATGCGTGGATCGCTATAGGAATATTGATGCATGCATATTGATTGAGCCCAATATTGCACAGTTGATAGTTGGCTTTTATTAACCTTTTAATGTTACATAATTCAGACACCGTGCAATCTTTATTTTTATCGGTAGCTTTTACCCAAATGATACTTATGAATAAAACTATTCACTTTTATTCTAGATTTTTTTCTGAGATAGGTAAAAGAGTCGTGCATATAGGCAACCCAATAGCGCGAGTAAAACCCAATTGTCGAAAAGCACAGTAAGTTGCAGCTAAGCAATAACTAACCAGTCAGTTCATCTTGGTTGGTTTATTGGCGATTGGCCTTCTTTACCTTTTTAGGCGCAATTTCAAAAAGTTAAAGGCCAAATTCAAAAAGTGTTCGTTCGAAATGCGCGTGAACGTTTTGAATTTGGCATTAATTTTTTTGAAATTGCGCCTAAAAAGATGTAGTTTATGGCATGACATTATGACGTTGGGTCATCATAATGTCACTAGGTCGTCGTAATGTCGTGATATTATCGAGCATAGCCATCAAATGACGTTTATCATGGGCAGTCCGGGCGTACTGTTTGCATCACTAGTCGCGGGACAGAGCTGGCGGCGGATAGGACGGTCCGTCGGCTCTCGGTCGTAATTTATGGGAGATTTATTGACGCAGAATATTTCAGACCAGGTAAACAATATCAGTGAAATTGTTGGGGCTTATATTTTTAGCGAACCTGAATACTCATGGTTTTGTGGTTGCTGGTGGCAAGTATTTCACCCGACACAGATTGACGAAAATTTAATGGCTCAAGATGATACATTTGATCTTTCTTCTATCTGTCATATTCGAGTGGCTACAAGGTATATTGCAAACTGACTTTCTTAGATCAATAAGCCGGAGTCTAAATGAGGAGAGGGTTTGTTGCCCGGCTCTTATGTCGGAATGTTGACTAGCATGACTTAGACACAGAACTTCCTGAGAAATTCGTCCAGACCGGTAATGTAAGGTAAGGAGCACATCGTCTTTAGCAGAGCTATTCACGTTACCCACCGTGGTGATACCGCGGTTGTTGTTGGTTTCCCGCAGGATTATTTAGTGGGCAAAGGTAGGCAGGCTCAGAGGCATGAAACGGCGGATCCCAGCGGAAGTCAAGGATCCATCAGGAATGGTGGAGTGCTGAGCCACTGGTAAGTCATCCACAGGTGGTGCAGGAAGCCGTACGTCCCAGGAAGTCATCATACTTAGCTGCATCTTGATCATCGGCATGAGCCAGGAGTTTCCGGCCACATCCGGTGATGGACAGCCTCTGGGGGACCGGGAGAGTCCCCCCTCGGAGTTCGTGAGTCCTGGTAACGTAAGACCCACGGAACCAGATGAGTTCCAGGCAGATAGTTCCAGGACGTGGATACGTGAACTATGGTCCCAGGACGTGAACGGTAAGTTCCAGGACGTGGACCGGAGGGAGCGCGAGGCCTAGCGCTCTCTCAAAAGGGAAACCAGCCGGGTGTAATTCGCGAATTCGCATCATTAGTCTATTGGACGTGTTGTGGATCCGACTAAATTACAAAGATGAATAATTATCTGCATGCAATACTGGACGGCCCTGTGGCTTGGCCACCGGTTAGCGGGAGCACACGTGGATTCATAAGAGAGACATTTATCTCGCCGGGGAGGTTATTGTTGCCAGACACCTAACACTATCGGAGGGATTTCGAGGGGCACTAAATAAATTTTGGTGAATAAATGAAGAGCGCTTGTATGTGAGAATGTGAGTGCGTATGATAAAAGAATGAATCTTAGATTAAGGCCGATAGGAGTTAAGTGCAGCTCGGTTAGGACAGTCAAGCCAATGATTCTCGAGGGCACTTAAATTCAGCTACGCTAATACGATATAAGTGGGCAAATTTGAAAAGGGTAGAGTAGACCAGTGATGATGAATTGGTGACTGGACAAATGACCACCCAGTAAAGCAAGTTAAACGCCAACAAATGGCTTGGCAGTGATCATTACGACCCCAACTGCCTTATCCAGCCCTTCTCTCACTGTGTCGATTACCCACGGGTTGGAGCCTGTCCATCCTGCCCGAGCATTGAAGTTACCGAGTCGACGTCTATACAATGCGATGATGATCAAGCCTCAAAATGAAAGCATCTCCCATCAGATGCATTTGTATGCCGGGTGGGCTTCTAGAAATCAACTTTACTTACGCACACACTCCCAGTCCCCAAATGCACAATTCCAGCGCTTCACATCGGCAACGAACTACCCCCCTGCTAACAGACCCACCAAGAAAGTACCCCCCCCCCCGAAAACAACTCCACCCCCACTCCACCGCACCCCTGTTCAGTCCCCCGCGCTACAATACCCTTATCCAAATACAAGTTTTAACGTTTCTTTCCATGCAAATTGCAAAGAAAACGAAGAAAAGACATATTTCGGCTTCTGCAAGAGATGCTTGTGCAACTAATGCCATTGGATCCGCCATTGTGGCTCCGCCGGTGCTCCAGTCCCATGATCTTTGGGGAGCGGGGATGTGTTGTGGGCGCTTTGTCCGAGTTCCCCATGACATCGACAGTGAAACGGGAAATGCTGCGCCGCGGCGCACGCAGGTATTGCGGGCTAGTCTAACATCGCATTCGCCGGCTCCAGCGGACTGGACGCGCGCGGTCTTGGAATCTTGGTATGAATTATTCGGAACTATTAATTGTAGGGAACTGTTGTTGCATTTCATTAGCATGCAGTGGACTGTGGGTACAGATGGGAAAAGTATCACCTTGCGACCACTTTGCTTTCGCTCACTGCAGAACAAAATTAATTGAAGCTTAGCGTTTGATTTTTGTATGTGCCGTTGCAATTACCTTTTTATGGTATCAATTCAACTTAACGAAATTGTACGCAAACCTTGCTAATGCCGGACTTTGGTACGCATGACGGCAACTAGCTCTGCTCCACGATACCACTCGGGTAAAGCAACATGTATCAATCGTCAACGGCATGAGTTCTAGACCGTATGTACTTACCTGTCTCTTGTGCTGATTTCATTCAGTGTTCAGAGGAGACGATGGCACTGGCTACTTTTATTTTACAACTTCTGGTATGACACAACCCTGTTTAATTATTTGCTCTCTTGCTTGCTAATTTTTACGCATACGCAGCAAACACAGGAGGTCTATACTCTCCAGTCTCCACTCACTTTGTTGAGCCGTTAAATCAAATAAAGGCCACAAGTGTTATTGCTCACCAAACTCGGGTCGGACAACCTCTAATATGTACATTTATACAAGCATACAAACACATTCCTTCATTCAGCATATTTGTCAGAAGTCAGAATACGCGTTTACCAACAGCAGTTCCATCTGCCGAACTTGAGCGCCAGCACGTGTTGTCCACCAGATCTCGGGGCTCCCATCAGCATGCACCCTTCACATCCTCTTCAACACACAAAAGCGTGTCACTGTCAAGTGTCGAACCTCACATTTGAGTACTCTGAAGTTTGACACAAATGTTGTCACGTGGGCACACTCTTCTCGTGTCGACCCTCAGGCTTAGTACCTACCGGTCACATCCAAGTATGCACACTCTTTCTTTATACATACAATAGTTGGGCGCCTCGTGGGACCTCTCCTTCAGTGTCGACTCTGGGGCCCTCGCATCTAAGTATTGTCTAGTTTGACACCGTCACTGTGCGTTTTGTAGCCACCACTGAACGGACACTTCTTCCCGTTTCAGCCTTGCCCCTCACATCCGAGTACTCTCCAGTTTGACACCGTCGCTGTTATCTTCCCATCTCGACCCTCAGAATCCCTCCCAACAGATTCTCCCTCAGTCCCTCAATCCGTCAATTCCTCTCAATCCCTCACATCCGAGTACTCTCGAGTTTGACGCCGTCACTGTGGGTCTCGTGAGCTCTCTGCCGACGGAGGTCTTCTTTGATGATCGCAGTCAGTATGACCCCCAACACCAGTGTGGCGGCATACAGCAGGTTACACGCCTGCTCGTCGTATCTGAGGGTGAAAAATGGAATGAGTTATGACTATGAGTCGTTGAACGCACAAGCATACACTTAGGTAAGATATTAGGTCGCTAAAAAGGGTAATTCGTTTTGTGGTCTTAAAGAGGAATGCTTTTCCTGTAAAAGGATATGTAGATTAGATATGTTATAAGAGGGGTTAAAGGGAATTTGCTTAGTTTTGGCTTGCAATTCTTATTCTATCTTGTTCCATCATAAGTTTCCCATCGTACCCAGATTTCATTTCGACCAATGGACGTCCATAATCCCTGAGACCCGGCCACTTACGCTGACATCAGTGAGCCGCCGGCGATTGTCAGCACAATTCCGAACACCTGCGCAGAGGCGTTCAGCAGACCGGAAGTGGTGGCTTCCGGTTCCGGGTAGGTGATCTCCGCCGCGAACTCGAAGCCCAGCGGCAGGTAGCCGGTCATGAAGAAGCCTAGGAGGCCCGATGTGATGTAGACGACGCTGATGTGACCCAGGGGTAGGGTGAAGGTGAAGGCCAGCATGCCGGCCACGCTCAGGATGTAAACGAGCACGGTGGTGATCCTGGGAAACGAAAGACGTTTTCATCGAAAGTTCACTTTCAAGAAACTTATTTTCAATGTTTACATTCGAAGCATTTCGGTTGTAGATTCAAACGATTTTCACGTGGTGAGGATAACGGACATGTAAGAACATCTTTCCTTCTTCGTTTACGAAATATATATTATAATTTAGAGAAATTAAGTGATGCCAGGCCCGAGGACGTTTTGTTTCAGCACAGCTATTCCGTACTTTAGTTTCGTGGTCCGACAGCTAGGCGGCGCCGCCTGACCTGGATGCCAGCATTGCCAGGCCTGCGAGTCGTCGTCGGTTTCCCGAGAGACGCTAACCGAGCTCCTTTGCTATCAGATAGCGCCTTCCTTTGGTTGGAAAAAAGAAACACGCGCTCCAGGCACTCAACTCCACTAACCCTCGCAGCACATTATGCACCGGCCTCTGAGCGTCAATGATCGTCCATTGAAATTGGGATTTCATGTTTCACTTGTTTTAGAATTGAAGGAAATAACTTCGATTGTTGTGTTTCGCACGCATCTATAATTCCTAGCTTTATCAAAACAAAAGGGATGATGAAGGGCTTGCGATTCGGGCTGGAAGCTACAAATTAGATTTTGCCCTCCATGCTGACGTACTTGAACCGGTGTGTCTTGTCGAGCCAGATGCCGCACAGGATGGAGCCGACCAGGCCGGTGGCCACGATCACTAGACCGATTCGTCCGGCGTCCTCATTGGCGCCCTGTCAAATATAAACACTTCGTTATGTTACACAAGAAGCTGGCCAGAGTGTGTGCGAACGAAACATGATATCCGTGTGAAAAATTAAGAAGCATGAATATTGCGCTGATGAATGAGTAGTGGGCATAAAGAAAAAAAGGTAAATATCGCCTGATGTCAGCCCGCTGCAGCTTCCTTTATAAAGGTCGAAAAGTGTGCTTTTAAATTTTCCTAAAACATAGGCGGCGGAACGGGGGGTGGGGGGCACCGGGGCACCGTGCCCTCTTGATTTTGGCATTTTTACACTAGCTCTATAGGCGTTGCAAGGAAAGAATGGGACCAAAAGTCGGCAGTGCCCCCCCCCCCCCTAATTGAAGGTGCTCCACCGCTACTGTCCTAGTTAAGGAAGAACCGAGGGTGACAACTGGTAAGGTAACCTTTTTAGATGTCAGCATCCCAAAACATATGTTTGGACCTTTTCAAAAGAAAAAGTTGGGTTGATTTATTACCTATAAATTGTAATACATGTAACATGGGTGCTTGTTGAAGGTATATGACAACCGTATAAGGAACAAACGGACAGGGAAGTGCTCTGTATAATTTTCCCGTTTCCGCACTGTAGTAAGGATGACCTCTGACCGATCAAACATCTTAAACTTGGGCACCAGTCAACACTGATGAACCTGCGAGGAAAGTCGTCTTCAGATTCCATGATTAGGCCACTTTACGAGCTGTGATTGATGGCGGTCCTCGGGAACGGGCTGCTACCCATCCTGAGCCCGGCGGCTTGAAACCCATTTAACTGGACGAGGTCATCATTTAGAAACGTGATGGCCCTGGAAATATTCAGCCTGGCAGCTGCCCAATCTCAAAATTCGTTTGAGAAAGGATGACGGGCAGACCTCACAAAGGGTATGCACAAAGTTGGTTTGAAAGGCAAGTTATATAAAACATGAGTACCTGCTTTCATTAGGAAATCTGGCAATGCGTGGCTATATATTAATACACCGTTCCAATATCCTGCATATCAGCTTTCGCTATAAATATTTTTTTTTTCAGACCTACGGCCGTGCCCGCCGCAGAGACTCCATTTTGTATAAAGCCACCGGAAGAACGCCACAATGTACTCAACGCTCCCGACTCGGCTGTCATTTACAACTGTTGTATTATGACAGCCCCCAGCCGACGTTTGTCCGTTTATAGACCGGGATTAGAGAGAAGACAGGACAGATGTTTTATAACATTTCATGAAGTTTGACGGCCGTACCGTTTCCATGAATGTGACTGTAATGACTGGTGCAGCAATGATGGGATGTAAATGGGAATGTATGTTTTAATTTAGAGCCGACGTACCTTCGTCACGGTATGAATATTTTAGCAACAGCTTTGCTAAGCTAGATAAAGACCATAATTCAGAAATGTGCTCTTATGTGTGAAAAAAAGGAAAAATAATGTCCCACGAGAATTGATCGAAAGTAACTTTACTCGTACCAGGGGACTAGCGGCAGTGATCTTTTGGACGTGCGCATTGAGTTGCACGTCTCCCAAATGCAGTTTTTTCAGCTCTGACCATTAATGCGCTCTGGCTTCGACATAAATACACCACAGAGTTACTCTGGCAGGTATTCATAAAGCATTCATCACAACCGCCCGCCTTACCGGGAACTGGGCCAGCACGATCTGCCCGAGCAGCGTGGAGATGCCGTAGAAGATGCCCACGTTGATGCCGTATGTGATGACCAAGAGGACGAAGCTGTAGTTTTTGAAGAGACGCAGGATGCTGGCGCCGTAGCTCTGCGGCTCGGCGACCTTTAGCGCGGCCTGGCCCGGCGATGGAGGCAGCTTTGGCTCGTTTTGAAACACTGAACAGTCGTAAAACAGTGAGACGCTGTCGATCATATCAGGCTGACGGAGGGACACAGATGTGCGCTTCCATACTAGTGAAAAGACAGAGTCAAAACAAATTATTCGCGACCGGCTTCCGGATAAAAGTTCTGTGAGGATCTAATGTGAATACAGCGTGATGCTGCAAAATCAATTATGTTTTCCGCTCCAGCATACCTACTCTGAGGAGCCTGGTTACCGATTCATACGCGATATGACACACACATGTCGCTACGCATCACATGGCACATGGTGAGATGAAACACCATCGGAGCACCGCAACTTGTGCCGGAGCTCACCAAAAATGATGATGATGAACAGCGCGCTAGTGATGGCCGCCTGGCCGTAGAACATGATGGACAGGTCGTGTCCGATTTCGTCCAGGTCCTCCGAATCCTGGACGATGGCCGGAGGGATCAAGAAGCCTATCGCGTTTCCGATCTGAAATTCAACGAAAGAGCAAAGGGAGCGAGCTAAAGCAATGAAAGCCATTTGTGTTAATCACTAATAGAAGTCATCTTTTTCCTTTCTTTAGAAACGTTAATAAACCCCTCTCCATCTGTCATAATTCAATTGTCCAAAACCTCAAATCTACACTGCCTTAACCCGCGCACCGACGGGGGGGGGCGGATATCCGCCCCCCCTGAGGTTTTTCGCAAATAGCGGGAAAACCGCGGCACGTAGCGCCGCGAAATTTGGTATGACTATAACCTCATCAATTTTACACATGGTGTGCAAGTTTGAACTTCCTACCTTTTAAGGTCAGGTCACCAGGTCACTTTGAATGACCCAACCTCAAGTCACTTTTTTGCAACTTTGTCACCGTGCCAGAGCTACAGTAGATGTCGGAGGCCTTTGAAAGTCGCAGGATATTATTAGGTCATTAGAAGCTACAATTTGTATATCTCGGAATTTTGATATCGGTGACCTAAGGTCAGGTCAATTTCGCGACCTCCCCATTATAAGTCAATGGGGGAAAAATCAACTCCCTGTTTTTACCACTAAAACGGGTCGGAATGGCCCCATATACCATACATGACTTCATATACGATCAACCTTCACTACCTTGAGGTCTGTTTTGCTGTTGGGCAGCTGTGAGGTCATGTGACGTCATCAAAGGTCACCAAAGGTTTTTGGCCAATAACTCCGTACAGGAACAAGATACAGACGCGTGAATGGTCTCATTGTGTTCAGCTCGTCAAGACGCATCGAATGATATACATGATGACCTCGAGGTCACGTGACCTGAGGTCAATCTTTGACCTTGACCTTTCGAGGTCAACATATATATCATTCGATGCGGATTGACGAGAGGATCACGATGATGCCCTTCGTTTGTTCCTATCTTGACTAATTCGAAAGTTATTCGAGAAAAACTCTCTCCTTATCTAGCGCCGCCATTTTGACTTTTTCGACCCCTGTGACGTCATCTTTGACCTGACCTGAAAATGACCTCAGTAAAAATTGTAGATCTTGGCCGTGCGTATCCGATGCCGTTTACCGCTTGTCGCTATCTTGCTTCGTTCTCGAGATCTCAGGGGGGCGGTCATCCGCCCCCCCCCCGTCGGTGCGAAGTTGGCGTAGACCCCCGTCGGTGCGCGGGTTAAGCATCTCTCCAGTGACTGCAAACCCAATCACAGTCCGTTCCACCCCTTACCTGGTTCCCAAACACTCCAATGGCACAGGCGGAGGAGACCTGATCCTGACCGAACCACACGGCCGCCAGCTTGGCCGGAATCCCGAGCACGAAGATCTGCGCCACGGCGGCCACTGTCTGTCCGATGAAGGTGACGTAGAACCGGTCGGGGGAGAGGCTGCCTACCTTGATCCAGGCGGCCAGCATGGTGCCGAACGAACCCAGCAGAATCGGCACCCGCAGACCCTGCCGAGAGGTGGGCGGATGAACGTGATGGCGGTGGGAGAGGGGGGGGGGGGATGAAGATAGCTTTGAGATGTGCAATCAGTATTGACGGTAAAAATTTGCAAGATTACTTCTGTAGGATCATGCCTTGAGTAAAGATTGGAAAAAAAACATAAATGGTTTAGTATAGATTCAGGAAGTCACCTAAAAGTGTTAAATTAGGATACAAATTTAAGCAGAGCAGTTGTTTTATAAGCTACCAGCATTCCGGTAGCATTTATTGAAAGTGATAGCTAAGCTAAACAAAACATTTCTGCCATTCGCGCGCTTTTATTAGACTATCTGCAGAGAGGTTGAACTTATATTCGTTTTTGTCATTGTTGTCTCATAAATTGTCATTATCTTGTCTGTCTGTCTGTCTGGAATGCGGTTGCGCCTTCCGACGAATGACGATGCGATGCGATATGATGAAACCCCACACAAACATCTGATTTTATGCTGCAAAGGCAACAATGACATGCCGCCTTTACAAGCCCTCGTATGACCAGAATTGATAATGTGCACGATTGCTGCTTGCTGAAGTGGGAATGGACAAAGGGAAGATCGCTGATGTGCCCATTATTCGGTGAATAAATGCCATGAGAGGTGAACGTGACATGGCGACGGAATATTTCTATAACCGGTATGATGATCAATACTAGATGATCTGCAGCTTCTTATAGAGACCTGAAGGCTGAACCATCGTCTATTGGCTCCGGTAACAAAGAATAACTCTGTCAGAATCGTTCAACAATATGGCTCATATCAGAATGTTTTCACGAATAGACAGCGAAAAAAATCGTTAGTGCTTCTATGGACGGGGAAATTCAAGTCTCTTTCAGCGCCTAATTGTTCACTCGTTATTTGTTATTTCTTTTTTATGAAAAGGTGTAGGCAAGCATATGATACGTGTTCGTTCTTAGTTGTACTAAACGCTGTCTCAAGGAGCGTGCAAACAGCGTCCCTCTGGCACGTGCTCACCTTTTTATCGATAAGCCACGTGGCCGGGAAGATGAGCGGCACGTAGACGACCATGTAGACCATGGAGAGCCAGTCGACGGTGGCCGCCGAGACGTCCCAGTAGCGCGCCACGATGTTGTTGATGATGGCGTACTGGATCCACTGGAAGGCGTTGGTCATCGAGTACAGACAGAACAGCAGCAGGATGGCCCAGCGGCGCCGGTAGACCCGCCAGCCCGGCAGCGGACCTGCCTCTCCAGAGGAGGGAGACGAAGGGGGAGAGGTGGGTGGGTGTAGCTCTGACATGGCGGAGGATGCGTGAGGTTGAGGATGATGTTGACTGAGGCAAATGGGTGCGAAGCCTTGATGAGCGGCCTTGTGGAGTCTTCAAAACTTGCTAAACCTAAATGAATCACCCTTCCTTATGCGGATGATTAGCTGACGACGATATCAACACTTCAATCGCTCGGGGTTCACTGATACCGATGCGTGCACCAGCTGAGATTTCGCAACACAATCTTACGATGTTTGTTGCCGGCACCAACACATAAAATCCTCGCCTCAGACAGCTCAATGTCACCTTAGAGTCCAGGGTGTTTGCAGTCGCAGAGTCCGTAAATCTCGGCCGAGTCCGGCACCGAGTCACTGAGATCACTGGTTTACTGGTGAGACAAGGGCACTAAAGGGTGAGAGGTGATGGCTCACCGAGCGATTCGATAGCTCACTGTTAGCTCGCACTGTTAGCTCCGACCAGGACAATGCCCGCTTCTCTCAAATACAGTCCGTCTCAGCCAGTGTCTGTTTACGCCACCGCGCCTGGCTCTCGTTCGACTGACTACCAGCGTCCGATCCGCTCGCCCACACCAGTACAGTCCACATATAAACAGCGCCACTTGTCACAGCACCAAACCACCTGCCTGACCGTCCGCTCCGCCACGCGCCTGCCCGAGCCGCCCGTCACACACTGCAGCTCGAAGGTCGGGAGGGACACCCCACCCGTCCTGAGGTGTGCTGAGAGAGCCTCTTGAGCTGGTGTAAACACTCGAGCCTCTGCCACCGCTACCGCCCCCGGGCCGGTGCACCGAGGTACTAACTATCGTAGTCACCTTACCACACAACGTGGGGGTGAGGGGAGGGGGGGGGGTGGCCTCGGCGGACGGGCAGGGGCGCGCCCAGGATCGATTGCAGTGGGGTATTGTGTGGGTGGGCAGCTGAGGCCGACTGGCGAGTCAATGCGGTAATAAAGGGTGTTACGTTGAAAACATTTAAGCTAGGCAGGTATGGCTAGCGACCGCTACCGCCACTGCTCAGAGCTGCGCTCGGCGAACGATTTCCGTGTGTGTATGTGCGCCCACGATCCGCGTTGCCATAGCTAAGCCGGGCTGAGGTTGGCGTATGGAACGCGAACAATGCACGCAGAGTGGGGTCACGGGTGCGTGCTGGGGATGGAGTGCGTACTAAGCATTCTCGTCCGTGCGTGGTTATTGGGATGCCTACATAATAATGTGCTCAGAAGTTGAGAGCTTCGTAGATTATGCAAACGAAAACGAAAAACTTACTATGCTCTTTCATTTGATACCATTTATTCGCATATTGCATAATGAATATTTCATCCATCAAAGGCTTATTTTCAGTCAATGGCGTGAATTGCCTGGTAGTTATGTATTGGTATCCTTGGCAAAAAGAGAACGGCGATATATCGCTCATTGTTCAATAATCTTTAAGCATAATTTATAAAATGTGAGCAAAATATGCCAACTTAATTTCTTATTAGTAATTGGGTGACCTTATCACATAACAAGCTCATCGTTTAAAATAAAAATAAAACTAAAAAACAAGCTCATCGTGCAAAACTTTGACGTGAACAAACTTGTCCCATCAGCGACCTTCGGCTCGATTTGCACTTTGGCACCTCTCGGCCGGTCAATGTGCTATCTGACAGGAGAACGCAAAGGGGCGTGACGAACGTGCGAGTGACCGGGTTGACCGGAGGGGGCGAGAGGATCGAGGGGGGAGGGTGACCGTGGTGGGTGGGACTTGTGACGTCATCGATCGAAGCGCGCCTGTGTCGCTGTGACAGCCGTAGACTGTGGCGATGTTACGTCTCCCTCCTTCTGTACCCCCGGATTTGGCTGAGGTCCAGCGGTCATCCGGCTCTCCGGTTCTCCGGGCTATGCTCCGGGTCCGGAGGGATGAGGTAGGGGTGGGGAGGGGGGGGGGGTGCCGCCTGCTGCTGACGCGTCAGAATGACGTCACACTAATGACGCTGCTGGCAGATGTCGGTGGCACTGGGAAGAGAAAACCATCGATGGCAGACGATGGACTTACATGCCATTATAGGTACAATGCGGTGCAGTGTGTTGCGCAGCCGAGCTCCCGCAATGAACCCGCAATTCCGAGAGACGACTTCGGTAATTCAATCCACTAGGGGAAGTTGGGGGAACGCCGAATACTTTTTTTCTGACGCCCGTAGCACGCAAGGTAGACAACATAAGCTATTCTTGTTGGCGTCATTCGAGAGGCCAGTCTTTTGTCTTTCAAACATACCAGGCGCATTTGATGAATTCGCATACCGTTAAGCGCACAAACTAAAAATATCAAAGAAGTGATTTTTTCGGCGTTGCCCCGGACTGCGGGGAAAGCCGAAAATGGGAGAAATGATCTACGGGGAATGCCGACATTGATGTTTTGCCACTTTATCTCAAACTTTATCCAGAATTTATCAAAGCTGACACGCGTTTTAAGAGCTTGAGGACGCTTGGTGCACACTGCAAGTTATAATTGTGTGATATAATAAGAAAATGCCAGGTAAATAATTCCTTATAGGTAACAGGCCGTTGTGTCGGTTGAAAGTGTAATTTGTGTGACTAAAAATTCGCGTTGCTATTCTACAGCAGTAAAGTCCACGTAGCGTGCTTTAACGTGCGTAATTGCACGTTTTCGGCATTACCCCAGCCAGCCATACTTTCATTTGCAGGCCCATTACTTTTCAACGCGCCGTATAAATTTCAAATAGGCAGCACACTTATGCAAAGACATGCTGAAGATTACTTGACCGAATTGGCCAGACAAACGGTAGCATAATGAGTAAGAAAAGCAGCTTCAAAGGCGCATGTAGTACAAGGAACGCGTACCTTGAAAACGCTCTTGGCGCCCTCACAGCCGAAGTATTCCGAATGACGACTCGTAACAAACATGCGATAATTGTAGTCACTTAAGCTTCAGAGCATCACTGACAGGTGGCATCCATGTCTTACGGTTTTCGAAATATCTCGAATTTCGGCTTTGCCCCAACTCCGGCATTGCCCCAACTTCCCCTACATGGCGATATGCTTGAGAAGAGGAGAGCAAGACATTATTTGCGCATTAACAATACAAACGAGAAGTAGGACTAGCAGCACTGTACTCGGAAAAGGATGCAACAGTTGATAAGAGAGGGTAAGAGTTCGAATCAAGCCTCAGCGGCGGAATAGAGAGAGCATCGCTAGAGAGAGCCGAGAGCCGCAGAGAGCCGTGCTTTTTTTCCTTCACGAATATGCCCAGTGCTTGAGAGTAGGAGAGCCGAACGACAATTTTTGCCTGTGAATAGCGACGGGTCTTTCTCGTTGATCATTTTCACGCATTGCACGTTGACGTGGGCCAGTGATATCTTCGGTGCTAACTCGATGGATGATCAGCCGTCAGCGTTACCAGATAAGGGAAACATTCTTGGTGAGGGAAAGTATAATTCAAACATCAATTATCCAACTACGGTGTGTTGGATAGTGAATGTCCGGAAAGGAGCTATTTCGCAATTTAAACACCAAAATCCAACTCTACAACACTTCTATTTTAGTTGGAAACCTTTTGATGAAACGGAATGTGTTTGATACTGCTTTACCATAAGAAATGTGAACAATGTTTGCAAACTATTAACATTGCTATTGAAAGCTAGATTCATTATGTCAGTGTTACTGAGCATTCGATATTCATTTTGATACAGTGCGAGGCTCATTTTATCAATCCTTTAGCTATTTGTCCAAACTAAGTCGTATCTGGAATAAAGACAAGCTAACTTAAATTCATTCAGCTAGTTCAGACTCCAAAATGACTACCAGTGATTCATCTCCATAAACCATAAGGTTTTGATTTGTTCGAGTTTTCCGCAAGACAGCCTAGTTATTATCACTATTATTAGGCTATCAACAGGCTGCTAATTCACAGCCTCCGTGTAGGACCTCCGTGCTCAATTTTCCCCGCCGACCAAATCGATCCATACCGCGGTCTCCTTAATTGATCGTCGGGGCTCAGCTCGGTGGCACAAGGAACGGCGCAGAATGACCATCGGTGGTCTTCCGCCGCGCAGCCAACGGCGACATCATGCAGGGAACACGGCTCGTCCCCCCTACCACCGCCCACCACCCTCAGCCCTCCGCCCACCACCGCCCGTCACCGCCCTCCGCTCCGCCCTCCGCCAAGGCTGCCCGTCGCTGCCGGCGGCCAGGGATCCAGCCAGAGCCGGTTTGGGTCGCAGTCACTGCCGACGGAGCTGCGATAGCTCGCCGACGATCGGTGGAGCTCCAGCCCCAGTGTTCCCCCCGGAGGCGGCACGCCCGAGGCGGCGGCAGAGAGCTCCGAGGGAGAGTGTGATGAGTGGTGAGGGGATGTGAGCGGATCAGGGGATCGGAGTGAGATTGTGGAGAAGTGTGCGGCTCAGACAGAGTGGATTGCGCCTGTTGAAGACGGGTGGTGGAAAGTTGTCTGCCGGAACGGCGAAACGTCGGCTGCTTGTGGTGCCCGCGGATAGAAGGTGAGAGCAAATGTCTTCGTCATCCTCAGCTTTATGCAGAGGGCTGTCTTTTCCCTCTCGATATCCTGCGATATCTCACAAAATGCCATCTCCATGAGTGGCAATAATCAAGGATCACCTAAATCCCCTCCCCAAAAAACAGCTTATGTCAACATTCCCGAAATGCTTATTTTTTCATCCTTTCGTGGAACGGGACGGAATACTATTTAGCGGAAAAGTGGCGAATTATGGTAAGAAGTAATAACGATCAAATCCGTGACGATTTTTAATGCAAATTGTATGGTATGGTAATGGTTGAAATTGTATCGCTTGTGTAGTGTCATACCATATGTTGACGTTGACTCATTACTTACGTATATACTTATTTGTTACGAGTTTGATTCTGAGCCTACCTATTCCATGGTATAGGTAGGCATGGAGTGCGCCTCCCCCTTACACCACTTACCGAGAGAAATGCGAGATTGGAGCGCCCTTTATCAGCTAATCAGAAACTGCGTTAAAATAAGATTGTGTCATACTTAGTGATGTCAATTACAGAAAATCGGAATACCGATACCAAACCAAATGTCAACCAAAACCATGGTGAAATACCGAAATCGAACCACCTTTGAAAGATGAGGGAAATACCAACTTTTTACCAATTTCTTAGCCTCTCAAACATAAGTAAGGGTTCATAATACCAACAAAATACCAAACACATCAGGATTGAAATACCAAATACCAAGTTGGTATCGGTTTGGTATTGGTACCTATACCAAAAAGTTGGTATCCCATTGACATCTCTAGTCACCCCTCCCCCCCCCCCCGCCCCAGATCGGCGACCGTTAAGTAATTGACTCCAGCTATTTTTTGAAGTCCCAGAATGTTATAAATCGTCCTATGCCATGATTTTCTTCGTTTTTCGTAGTTCGAAGACTGCTTACAGACAACATATTGCCATCTCTTGTTGTCAACATATGGACATTCCATGATCCCTCTATCCATCCCCATTCTTCAAAGGTCATGCTAGTGCCACAGAAGCTGTGTTTTAGCTGAGTAATGGATCGATAGGTCAGCTATAAATTACGCTTACAAAATGCATTATCTATGCAAAGTGCAAACGTTTAGATTTGACATCAGAAACAGTCAATGGCACCCATCGGTCGAGCATTTTATCGTTCCCGTAAAGTAACGCTCAAGCTTTACAAATGTCTCACAAAACTCATGGACTTTCGTTATGCAGCATTCTAGATGTATTGTGAATGTTTTTTTCCAAACATGGGCTTTGCAAATCATGGCGAAAAATGCACGAAAAGACCATATGTTTATATGTAATCATAGACCTCTGTAAACCGGTACACAGAGGTCTATGGTGTAATCTATATCATCACACACCAAGGTTACATATGAGTCATGTAATAAAAGTCGATCAAAAACGACGTAAAGGTTGCTCCGTGTCCTGAGCTTTCGGAGTACCTATAAGCTATGGCCTTGCTAAGCATGTGCACGCGTGAAGGGCCCACGTCCCGGATCTTCTTTGGTAGCTAATCGCCCACCAATAAAAAGGCGGAAATCGTTTCCGGTTTCTTCATCCACTTTCTGCGAGTCTATAATGCATAAAGCTTCAAAGACACTAAGTGCAATGCCCCTCCAACGCCACGCTTCGTTTATTCCATTTCCAAGAACACCAGTCACGCTTTGCTCTAATCACGGAATAAATCGGCGCCACTTGGGACAATACAACTGTAATGGCTCATCAGTCATCACGCGCTCTATCGACAGATTGGGTCTGGAACGGCCCTGCCCGCGGTCACTGGTGACCCGACGGTGGCCCGGAGAGGCGGCAATATCGATCCGAGAGCCATCAGAGCGATCAGACTCAGAGCCAGGTCACTGCCAGCCGGTCGGCCCGCCAGCGTGATTCCTGAACTTTTCCAAACCCCTGGAGTGCTCATAATTTCCGCCTAATCGTAACTTTATGACGGTATCCTGCTTGTGATAATCGTAAAATGGTGATATCTTCTTGATAACTTTTTGTTTTCCAGAGCCAATGTTATCACCAAAAGTACAAAGCTGTGATAAGTTGTAGTTTCTTCATATCGTGTTCCAGTTTCCTTCAGCTCCTGAAAGGGATCTTCAGCCATATGTTTCAGACATTTTATCTATTTTCTTGAAGCTAAAGTTCTGTGTTTTCACTTCTCGCATAACTTATCTTTTGGCCTGACCCCACACAACTGCACTTCAGACACCTGTTTGAATGACCTCCTGAACACCTCATCCATTCCTCCCCTCGCCAAAAAACCATGTCGAACCCTGCCCACCTGGTGAAGAGGCGCAGCTCGCGCGACCTGAAGCCCGTCTCGTCCACCAAGCTGGAGATGCTGGAGCTCCGCTCTCGACTGGTGCCCGAGTCCGGTCTGGAGTCCGAATACGGAGCCACCAACGCCGCCTTCGAGGAACCGGCAGCACTGAAGGTGAGCGACGGGATCAAAGACTGAGAGCCTCTTGCCTCGTATGGATGAATTAAAGGGACTATCCCACCTTTAACATGGGGTTTGAGTTGAGATAGCCAAGTTTGCGGCGAGGTTCAGAAACCATTATCTATCTAGGTTGCAACCCCCGCGGCCTCTTGGTGTTGAAGAAATTCGTTCCCTTCATTTGAAAATGGGCCTTGCACAAGGCCCTATCTTCAACATGGAGCGACCGTTAGTGTGACGTCACCTCGTTTAGTCATTCTGATTTAAATGGGGTTGTTCGTTGAAAAATCGCTTAAAACTTGGTCTGAACTTTGTTGTGGTGCCTACAGAGTAAAAAGAATCAGCTTTATGACAGTAATGTGGCCTGGGGAAGGAGGTAATTTTGGGCTGTAACGTCACATATTTGAAAGTTTGTGTTTGGAATATGGGAAGCCTAAGATGTTTAATGAAAAATAAATGCCAGAACCGTGTTCCTGGTCATCCAATCTATAAAGTCGGGCACAATTTAACTGGTTTTAACAACATTTTAGAAGGTGGGATAGTCCCTTTAATTGCATCTAAATATTTTCATAAAAGAATTATATCAGATCAATTTACAAGGTCAGAGGTCAAGGTCAAAAATCAAAATGAGTATGTCTGTGGGTGGCGTCCCACACTGCAGGCACAGTCCTCTTCTGAGGAGAGCACGCGGCGTCCTGTTGTTGCTAGCCTCCACAGAACACACGTGTAAGTTGTAACTGAGGGCGCTGTTCAGGATCCGGCGTAGCACAGCTTTAAGGCTGGGGTGCCGCGCGTTGCGGACGGTGCTCTCTGCACTGCAGAGCCCGGTGAGCCAGGAACAGTGGTCGGTCAACGGGGCGGAGTTTGCAGAATGCGGTTCGCACACCGTCGTCCCGGGGGTACCTAAAACATTTATATATTATCCATCATACCCTCGCCCGTATCGGTGTTTTGCGAGCAAAAATATATTTTTTTAATCTACTATAATGACAACAACTAGTTGCAATGTCTGTTCATTTTACTTTTCTTAAGCCTCCTCTAAGGTTACTGAATTCTGGTAGTTAAGCTCATGTTTCATATATTTCTACGAACATTTCGTTATGCCAATGACATTTAGAAAGGCTTCTTTCACAAGAAGCACCGAAACAAACAGTCTCACATTTAAAAACATAAATGCAGAAATCAAGAAAAAGTTTTGAAACGCCAAGACCACTTGCAGGAGTGGAACCAATTAGCGGAGTGCTCGTCTTGCCATAGTATGATAACTGGTTTGAACCAGTTATCTACGCTTGCTTACACCAATTATTCTTGCTTTCTGGCATGTGGCTTTGATTCCTACTACTAAAAGTTGACAATGCTCTTATGCTGAGCTATTTAGTTGCGCACACTTTTTTTCAGATATTTGTATGACAAATATCATAACTTTGTTAGCGTAATTGCAAGACATGCTGTTGGTTTTGGCATCACATCGCCAAGTGCGTCTTTGTAACTCCTGAGCATGAATCTGCTAGTGAGAAAGCTGTCGTCTTGCCGCCTGCCGTCTTGAGACGCATTTCTGTCATGTTGCTGCATTGATAACCTATAATATGGAATAAGGGATTCAGCCTTCTCTCATACGAGCATTCTACATGGTAATAGCAAGATAGCAACGCATCTAGAAACTGGCACGTAAGGCCTGAAAGGCAGCAAGATGCCTCGGGTTTACTTCCAATCTACACCAGACTTGAGCAGGGAGATCCACATTCAGAAAAGTAGATACAATCCATGTCGAAGAACAAGAAGCTTGGATGTCGTATGGGCGCGGAGAAGACAGCTCGTGCGAAAGGTATGGTAAAATCAGCACATAGGTGAGATCCGAAGCAAAATCCGTAATTATCATCGGATTCTGTTCGTCTATCTGCAACATTTTTTTATCAAACTTCGCACGACATTTATCTTACCTGCATCGTGTTCCTCTCGCTGACACATGCCGAAGCAATAAACTATAATTTGACCTGAAAGTCAACTTTAAAACTTCTTAAGTTCAAGGTCATAACCTGACCGAAAACGGACACCTTATGTGTATCGGCTGATACGTAACCGTGTCGTGAAGCTGAAGACACCCACGGTGTTTTCATCACTCCAGCAAGTTTTTATCAAAAGTTAGTGTAAAAAACTGCTAGATTTTTTCATGGCGTGATATGACCTCAGGGACATAAAGAGAGGTTACGGTGCAATTTTTGGCTTTGTTATTCCATGTTTATCTGTTACCTGATGTTTCGGAATACGTAGAATGACTTTCGTCCAATAGAGACGGATTTCAATTTGAATTTGATCCCTTTGAGTTACTATAAAGGGGTTATGAATTCACCCTTACCTTAGGTCACCGATATGAACATTCTGAAATGAAAGCCTTAAGAATACTAATTCTTTTATCGATCGCTGAAAGGTTCAAAGCGATCATTCAATCAGTCAGACTATGACGAGCATTATAAGTTTCATAAGGCGAGGTTACTTGACGTGACCTGGTGTCCTGACTTTGAGAAACCTGGAACTGGAACCTTCACAAAAGGTGCAGGAAAGACGCATAAGGTGTTCCAAAAAAAGCAACCCGATATTCTCGGCCGGATGTTCAAACACCCCCTCCTTTACCAAGCAAGGCGCTAGTTGAGTATTTTATCTGATTTTATTTTATTATTTCAGCTCGAAGCAGAAGGTGCCGAATCGCCCACACAGGAGCCGGAGCGGGAGTCGTGGGACAACAAGCTCCAGTTCCTGCTGGCCACCATCGGCTATGCCGTCGGCCTGGGCAGTGTCTGGAGGTTTCCCTATCTCACTCAGCGAAACGGCGGAGGTATGTCAACTTATGTCAGCTTACGTCTGAAGGCGCGTCAGCAGAGGCGGGTTTCCCCAGAGCCGATTTGCTTTGACTTACCGAACGGCGTCTCTCCCTAAGAACTTATGGATTCATGTATAAGCATGTTAGACATGTTGAACTTAAGCTTGTTTTTGAGCTCAGACATATACTATAAGAGATAAGGTAAATGAAAAATATATGAAATTTGAACGGTGTATGAACCTTTGATTCGTACAGTAACTAATAAAACGTCTGCAACGATTGTCATAATGGACAGCAAACGCCTTCGGCTTTCCTGTTCTCGCATGTTCTCCTTTGTTTCCCAGGTGCCTTCCTGATCCCGTTTTTCATCATGTTGTTCATCCTGGGCATCCCGGTGTTCTACCTGGAGCTGGCGGTGGGCCAGAGGCTGCGGAAGGGCGCCATCGGGGTGTGGAACCAGGTGTCTCCCTACCTGGGCGGCATCGGCATGGCCAGCTGCTTCGTGTCGCTGAACGTGGCGCTTTACTACAACACCATTATTGCCTGGTGTCTCTACTACATGTTCCATGTGAGTCATAGAACATAAAATACAATCACCTCGTGCCTCTACTACATGTTTAATGTGAGCCAATAATGCACAGCTCGAATATGAGGATATCAACCTTTGGTGCGAGAGAGCAAATTATTCCTATCATTGGCTTTAATCATTTTTTAAGGATGGATATGTTTTTCATTTTATTACTATGCTTACTTTCGCATTTCAGAGTTTTTCGGCGCATTTACCTTGGTCTGAATGCCCGAAAGAATACTTTCCGAACAAGTCTTACGTTATCAATGAGGAGTGCGAGGTGAGAATATTTACAATATCATCCCTCTGTACTGTATACTACCACGTTTCATCGTCGGTCAACCGATGTGCTAAGTGTGCATATTAATTCCCATCAGCCAAGTGATGTTGATTCTTTCAATTCATCAGCCAAATAATACACATAGAATTAAAGCGGGCTTGGTTTGTATTCGACCACTTTTGGTTTGTATTCGACCACTTTTACGGGACACACAATAAACGGCAGATGCGAACTGCGAATGCATGTGGTATGGCATGAAGCTAACAAACATTCATCCAGGCCAGCAGCCCTACCGAGTACTTTTGGTACCGCCAAACGCTGGATATCTCTGAGGACGTCAACTCCCCGGAGGCCTTCAACTGGCACATCTGCAGCTGTCTGGTGGTGGCCTGGGTCCTCACCTATCTCTGCATGGCCAAGGGAATCGCCTCGTCGGGAAAGGTCAGTGCCGGATGGCTTGAATTCAGTGTGATGGTGGGGCTGAATGCAGCTAGGTGTAGGAAATGCTGTAAAAGTGGAAACACTGTTGAATTGCTGAATTGACTTTTTCATTCTAAAGCGGACTAACTGCACAAGTCCATACGCTATTACAGCCTCCAACTGATTATCATCAACATCGCCCGTTAACTCAATGACATCGAGGCGTCAGACGTCTCCTAAGCTGCCTTTTCGGATCGCAGGTTGTGTACGTGACGGCCACATTTCCGTACGTGGTGCTGTTCATCTTCTTCGTGCGCGGGATGCTGCTGGACGGCATGCAGGACGGTCTGCGACACCTCTTCACGCCTGACGTGAGTTATCACCAACGTCCATTGTGTGATAAGAACGGTGGGGTGCAAGAAATCAATATATCCCCTGAGTTTTTTGCTGGGACGGCCGACAAAAAAGAATTAGATTTTAATTTTAATTTTGGTTTACAACTCTTGGTCATCAGATTTCATAAATATCCCCTGCCTTCAAGCTAAATAAGACGATGTATGTTTCTGTGTAGGTACGTTTCAAAAATTCAAAGCTCAACACTGGATGAAAAGTGGCTGACGCCTGACATCTTGTTCCATTTAATATGGATAAGGAAAGGCGATCTTGCACTTGCTTCGACTTTTTTGTAGCTCTCGCCTTCAAATTTTCATTTTAAATTGAAATACCCTTTTTTGTTCCGAGCTGCCAGTACAGCTGCTTACGACAGAATTTGCAGTTGCGACGCATGCATGCTTACGACAGAGCTGAACCGGGAGCAGGAACAAATAAATAACCAAACATTCTTAAGGCGGCCGCACACTGGGCCATTCGGCGGGCGAGATTCCGCAAAAGCGGAATGTCGCGGGCGACATTCCTACAGCGGCTTTCCGCTTGTTTTCAGCAGTTTACAGGACCATTCGGCGGTGCGATTTTCTACTTAGTATTTTCAGGAACTTTATGTGAAACATTTTATGATAAATATAAACGAATGCAAACTAAATACATTAAAGCAAATACAATATTTGCTTATTTAATGCGATTATGCTATATTTCTGTACAACTAGATGCCGGCAGCGCTCTTGCGTTGCCTTGGGCCAGAATTGGAGGAACGGTACTGAGGGCACACACCGGGCCAAACCACCGAAACCCAGACTGAGCTTGGACTGAACCTGAAACCAAACGAAACATCCATGAAATGCTTGAAAGCACGTGAGATTGGTGCGGAGATCTACCTAGAGTAAGATATGAACTAACTGCACGTGCATAGTTCATGTCCCAGGCACCCCAGTGCAGTCATTTTCATAACATCATGTAGCGTGTGTCTAGTTCTATCAGTGTACCGACTTTTGTGTCGCTAGATCGACGTTTCCCGGGATCAGAGGATCCCTAGTCAAAACCGTTACCCGCCCCCCGCACGCGCAGCTTGCACCCCTAGGATATTATCTCGCCGGAATGTCATGACTCAATGTATTCTTCTTATGACCTGCAAGTTTTGAACCAGTTAGAGCTGCCGTTTACCCTGCAGGCGTGGCAACGTACGAAGGGGTGCAATCGGCTTGCACGTGCATAGCTCATGCACCACGGAGTTTAGCTCAACCAAATGTGCACTATTTTGGAGGCCTTGCCTGGGACTACCATTGAACCGATTTTGAGGTTGATAGCTCAAAATTTCTTTGAGCCAGAGGACCTCACGTCAAAACGGTTTTCCGCCCCCAGCACGTGCAGCCTGCACCCCTCGCAGACGGTGACCCCCCTGGAAACTGGTTCAAGGTGTTACCGATGTGTCCCGCCAGTGTGGCTTTGCCCGTGACCTCGGATTGACCTGTAGCCTTGACAAAAAATTTCGTGTCACCGAAACTTTGAAACGGAATAGCATGTGCCACGAAGCACTGAGCGAACCGAGGCCAGCACCAAAAGTTTACCTCGCCGGAGACGAATCGAACGGTCTCACTTTCGTCCCGATCGGTCCACCCATTTTGACTCCAGGTCCAAAAAAGCTTGGACAAACTCACATACTCACTCACATACTCACTCACATACTGACAAACAGGCTTGGCCGAACTTTTCTTCAGCGACCCACCAATGGGAATTTCCGGATGCAAAAGCATGCTATCGCATGCTTTTGATCCTCCAATTCTGGATAAAGTTTTGAATATCTATTAATTTGACATAATTTCTGGAGGAAGTTGCAAAAAAAATAAAGCTCGTGATTAATGTAAACAATCGTGTTTGTCGACAAATGCAAGAAACCTAAAGACAATTGTGGAGGGGCACATAGTAACCCATTATTGGAATAACCAATGAAGTGTATAAAAACCATTTAATATGGGGAAAGAAGTGCCGCTACGATTTTTTATCAAGTGAAGTCTATTTCTCGGCTGCTCCATCAATAGTTGGTGAGTTTCAAGTTCCACAATTTCGGGTGTCCGCGGCGTCGCCGCGGAAAAAGCTGAACCGGTCCAGCTTTTTCCGCAACTCCGCGGCTGTTCGCGCGCATGCGCACTCTACCCGCGGACAGCTAGCTGGCAGCGGTCGGCTGATAATTCTTTGCAATAGGCGTCAGGTTTTTTGTTATTTAGGACTTTTTCCCTGACCAATACACTCCACACCAGTACACTGACACCTTACACAAGTGTATGAATATGTGATGTAAATAAATGTTACCGTTTCTTCATCTGTGTTTTGTTCCGGCTTTTTCGGCACTTCGGCAAAAGTAAGTTCCCCCATTAGATTTGCTCACACACACTAAGGATAGGCTCCCACGTTGCTATTGCTTCCGGGTTCACATAAACCGGCTTAACGTAAAACTTTGTTCCTGGCCAAAATTGCCAGATGTAATGACCCCCGGCTCCAGACTGGCTTTAGGCTGGCGGAGCAAAAAAAAAAAAAAAAACGAAAAAGGCTGATAATTTTGTCGTTTCGGCAGCTGATTCGGCGTCCACGAAAGCGTAATGTCGCCACGGAATTGCGTTTTTGCGGAATGTCGCCCGCCGAATGGCCTAGTGTGCGGCCGCCTTTAGAGTTCACCATATATACATCCGCCTCCGAGAACACTTTTTCGTGTTTACCAAGTTAACGCCAACTAAACCAATTATCAGCGCAGTCATGGCGATTGTATTTAGAAGAACAAGTACCCTTTATCGGGCAGGGAACTGTATATGAGCACTTCACGGAGCACCCCTTCGGGCGCCCTGGAGCCACCCGACGTATCTTTCCAAGGCCATCATACACATCCGACCAATCAGCGAGGTTCAGGGGACATCGTAGGCCGTGACGTCACAGCTGTCATTGCTCTGGGATTTGGTACCACCCTTGCAAACTTCGGCCCTATCCAAAATCGCGAAAGTCTGTTCCGCGCGCCGGCTTGCTTCAGACACCTCAGACCCTACCTCTGTTCATGATGTCGGTAAGTTGATGAAAGTGTGCATAATAAGAGTTCAATATGTGCGGCAAACAGTGATAAACGCGACATTTACTGAAACGTTTTGGGAAGTGGTCTAATTGATGTGCAAATATTGCGATGATCAAATATAGACATGCGCCCGTTTCACAGACGGCATTGTTTACGGCAGAAGGTCCCATAAATGGACATACACCCGACTACAATAAAACTGGTATTTTTGGGAAGACCCCATATATAGACATATGCCCCATCTAGGGCAATCATCATTTTTGATAGTGGCACATGTATAACACATTATAATGACTTATACTGAATGGTCTGTGAAGATCACTGGTATGTACGCCCCCCCCCCCCCCTGCAGTTGCTATGGCACACCTATGTGGCGGAAAATCGGAGCCCCTGCCACGTAGGCCGGCTGGCGGCCGGCATTGACTGGGGGGGGGGGGGGGATCGAATGTAGAACTATCCTACATTCTATCCTGTCATATCGGGGCGTCACTTTTGTAATTTATGGGATTTGTTTGAGCAACCCAACAATTCTTCTTTTTGCAGCTGCCTCAGGGAATGTTCAGCCGCCGCAGTGAGCACCATGGCCGCGCCATTGTGCCAGCCAGTGCCAATGTCAGTGATGACGACAGCCTGGACGATGACGACGACGTAGCCGACCCTGACTTTCTGCCACAACGCCTCCACGACCCCGAGACTCCAGGCCCCAGTGATGCGCCTCCTACCACCAAGGGGAAGCGTGCCAGGCCCTCACTCCAAATGATGGAGGCACAGTCGTCCGAGGACGAGGATGTCGAAGAGGACAAGGACGAGGAAGAAGAGGGGGGAATCAGCAGGCCTCCAGCATCCAAGAAGGCAAAAAGGCCAACGACTAAGAAGGTGCCTGCAAGGCCTACAACTTGGCAGAAAGTGGACGTCTCTTATCCAGCTCTGCCAGCTTTTGAGCACCCGGCGCCTCTCTATGTGAGGAGTCCACAGCAGTACTTTTTCACCTTCTTCAGTGAGCAGATGGTCCGGCACATCGCATACCAGACCAACCTTTATGCCACCCAAAAGGACGTGAACACCACCTTCTCTACCACCGATGACGAAATCGTGAATTTCGTCGCTGTGCTGCTGTACATGGGTGTCATGGAAGCTCCATCACTGGAAGACTACTGGTCTATGAAACTCAGGGTTCCCCAAGTGGCTGAAGTGATGTCCTCGAAGAGGTTTCGCCTGCTGCGGAGGACACTGCATTTCAACGACAACTCACGAGCAGGTCGCTTTTTCAAGATACGACCGCTCTTCAGCTTCATCAACACATCGTTCCAGAGCGTGCCCCAAACCAGCAAGCAGTCCATCGACGAGGTGATGGTGGGCTACAAGGGCAAGACCGCGGGCAATCTGAGGCAATACATCAGGAACAAGCCAGACAAGTGGGGATTCAAGCTGTTCTCCAGAGCCTCCGAGGATGGGTTCGTCCATGACATGGTGCTGTATCAAGGCAAGACGACTCTGCAGAGCCATGGTGTCACCATGACCTCAGCAGAAGAAGCCATGGGAGTCACCAGCCAGATAGTCGCTGCCCTGGTCAGCACCATGAACTTGTCATCAACCACTGTCGTCTTCGCGGACAACTACTTCACGAGCTTGGAGCTCGTGAGGTACCTGCAGGGGAAGGGCTGCAGGTACACAGGAACTGCGCGAGACAACAGGATCGGCAAGCCTCCCCTGAAGTCAGTGAAGGACATGGAGAAGAAGAGCGTCCCCCGTGGCAGCATTGACTACGTCACAAGTGATGACGGTATTCTGGCAGTCCGGTGGAAGGACAACAAGCGTGACAATGCTGTCCACTGACCTGGGGGTGGAGCCAGTGACTACCTGCCAGAGGTACAGCAATGAAACAAAGAAGAAGGATGATGTTCCCTGCCCAGAAGTGATAAAGAGCTACAACGCCAACATGGGGGGAATCGACAAGAGTGACATGCTGATCTACCTGTACAGAACACCGATGAAGTCGAAAAGGTGGTATATGCGGCTCTTCGCATACGTGATTGACATCTGGTCTCACCAATGCCTGGCTCCTATACCGCCGAGACTGCCAAGCCCTGAACGAAACTGGGATGTCACTGAAGGACCTCCGGATCGAAGTATTCTACGCAGCCCGCTGCAGGAACCCAACAGTCCATCGGCCCCTGCTGAGAACCTCGGTGACATCCGCAGTCCCCAGCAGCAGCGCTGACATCCCTCCAGCCGTTCGGGGACACCGCAGCCATACGCCGGCTGCTTCAGTGCGCTTCGACACAACGCTGTTCCATGTTCCCATGTATGTGACACGTCAGACCTGCAAGTTCTGCAGCAAGAAGGGGCACATCATGCGCTCTAACTTCCTCTGCAGGGTGTGCAAGGTGCACCTGTGTTTGAATGGAGAAAGAAACTGCTTCTTGCAGTACCATGAACGCGTTGCCTAAAGGGCGTGCAAGGTGGGCGTTGCAACGCCCACCACTAAGAACCGCCCACGGAGGCAACGCGTTGCCTCCGTGGGCGGTTCTTAGTGTGTCGTGGTAACAATGCCTGGAGGGCATTCAGGGTATCCAGGGTATTCAGAACTCAGGACATTCAGGGCTTTCAGGGTATGACTGTGCCTCAGTGGGGCAAAAGTGATTTCTGGTGTGCCATGAAAATGTTTTCTAGCAGGGTGAATTTCAGTGTGATGCATTGGACCTAGCAGAGTGTGCAATGTTCACCTGCCCCTCAGTGGAAAATACATTACATTTAGCAGTTATGTGCGAGTGTTGCCTGTAGCGAGCATATTGTCCGGCAGCACCATGGGGGGTGCTTGATTACTGAAGTATAAATAATGATTACTGAAGTATAAATAGGTACTGGTTTCGGTACCAAGTAAATTTTCCTGCAAGTGAATTTACGATGGCAGTTTGACCGTAGGCTGGCGAGGCCCCATATTTCAGCACTTCAAAGTGTCGTGATTTGCACTGGAAACATAAGTTCTCGAAACAATCACATGAGCAAAAAAGTCTTACAAAGGTTCAAATTAACATGATCTAGGGCCAGAAGAATGGATTTCCAATTATTTCTATGGGTGCCCGGTAAAGGGTTAAAGCGGTACGATACACGAAAAGTGAGTCAATGGGAAGACATGGGACGAAAGAAGGTTGACGAGGTTTTGCTCACTGCTTTTATCACACCACCGTAGCATCATTGTTTGATCTCTCGGACCCTCTCCGTCTCTTACCGCAGTTCAAGATGCTGACCGACCCGGTGGTGTGGCTGGAGGCCGGCACTCAGATCTTCTTCTCGTTCGGGCTCGGCTTCGGAGGCCTAATCGCCTTCTCGTCGTACAACCCGCCCAACAACAACGTGTTCCGCGACGCGGTGGCCATCGGCCTTCTGAACGCCGGGACGGCCATGTTCGCCAGCATCGTGGTCTTCTCCGTGCTCGGTGAGGCGGTGGGGGTAGGACGACGTGGGAAGCTGGGTAAACAGAATGATCTTGTGAGGTTAGGTGGCTAGAGGCGAAGCAATTTGGGGAGAAATTCTTATAAATGGAGAAAGCTGGATCTGAAGACGTTCATGGTATATCAGCTTGCATTCCACACACCCGTATCGCCCTTTCCCAGGTTTCAAGGCGCACAACACCCACAACAAGTGTCTGCATCAGCGGGAGCTGGAGCTGAACGCCAGCCTGGTCAGCTACCTGGGCGTCAGCGGCGGCGTCACCACGGCCGCCCCCGAGGTCACCGTGCCGCCCGAGGTCTACAACAGGATCTTCAGGCAGCTGCGCGTCTGCGACCTCGACGAAGAGCTGGCCAACGTGAGTAACGACTCGGGTCGGCTGAAGGATGTGCTCCTATGGCTCTGGGTTCCTAATTTTCTTGTTGAAGCTGAAGACGTTGAAACTGAATGGTTACGATTTTTCTTGTAATTATTTTTAATCATTATTTGACTGACGCCCAGCCCATCAGGATATCATCTTTGACGTCTTTATATCAGTGTCGCCTCTTCACAAACCTACAAACGTTTCTGTGCACATGTTTTTATTGTTCTCGAGATTCTATTCATCCTACATCGCTGTCCATTTTGTTTCTAGTCTAGTTCGGGCACCGGTCTGGCGTTCATCGTGTTCACCGAGGCCATCAACCAGTTTCCCGCGGCGCCCTTCTGGTCGGTCCTGTTCTTCCTGATGCTGTTCACGCTCGGGATCGACTCCGAGTTCGGCACCCTGGAGGGCGTCATCACCTCCATCGTCGACCTGAGGCTGTTCCCCAACTTGCGGAAGGAGATCCTGACAGGTGGGCGACAGCGGCACGAGCCAGCTGCTTCATCGTGGCATCATTTGTATTTGTGACATGGTGATAATGTGGGCTGCTCAACAGCGGCCGTATGAGGGATTTTCGTTTTAGCTTCTTTAATCCCAACGGTATTGCTTATGGAGCTTGTCGCATGATTGACCTGGTAATGTTTTAGCAAGTACCGGACTAAAAGGAAACGGTCCTAGCCTTCCATGACCCAAGAAATATGTTTTTAACCCAGCTGCTGCCAAGCGCATTCTTACTTTTTCGTTGTGTAGGATCCAGCTTCAACATTCAGCGATAGTCTCTGCTGATCTTTGCTTACTAGTTACTGCATCGCCGTGTCTCCCTCACAGGCATCATCTGCATTATATGCTGTCTGCTGTCCATGGTCTTCGCTCACGGGGCCGGCAACTACCTCTTCATCTTGTTCGACGACTTCAGCGGGAACCTGCCGCTGCTGATCATCGCCCTGTCCGAATGTATCGGAATCGCTTGGGTCTACGGCCTCAGGAGGTAGGTGAGATGGGCAATATGAGGCCGTGAGGAGATCGGGGAGTGACACCTTTCACAAGAGCTTCGCTCAAGTCTTTGATCTGGGATTAGGGGGCTCGCTGTGCCCACCTCATCACGGCAGACTTCTCCGTAAATATTGATCTCTTCGATGACAGTATGTCGACTGCAATCGGATGTCACAAGTGTCGTATTTATTTATTTATTTATTTATTTATTTATTTATTTGTAAAAGTAAAGGCACGGAAAAAGGCAATTCAAATTAGGTACCTTTCATCTCACGGAAGCTCGGATTTGTTAGCTTATGCGCTGAAACTTAACAGTAGCAGAAATTTGTCATTTTGTGTTCAGTTTGTAATATTTATTTGTACGTTTCAGATTTTGTGACGACATTGAGATGATGACGGGGAAGCGTCCTCACTGGTACTGGATGTTCTGCTGGAAGTACCTCTCGCCCTTCACCATGATTGTCATTCTGGTGGCCTCCATTATCAAAACCCTAATGGACGGGGCAGGGTACGTATGCATATCCCCAATCAAATGCAGATCCCAGCAGGATGAAATCCAAACTTCAAATATCAACTGTTGAATGATAACTTCTGTGCAACTGTGAATATTGTCACCAACGATAGCACATTCCCATTTAATATGAAAAAAGATGGTACCTAAAACGGTTCGTTTGAAGAAGAGGTTTGTCAACAACGTATAATAAAGCATATTTCCGCAATCTCTGCGTTCTAGAAGTTGAAAGCCGTTTATATAGCTATAGTTTCTGGCGGACAAGCAACAGCCTGCCCCTATCGACCGTGTGACCTAATAGACAAAGGCCTGGTTATTTATGACCAGCATAAATCGCTCTTTTATGCACTCATCTTCTGAATGTAAAATGCGTGGCCGCTGGGAGCGTGACCGAGAGACCCGGATGAGTTCATTCCTGAAATTTTGTTTCAGTTTTTTTTTTATCATAGAATCGTACAAAAGGACCAAGGTGATTGGACTAATTCACAATTTCTCAAAGGGCATTAAATATTGGGACGAATTTAGGGGAAGCGGGGGGAACACCGCCACTGTGGGAAACACCGCCACCCCATCTGGCGGCGAAAGTATGAACTATAAAGTGTAAAAATCCGTTATTTCCTATTAACCGCACGAAGGTAAGCGTCTTCTGATTTGTGTTCCGGTGTTTCAGTGTAATCGAAGCTCATTGTGGGCATTTAAAGAAAAATGCACATTCTCTTATAAAAATTCGATGAGTTGGGAGCACTTTTGAATGTCTTTAAGTAGAGACTCATTTTGATTTACTTGATTACATCGAAAAATAACTGATCGGCTTTGTCCAGTAAGATAGGTTTGCTTGAACCGTGTAGTACATCCTTGCCGCTGGCGATTTTTGCTTGTGATCACTTATTGGGGAACACCGCCACCCCGTGGCGGTGTTACCCCAATTGAGGTTGCGGTGTTTCCTGTTCGTAGCGTGATAAGTGATGAAATTCCAAAGACACACTTTATTTATGTTCGTAGATGTTCCTTAGTCGGGAATAAGCAGCTTATTTGACTTTTTACTTTATATTTTTCATGCATCCCGACCAAGCACTTGCCAGCTGTATAAAACTGGCAAACAGCTGATGAACCTATACCCAGGGGCGGATCCAGGAATTTTCGGGAGGGGGGGCGGCAAGTCGAAATGGGGGCGACCTGGCGATCCGGGGGCGCTCCATACAAAGGGGGCGCCAAACCGTCAAAATCGGGAGCTAAAAGCCCGCGCCGTGCTAGGGGGCGTTATTGCGCCCCCCCTCAGGTTTTTCGCAAATATCTGGAAAACGGCTGCGCGCAGCGCCGCCATTTTCAGCATACCTTATCATGCATCTTTTTTGCACATGTTGTAAAAATGTCTGACGCGGGTGATGGAAGGTCAGGTCACCAGGTTATGCCAAGTGACCTAGCCTAAGAAAAAGTTCAAATGCTTACCATTGCTATACCGACTGAACGATTGCTTTGAACCTTTCAGCGATTGATGAAAGCAACACTATTCATGAAATGTATATCTCGGAATTTCGATATCTGTGACCTAAGGTCAGGTCAGTTGTGCGACGTCTCCATTAGGTAGGTAGGTATAATTAAGTCTTTGGGAGAAAACTGAAAGGCATCTCTTTTGGACGAGCGCCATTCTAGACAATATCAAGCATTGGGATACATATGTAATTAACACACTGAATAAGAACATTGCACCTAGTGTGACCACTCATTATGTCCTAGAGGTCATCCCATGTCATGAAAGGTCCGCAGCAGTTTTTTTTTTTAAATAACTTTTGATAGATTCAAGCTAGAACGATAAAAACACCTCGGCTGTGTTTAGCTCGACGATACGCATCGACTGCTATGCAGCATGACCTTTCCCGGTCAGGTCATGACCTTGACCTGAGGTCAAATTCTCAAAATTACCCTTCATAAGGTCAACCTTTAGTTTGTTCGACGTGTCTCGACGACAGAAACGCAATGCTGACAAACGTAATGTCGAGACTCTCTTGAGTCAAAAGTTATTGCAGGAAAACATTGTTCGTAAAAAGGCTATTTTTAGTCTTTTGCCCTCTGAAGGCTAAACCGTTGACCTGAGGTCAAATCTGAGCGCAGCTTGCAGAAACACCTTTAAAAGGGCTATCGAATGCGCTTTTCTGCGGCGCTATAGCTCTATTGGTTTCCGAGTTATGTGCCGCTGCTTCGAAAACGGAAAAATGTTGAAACAGGCAACATTTTACCTTTGATGACCTCTGGTGACCTGACATTCGACCTGACCTAAAAAATGACCGTTTTGTTTTCGTCCTGTTTTTTGACGATCTTTCGAATGCCGCTTATCGCGTGTCACTACGCGGCCCAGGAGCCGAATTAGACGAGGGAGTGTGCCCCCCCCCCCCTCCCCAGCAGGACACGGAAAACTCAGACCACCAGCACGGCACGGGTTAAAAGTCGTAGATGGGCACCGCTACCCTAGCAAAAGATATTAGCAAAAAGGTGACCTCCATTTACTGGTGCAGTCCTCCTCCTCCCGGTCCTTTTTCTGGAAGCGTCTCACTTATGCTGGTATGCCTCACTTCCCGGGGGCGCCCAACCTCTGCTTGGATCGCCTAATCCATTATGGAGAGACCCACTTTGCTTAAGTCGCCTCATTTCTTCCTTCTAAGAACGACCAATTTGCTGTAGGCGGCCCACTTATCTGGGACGCCCATCTTTTGCTAGAAGTGCCCCTCTTCTTCCTGATGCGTCCCACTTCTACTACGAGTGCACCTTTTCTGTTAGGGCGCCCCTTTGCTGCTGAGGAGTCTTTTCTACTGTGAATAGGGCGACCCTCTCCTGTTTGGCGACCCCAAATTCTGCTGGAGGCGCCCCACTTCTGCCCAACTTTTGGTGGGGTGCCCCTCTCTTGCAGGGGGCACTTCTCTTTTGCTGGAGACGCCACTCTTGTGGGGGCGCCCTTCCACTGCGGGGAACGTCGCTCTTCTGCCAGAGGCACCCCTTTTCTTCTTATGGGGCTCCTGTTTTTTTTTCTGGGGCGAGGCGACCCTCTGCTGCTCGGAACGGGGCACACCTCTCCTTTTACTGGGGCACCGCCCCTCTGCTGGGGTTGCCCTTCCGCTGTCGTCAGGGGCGCCCCTCTTGGTAGAATATACTCCTTTTCTTTTTGTAATGGGGCGCCCCTCTTCTACCGGGGGCGCCCATCTGCTGCTGGGGCGTCTGTCTTCTGCCGGATATTGTCAATGGGGCGCCCATATCCTGTTTGGCGGGCCCAACCTCTGCTGGAGGCTGCCTATTTCTGATTAACTTTTGCTGTGGCGCCTCTCTTCTGCTGGGGCGCCCCTCTTCTGCTTGGGGCGCCCGTCTCCTACTGGAGACCCCTCTCTTCTGCTGGGGCGCCCCTCTTCTGCCAGTGGCACCCATTTTCTTACTATGGGGCTCCTTTTTTGCTGGGGCGCCCAGCTGCTGTCAGGGCGCCCCTCTTCTCGGAATGGGGGCGCCTCTCTCCTTTTGCTGGGGCGTCGCTCCTCTTCAGGGGGACACGTCTCCTGCTAAGGGTGCCCTTCCGCTGCCAGGGGCGCCCCTCTTGAACAGAAGGTGTTTTATATTCTTGTAACGAGACGCCCTCTTCTGCTGGGGGCGCCCTTCTGCTGGGGGCGCCCATCTGCTGCTGGGGCGACTCTCATCTGCTGGGAATAGGCAATTGGGCGTCACTCTCCTGCTTGGTGAGCCCAACTTCTGCTGGAGGCGCCCTATTTCTGCTGAACCTTTGCTGTGTCGCCGCTCTTCTGCTCGGGGCGCCCTCTCTGCCGCGGGATATGGGCGCCTTTTTCGGATGGCGGGGGGGGGGGGGGCGGCCGCCCCCGTCGCCCCCCCCCCCGGATCCGCGCCTGCCTATACCTATTTAGGTGTCCATTACCGATTATTTGCGAAAATACCACTTACCGACAGGAAACTCATCGCACGCGATCTCTGAACAATTAAAAGCTTTCGTAGGGATGGGTTGGGTTAACATCAACACCGGTGGCGGGGTTTAGGCGGCAAATAAGCAAGGTATTTTTAAAAGTCGTGATACATGAAAAGCTTTTAGGAGCATGCAAAATAAGTACCTAAAACACGTGAGCAAATGTTTAAATATTGTAACCAAGACAATAACTACCAAGATGAAGAGACTTCACACATATTCTCTCATTTTGGCGAAAAGCTTAGGGGGGCGGTGTTACCCCCGCTTCCCCTAGTACTGCACCATGAACAATCACATAAATGTGTTTGGCCTTCTTCAAAGCGGATTTATAATCTATACCATACGTGCAAGTGTGCTGTTTAGTTTCTGGCACGATGATGGATTTATCAATAAAATTGATTGAGCTGTGACAACCTGCGTCCCCTGTTTCTTTAATATGACCCACGTCGAGTCACCTATCTGTGATTGCCTCCTGTGCCGCAGATACCAGGCGTGGGACGCTGAGGCCGCGATGGTGGTGACCAAACTGTGGCCTCACTGGGCCTGGGGGCTGATCTGCGTCCTGGTGCTCGTATCGGCACTCTGGCTGCCCGGAGTGGCCATAGCCAAGTAAGTGGAGATGATAAAAAGATAACCCGGCAATGAAGTAAGTAACTTTTAAATATAGCTCTTGGTTTTTAAAGTTATTGACAAACGAGTGATATGGTTTGATTTTATACGATTTTCTTGTCAGGTTGCAAAGCTTTTACAGGCATATTTTCCTAACAACATTGCAGACTAGCTAGCTGAGTCTCATCCAACCACTTTCGTTATTATAAATCTGCCCCTGTGCCAGGTTTTTCGGCATCAACGTGATCCCGCCGGAGGAGGCGGCCTGGTTCCCGGTGGCCGATATGCGCGAGATGCACCACGTCAAGCCTCACAAGGTGACGGAGCTGGAGCGTACCCTGTTCGCCATGCACCCGGACGGTAGCGAGGGCTTTTGTCTGCGCTCGCCACCCTACGAGGACGAGGAGACGCCCGTGACCGCAATCGGCGAGCTGGAGGATCCCTGGAAGGCGACCATCAGGAGCTCCCAGGAGTCGCGCGGCGGCACCAGGAGCGCCGAGGAGCCCTGAGGGGGAGGCCGGGGGAGGGATTGTGGTGTCTGGTAGTGGAAGCTATATCTCAAAGCTTTGTTCGATTGTTGAGGGCGAGTAACGCTTGACACTGACGCTGGCCGTATGCAGTTTTCAGAGTAAACGCATTTACCCGTCATCCACATCTGCGCTTTACTTGTATAAGATTGCGCAGTTGTGTTATTTTGGATTTAGCGCCGGCGATTACATGGTCAGCCGTAGAGCAAATAATTCAGCTGAGTTCGCTTGAGCTTGAGCCTCTTGGACCTGACTGAGTAGAACTGTAAGCAAACTGTAAGTGACTTAGTAGAACTTTCCGGGAGTAACGGGAAAGCTAAATGGGCGCATTCCTTCCATACTTGCGGAATTGGCTACACAAAGGCCGAATGAAAGTCGGAAAGGGGAATATTTATTGTTGCACGCCTCGTCTTCCCATTCCGAATATGGGAAGACGCCTCGAATCACTAATGCTCGACGCTTTTACTCCGTGTGTGTGATGCTCTACCCACCATATGATCTCGTTGAAGTGATACGGACATAGATGTGTTTCCCTGGTAGGAACGCATTGGAGCTGAGCCTCCAGTAGTGACCAAAGTGTTCTAGTCAATGATCACCACCCCGTGTGATAGGTGTACATGTTACATAAGGCTGTGTAGATGAGCAGATCTCATAAGACTTGACGCTAGACGTGTCGCATTTCCAGTAGTCTCTAGTTGCCGAATGACTTGCTGTCAGATGTCAGTAATGTTACAATGGCAGTGGCTGGATATTGGTGTAATTGCAGCATAATTCGCTAAACCCTATTATGTTTGGATGAGTCGAATATTTAAATCATATTGGCTGTGCGACGGCAAACAAAAACAGTTTTGTGAAAACTTGCGTCTTCGTTGTCCATGACGAATGAAAAATCAGTCACACAACGTTTTGAAAGATAGAATGCCTCATATCTCATGTCGCCTGGCATTGAGCGTTTTTTCGTCACCTGGTGACTTTTATTGGACGATTTGCTATTCAGGTCTTTAGATAATCTGAGAGCGTCGAAGGCTCTTCTGCCTTCGCTCTTTGGGCTTTTCTCAGTTTTCGCTCCTTTCGTGATTCATAAAACGTTTCCACTGTATAAAAAAGAAGTTGATTTTGCAATGTTTCCTCCCACGTCCACTTCACCACGTCTTATCGATGTCTTCCTAGATCACCAGCTCGTCGCCACCGTGTCTACAATGTGCGCGTAGTCGTAGTCCGAGTGTCATGACGGGAACTTTGGAGTGTGTGCGAAGTTGGTGGGTCCTCTGCACTCAGCGATGCAGGCAAGACTGTGTGTGTAATTCCGAGAGTTGCCACAAGAGGTCAGTTGATGGCGTAGTGCAATAGAAGGTATGTACCAATACACATTATACAGGCCTGTTCAACCGTGTTGAACCTGCATCAATTTAGCTTGGTAGGAAATTGCACTTTGTCTTTTTTATGTAGTCCTCGAACCGATTGGCTGGTGATGAGCCATCTCTACAACGTTCCGCTTTTATGATTGTTCACAATGTCGGAGGGAAACCTTTCGGGCACCATCATTAGACATTAGTACACTCACGAGACTCCCTCACAAACTCGAAATGGATCTGGACTGTTTGTATTACATACATAAGAATAACTATACAATACAATAAAACTTTCTAGACTGTCGACCGCACGGGGAAACCTCCGGCCAATCTCTAACAGGAGCTGGCACTGAGAGTCTACTGGCCAAGACGCGTGCCTGAGCTATAGTAGACCTCCAATAGAGATCTGCACCAGGCCCTCGGCGCCGGTAATGTATCGAAAAACAGCTAACACACAGATTTGTATAAGAAAACACTTCACTAGCTAGAAGCCTCAAGCGAGGCACTACCTTCATCACGCTGGGTATTGAACAGTTCAAAGCGAATAACACGGGGTCTCGGAGTCGGTAACGGCTATTGAAGAAACTTCTAAAGAAATGACTAGGCAAGCAAGTTCAGTGGCATCAACGCTTTCGGGTCCGTGAGGCGTCGCGCTGAGACCACCATCCACTGTCGTCAGCAAAAGAATGGTCTCACACTGGCCCGTGGATGTCCCGAAAACATCTGGCATCGCATATCAATGTGAGAGCCTGTCTATGCGTGCCCCAAACAGTTCTGACAATGCAACATACTCTCAGTATGAACACAATGCACTTCGGACCGCCACATACGGCACAATCCTTCACCCGTGCTGTTAGTATTGCCGGACCTGCTGGTAGCGCAGGAAAGGAACTGGGTCGGGTCGGGGTCGGGTCGGGTCAGGTCAACTCCTGTCGACCGGCATCACAGGTGAGGTCGTTGATTAGCAAGGTCGGGACAAACGGCCACTACAGGACGAAACACCGACGTGAGCAACCAACAGCTCCGAACGTACGCGTGGCGCATTCAACGAGAGCCCGGCGCCTGGCGGGCTAATAATGTCGCACTCTACCCTCACGAGGCAGGGGCGCAACAGGAATGAATAAGCAACACGCGCCAGTCGCTCTGCTCCACCAACCACTTCGAGCATCTTCACTCAGACAAGCAGAGAAATGTCACACTCACCCTCCAGGCTTCCAGTCATACCGACTCCAGAACGCTTAACGTTAATATCGCCCTTTCAGTCACCCCCAATAAGAGCTCTCGTCACAGTTAGTTGTCCCACCTCCCTGCACCACCAGATATTGCGACTATTTCTTTGTCCTACCATTCATATCTACCGCCTACTTACAACATTCTGATCGGTTGGCACTTGGGAGCCGATCCCGACACATATAAGGTACTTGAAACTGGCAAAAGCGACATAATAAGGTGCCTGATTTGTCATTCGCAATTGAGTTCAGATGGGAAAGGATCATGCTTCCATTTGTTTGTTATTTCTTTTGCGCTATGATTCAGGAAAGAACAATCTACAAGGAGATCTAGCAACCTGCCCAAGGATGACTACAGGCTAAATATCTCGCACTGAGCTCCATTCGACCAGAAAGGGGTTCAATAACCCCCAACACCTCCGCGAGCACCCCACAGCACCGCAGTGCTACCCGGCTCCCCGCAACGACCAAACCAAGCACACGTATATATCACTGGGACCGGGCGTCTCTAAAGCACTGGCGGGATCACTGGGGCGGGCCGGGTCCTCTGAGACCCGGCAGCCCGGGGTGGCGGGCGCGGACACTACGGGGACGGCTGGACCAGGACCTCTAAATCGGCCCGCTCACGACACCGGCTATATAGCACCAGAATGACAAGACGGGTGGGTGGATGAGTCGATGGGAGTCTAGTCGATCTTCTTTTTCTTGCGCAGCTTTTCGAGCGCCTCGTCTATGATCCGTTTTGGAGGCAGGAAGCAGCGCTCGATGAAGTCCTCCATCAGTGTGAACATGTGCCGCTTCACTCCTGATAAGAAGTGGTTCTCGTCCGGGTAGATCTGCAAGACAGATCACATAACCCTTCAGAAATAGTTACATTTGAAGACATGATGTCATGTAATGGAAACATCAATAATTTACATGGGACTATGGAGACATGGCATGAAGCCATGAACAAAGCTTCGAAAGCAAAAATGTCATCACCACCGAGTCCACTGCAGCGCCACTTCTACCCACCTGTTGTCTGAAGGTGACGCCGGCCTTGACCAGCGCCCTGGAGAGCAGCATGCTGTGCTGCACGTGCACGTTGTCGTCGGCGGAGCCGTGGATCAGCAGCAGGTTCTTGTTGCGGAAGCTCTCGGCCCGGCTGGTAAGGTCAGCCTCCTCGTAACCCCGGTAGTTGCCGCGGGCGCCGGGAGGTCCCATGTACCGCTCCGTGTAGGCAGAGTCTGCGCGCAGAGGTCAGTCAGGTGGAGGTCAAATGAAGATCAGGTAGGGTCAGGCGAACTCCCTGGAATGTTGGGTCAGTGACATGATACCTAATCCTTCAATGAAAACCTGTCCAGTGAAATGGCAGCTTACTGGTAATGTAGACGTAGGTAACAACTCGTCTACTCGAGTTGTACGCCGTCGTTCATACATGACACATCCTTCGTTTTCAAGAAAAACTGACATCGACAAATGAAACCACTTTCACATGTTTTTGGCAAGAGATGCAAGCATTTTAGCCGAGTGTCGTACCGTATAGGTTCCAGTCGGTGACGGGAGCCACGGACACGGCTCCCCGGAACAGGCGCCGGTTGTCCAGGGCCAGTGCCATGGCCGCGGCGAACCCTCCGTAGCTCCATCCCCAGATGACAACACGGCGCGAGTCGATAAAGTACTGCTCTGTAGTTAGCTTACGGACCACCTTCAGCTGTGGAGGTCAGGGGGACGGGTCAGCAGTGAAGTCAGCGTTCAGAGGGGTTGGCGGGGAGGTCTGATGAGAGGGGTCAGTAGAGAATTCAGAGGCCGGAGGGCTCAGCGGTGAGGTCAGAGAGGTCAGAGAGGTCAGATAAGGGGTCAGATAGGTCAGTGGGGATTGGAGAGGTCAGCAGAGAGGAACGGCGAGTAGGGAGGTCAGGTGGGTCAGATGTCATAAAGAGGGGCCAGTAAGGTCAACAGGGGAGACGCCAGATGCCAGTAAAGGAAATTACCAAAAGTCTAACGGTTTCACACTGAACCTAAAGCAAATCATATCAGGCAAAGACGAAGAACACCGAACCACATGGAAGCCAAAGGGTTATCATAAACAGCACGTCGATATGGACCCCTGTCCCCTATATATGTAGTTAGACCCTCACGTCCCAAACAACTCCGAGCACTAGCGCACGTTACGGAGTGTCCGACTGACCTGGTCCTGGACCTCGATGGTGCCCAGCTTGCCGTGCACGCTGTGCTTCAGCTTCTGGCCGCGGTTGCCGGAGCCCCTGCCGTCAATCCTGGCGTAGATGAAGTTCCTGCCGGACGCCATGTAGGTGTGCCAGCCGACCCGCCAGCGCGAGGTCACCTGCTGAGTACCGGGCCCGCCGTACCTGCGGGGCAGGGGGACAGGAGTGAACTGGGAACGTGCTACAGGCAGACGAAAGGGAGTAAAACTTGGAGAGCTGGCTAACGCTAGGTAGAAAAGCTCACTTGGAATGGAAACTCTTGAAGAGCAATAGAATGAGTGGGAGTCGTTGATCGAAGCAGATCTCAGCCTCCATCGTTTCAGTTCCGCCCCAGTCTAGTGCTGCTATAAGAGTATGGTACAGAAAGTTGAAGCTGTCGATTGCAAAGAGTCAACGTTCCTTTACCAAGAAAGGCAAATGTGGAAGCCAGCCCAAGGGAGGAAGCCTACGCCCAAGTGCGTAGGTACTTTTACTGTGCATTATTCGACCACTCACACTTCGACGATCATGGGGTAGCGGGTGACCTCATCATCACGGAGTCCGGGCGGCAGAATCAGCTCGACGGCGGCTTCCTGGTCCTCAGAGAGCGGCACCGTTAGGTGGCGCACCTGTCGCAGGGACGAGCGTTCCGGGTCAGGTCAGAAGGCAAGCTCAGGTCAGGTCGGGTCAAAATGGATGGTAGAACAGTGGCCTTAGACCAGAACAGAGAGCAAGGCCGGGTCAGGGTTGCACGAGGCGAGATCGGTTCCACAGATGGAGCAGCGAATGGCAGATGAGGGACATAATACGACGGTGCTCGTCTTTAGACGTGCTGGTCAAATAAGGAAGACGTTACATGGATCAGTGAGTTGGTCAGATTTTCAGGCATGCCATCTCTGAGCTAAATGAAACGACCACAAGTTTGATGACATTCGGCAGAGGTATGTTTGAAAGCTAGATTGCATGACTCTACGTTTGTATGCCGGTCCCATTTTCCGAGACCCAAAACCGGTTTGACCTCACTTTGCATTGACGGACAACCTGACCAGCTCACCTGCGGCCAGGCCATCTCGGCGGCCTTCTCCCGGATGGCCGTGTTGTTATCCAGCAGCGTCAGCAGCTTGTTCTCCGGCAGCATGTAGAGCTCGGTGAACGGCAGGTCCGGGCCCAGACACTCGAGCACGTAGTACCTCATCCGGGGACCCTGCAGAGGGGAGGAGGAGGGGCGTCAATCGACAGTGCGGTCGGTGAAAGGTGTAGTTAGGGGTCAACGGGAAATGCGAAAAGGAAGCGTCTGTTAGCAGTCTTCTCTTTTAGCCCGGGCTTACGTCTTCCACGACGCACTTTTTAGTGATGAAAGATTATATGGGAGGTCACTTCTAGCTTACGTGTTCAGGCTGTTTGCAAAATACCAAACACACCAATACAGCAGGCAATGAGACATGACCTTTCGCCTTACCATAAGCGTTTTGCCGAACAGGCAGGGCCGCTCCGTGCTGTTGTCTGGACAAGTGAGACATTCAGGCGTCGGCCGATAGAGGGCAGTGGTGGTACGGTTCACTCGGTACAAGTGCCGTTCGCCAGGGGTGCCCTGAGGAACCGCCGTGAAGTAGCTGAAAGG